AGAATTTCGGCTAAGACAAAAGTGAGGCACCGTAATGGCGGCGGTTATCTATGAGTGAGTGAATGCAGGGTTGCTAGGTTAGCCAATTTTTTACCAATAAAACACAGTAAAAAGATCAAAATATTTTAATTGTTCAAAATTTTACCCGACTGCGGTGGATAATGTTTTTCGAGCGTGTATGCATGTATGTATGCCCAATAATAAGGCGCCAAAATGAAACCTTTAGAAAAAAAATGCTTATAACCCGTCAAGCGAGGTATCAAAGTAAAGGGTTTTAAAAGAATGCAGTGGATCCCCGGTAGTCCGACAAACATTTTGCAGGGCAGTGTCGAACTATCGAATTTGTCGGATTATAGAGTACTGCCTAAGACCCCCTATAGTCCGAATTTTTTTACAAAAGAGTACCTTGTAATCCGACAAATTACAGATCCAATGATAAGATTACAAAACATACTTTGTTATGTATGTCAAATTGAGTAAATTAAACAACACAATAGAAAGATTATGTTTTATTATAAAAGTAACGTCAAATGCTATAGAATTTACAAAAAAATATAAAAAACAATACCCTACGCGTCGAGCACAATTGTGATGGTGCGTACAAGTTGTAACTTGTTCAATCGTGAATTGGCGAATACTTGTATGTAATAGACGATGTCGGATTATAGGGGGTGCCGCATTAGCCAGGGGCCGGATTACCGGGGCTCCACTGTATTTAGAAAATAGGTATGCAAATCGTGTACTTAAAAAAAAATCGTGTTGCACTCGGGGACTGCCGCGGTAAAGCTATTGCATAGCATTATTTGTCAACTTATGCAATAATACTATTTATTTATGCAGTATTTTATTTCTTTGATATTAATTCAAGTTTTTTCTCTGATATTAATAGATGGCGAGGCAGGCCTTATGATATTTTATTGGGCAAGCACAGCAAACAACAGCATTGCCCGGCGCCAAAAAACTTCCACATGCTCCACAGTTTACCACCTTTAGTCCAAAAATTATAATTATAAAGTCTAAATAAAAGGGAGACAAATAAAAATAAGAACAGGTGCTGGGGTCTAAAACAAATATATAAAAAATGGAAAAAAAATATAATAAAAAATAAAACACGAGTGCGGGATTTGAACCGACGACCGCGGTGATGCGTCGAACGTTGGTCCCGTGGCAAAAATTTAACACACTGCACCGTTTCGATCGATACTGGAAAGGCGAAAATTGTGTTCATACGCACTGTTTTTAAGTTGGCATTGATCGAAATGTTTTGTTTAAATATTATCGTTAGTAATATTATTTATCGTTGAAAATATTTTAAAACTTTTGTTTCATTGTAGGGTTTTTTAAATAATCAAAGTTAATTCAAACTATTATATATAACAAATATTGACTTTTTTTATATTCCACTTTTTTTTCAACACTGAACTTAGCGCACTTTGCTGGTGCATTTGAAAACTAATTCACGTTCCAATTAATCATCAGCATAATTCGGCATTGGTAGCCACTGAGTCGCATTATGCTCTGTAATTGGAAAACTAACATGAAGTCTGTTTTTATTTTTGTATGAAAAAGTTTATATTTTCCACTTTTCATAAGCCAGAGTAAATCACCTAAATATGCCTGGCCAGGCCTGCATTCTTTTTTATATTTCTTAAATTAACAAAACATGCATTGAGTACTGTTTGTAATTGAGGAGTTCCATTGTTTCCCTCCGAAAATACTCATCAGCTCTGCACTTAATTAATACAGCCATCTCGCTAATAAACTGATTCAAACAAAAAAATTATCATCAAAATCGGTCCACGAATCTCGGAGATATGCACGAACAACAATTGAAAAAAAAATAACAAATATGACGTATAGAACCTCTTTCTTTTTGAAGTCGGTTAAAATTTTTAATTTACCTTTTGAGGTACTGCATGCGTAACAACACGCCGGAGTCCTCTTTTAGTAGTATATAAGTCTCCAGCTTCAAAATGGATACTGCAAATGACACTATATTTATTTGGAATACATTCATCATCTCCGTTGCAATTCCTAATAACTTGGATCCAGTCATTTCTCCATTCTACATTTTCTTTAGGGAATCTGATAAAAAAGAATAACAAATAATAGATTGAAGCTAATGTCACCCCAATTTCCCATATTTTAGGTAATATGGTTACGTGAACATTGACAACACTGGACTTTAGATTAATTATTTTGTGCTTAGAATGAAAATTGATTTCGATTTCTAAAAACTAGAAAAAAGTGATTATATTGTTCATTTACCTATGAAACGTGATTCCTGGATTTTTTTTCTTTCGGTCACTACGGTTTTTACACCATTTTACCACGCAAGACATCTTGTTTTAACTTATTTTTATCTCCACTTAACGTATCGGCTGCTTTGACGTTTGCACGCGTAATGGCTGACTATGGTGTGAATGTGTGTGTGCCGGCTTGTACATATAGCGACCTGGCCGACTCTGAGCGACACAGTTTGTTGTTTACCGGGACTCTGTCCGCCTTTTTTTATACGTCCATGGCGATACCATTGAATAACTTATTCCTTAGGAGCACTTCGAAGTGATTATATTTGAATAAATGTTGCGTCATGTCAATCTGGTTTGTAGCTGATCAAGCTGAATTCCGAACTGCTTAGATATGTACTTTAATGTATATCATAGCATTGATAACCAAAATGGAATTGTGATATTGCCTTGCGTTTTTGGTATTTTCTTTCGGATAAATGTTAAGCTAAATTAACTATTTGTCACTATAACAATTTCAAATTCCGTGTGCAGCACCCAACATATCCCTTTTCATGGCTGATGCAACACGCCTTGAGCGCTGCTGACGAAATCAAAATCTACTATTACTGTACGTCAGAATAACATAATCATCAAAATAAATTATTTTCTCCCTAGAGGTCAGCTAAAAACGTGATAAATACAATTCGTCGTAATCATAACTGGTTCATACAGAAAATTTTCTACGTAGGTGACCCGCCCGCGATATCTGCCAATCAGAAATCACCATTCGAACACTCCTCCGATATAAAAGGCGCGCGCGCATTAGTTTACGACATTCCACATTTGATCGTTGTAAAGTTGATTCAATTGTTAAATGGGTGAAAGATTAAACACTATTGGATACTATAGGTGGCTAATATTCTTGTTTAGCTTCAGTAATTTAGATAAAATTTAGCAAATCTAGTTTTTTTTTCCAATTCTTAGTTATTAGCCACTGTAATAAATTGTAAAGTATTATAATAAGTAATTAAATTTATTTCGAATTTCGTGTATCCCAGTTCGTTCTTTGTCTTTCTTTTTAACTATTTTCATCAATATGCTGCACTTCAAAACCATCCCTGAAGACTACGTGTGGAAGACCGTGCAGTAAGTTATATTATATTTTTTTATACTCTAGGCAATTGTATATTACCAAGGGATTGAAGACTTAATTGACGGAAGTATTGTTTTGTAAAATAAAAGAAAACCAAAAAAAATATAAGAACATTTTTGTGAATGATAAAAAGGAGAGTTTAAAAATTCCCGTCGTAATTTTGTAAAATCTTGCTAAGACTGGCTCAAAAATTATACAATTGATTCTAATACAAAATTCATATTTTTTTAATTTTGTATATTTATTTATCTACCAAGTTTTTTTTTTTACCATTAACAATATTCGTGACGCGGTATAACATTTCCCGTAGTAATTTTTATCACTAAACGGATACATATACAAAACACAGACTTCCTGATGAGGACTGTAGATAGAATAAAAGATGATAAAAATATATGATATATATATTATGGGACTGGAAAACGTTTATATTTTGTTATAATATGCGTAGCTATAAAAATATAATCTTATTACCTGCCAAATCAAGTTTTTGAAAATTTTGCTAGAGCTCGACATGAAGTACCTACCTAAGTTCTAGTTAAGGTAAAATATACTTCTATCACTTATCAATATTAAGTATCGATCAATTTATATCTACTTTTATGTACATTATTATACCTAAGATCCTTCTGGTATTTTTAGTAAGTACAAGAAATAGAAAATTTTATTATGTATTAAAAACACTAAAGAATAAATACTGAAGTATAAATAAATACATTAATAGGTATAGGCGGTACTGACTTAAAAAAGTTACTTCTTTATCTCACTGACGGGACTATTTACTTACTCGCTAAGTAAGTTATAAGGATTATTCCATTCAACGCAAGTCCAATTTTCTTACCAAACAGATCTCTACAATCGGAAATGTTTGCATGTTTTTACAACACTCAGCTTTTATTTATTTATTTATACTTTATTGCACAAATGAGTGTACAAGTGGCGGACTTAATGCCTGTTTTTTATCCGGTTTAATATTTGGGAAGTAAAATATTCGTGATCATGACACAAATAGATAATCCGGGCAGAATTCAAACCGAAAACCTTCGTAGCAAAAGACCATCCGGTCGTCAAATCTGAGAGAAATGAAAAGTTTTTTATGTTTTTTTTATATTAAGCATTAGTAGATTTTAAAATATTTTGTAACGGATTCCCAGACTCGTTCTACAATTGTTTTAAGACTTTGTACTGCTAAATACTGCTTACTTTATTATGAGAAATTCGATCTGATCCCTCAATTCCCAAGCACATGTCTGATGCGTGAGTCTGAGTGTTTTTTTTAGTATTTTTTAAAACATATATAAGTGACAAGTTTCCTAAATAGGTGTCGAGACCCTTGGTCCGTGGGGTCCTAACGCTATAAGGTTCTTTAAAGAAATATCAAAAAGGTTAGTCGACATCACAGGAGACCGAAGAGCTGACAGCTACCTCGGACAAAGAATTAGTTTAGCTATTCAAAGGGGGAACCCTGCCAGTATCTTCGGAACCTTGCCTAAAGGGACTCCTTTTGATAATATATTTTAGTAATTATAATATATTTTTAAGGTTTTTAGTTTTAGGTTCATTGTTCCTGTATATATTATTATTTTTCCTAAATATTGTACTTTCTTTGTCCACAGATGTGCGCAGGTGGCTCTGTCCTGCAACCGCACGTCTCATCAGACCGCCCTTCGAGGCGCCAGCAAGCCTATCCCTCAGCTTGCTACTTTGACACCCAAGGTATTACAAGGTTCACCTTTACATTTTGTACCACGAGTGTGGCAAACAAGTTATCGTAGCCAACAGACTTGCAACCAGTTGTATTAATTCACCCCATCACTACTTACCCTGAGGATCCCTGGGAACCTTACTTACTCAATTATGGAAATACCTGTCTTCTGTAAGGTAAAAGTTACTTACTTTGACTTGTTTCTACATCCATCCTATGCCTCTTACAATGTGACAGCACAGTTTACCTGCCACACCAGACTTCTTCACCTTGCCGGTCAGCAAGTTGCTTCTTCTCGTCTCTTTTAAAGAAACCCGGGTTGTAGGAGGTAGGGAACACTTGAGCGGGCAAAGCATTCACTTGCGGATTTTCGGTTTTTAATTACCTTTGATGGCACATGAGCGGACAGGGCACCTGATAAGTGCTCAACGTGGCCCATGGACATCAGCAATGCCAGTGACACAGCTATGCCACTGTCTGTCGTTGAACGTTCTATTTTAGCTTCTCTTGAAGGGGACCATGTCATAGTACTGAGGGAATACCGTGGACGGGAGCTCATTCCATAATTTTACTGTGCGTGGAATAAAAGATCTCTGGAAACGAACGGATTTGATTCCCTATGTGGAAGGCTATAGACTTGTTGCTAACTTAAGGCCCGTGTTGCAGGCGCGTGCGTTCGTGGAGCGTAGCGCGGCGTTATGCCAGCCCGAGCACGTGCACGTATGCGATGGCTCCGACGTTGAGGCGACTGCGCTGCTCACCCTCATGCAGCACCAGGGTACGCTGAGGCCGCTGCCCAAGTACCAGAACTGGTCAGTAGTATCCCTTTTAAGTATTACCTTCATTTAAATCCAAATACGTCATAATCAGCAGCTCATTAATGTCTCCACTACTGGACCACAGGCTTCTCTATGAATGGAATAAGGAGATTGAGCCATGACCCGCCTCACGGGCCCAACGGTGCGTTATAACGACTATATATGCAACAGGACCAGAAGCTTAACGTGCCTTCTGAAGCATGAAAACGCTCGAGATATAAAGTTTTTGGTCACCATTCTTCAAGAACATACGCCCACCTTATTATAGTTAAAACTGCAATAATAATTGTTCCATAATTAAAACCGGTCTGAAATTATGCGTCACCGTTGTTTTCTAAAAGGGACACATGAAATTAAGTTTAAACAGTCTAGATCTTCTTCCGGACGATGTTTAACGTACCTACCTAAGAAGGAAACACGAATTGATGATGCTAGCAGGTCATCATTTCCCGTTACATATTATATAGTAAAAGAATCTTTTTTTGTACTGAAACTTCCAAAATTAAACTAACAAAGTGTCGTCTATCCTACTGACACCTTGACTCCTCCTGCTGTTAAATAATAACTTGAATCCTCCTCTAGCTGGTTGGCCCGCACCGACCCTGCAGACGTGGCCCGCGTGGAGTCGCGCACCTTCATCTGCTCGGAACAAGAAAACGACGTCATACCGGCCGCTCGACTCGGTCAGAAATCCGCCCTGGGCAACTACATCGCGCCCGCCGATTACGAGAAAGTGGTCGCCGATAGGTTCCCAGGATGCATGCGAGGTGAGAGACGTAGAAACTGTTTTTCACCAATCCAAACTTTATGTCCGTTGTAAAGTCAGTAGCGAGTGCAAATTTGCGCAGGTTGCAGTTGCAACAGCCGCGACTTGCACTTACTTCACAGCCGCCATTTCCTTTGAATTTCACTGTAATAGCTGACGTTAGTGCTTAACTAGATATAAGTTTTCCGAAACTAACTCAATTACAACATCACGCCATTATTAACGTGTTTTGTTTCTTGGTTCTCAGGTCGTACTATGTACGTGATCCCCTTCTCGATGGGCCCCGTGGGTTCCCCGCTGTCGAAGATAGGCATAGAGATCACAGATTCTCCCTACGTCGTCTACTCTATGAGAGTAATGACTAGAATCGGTAAGTTGTAACACATATCGATAATAATAACTTTTATTTCCCATAAAGCGTTTTTTAAATTTCAACACATTTTATGTCCCAACATTGAGATGTTTTTACATTCCGAGAAGATTAAGAGTCTGATTGCAACTCATCCCTGCATGGTAACTCTAGCGCTTGTAGTGTGGCAATCAGTACCTAACAATTAAAACACAAAATTCATCCAAACTCAGCATCTTTCTTTCTCTCTCTGTAATTTAAAATGATAACGATGGGTTATGTTAGAACACCAGACACTGTTTTGAACTACATATGGAGGCTAATTTTATGTGAAACTATTTTCTTCTAAAACTCGCCCAACTGAATTTAATTAGGTTCTTACCTTAGTAGCTATGAGGTTTAAGCCTTGACCACATTATTGATGATAACCTTGAGTATACGTAAGCTAAGTTTGTTTGTGATCACAACAGGCAGCAAAGTCCTAGAGGCGCTCCGTCAAGATGAGACATTCGTGCGGTGCCTTCACGCGGTCGGCTCCGGCGGCGTGCCCGGCTGGCCGTGCGACCCTCAGCGCACTGTCATCCTTCACAAGCCCATGGAAAACGAAATCATCAGCTACGGTGAGTGATATAAACTGGTCTTTCTTTAAATAGACGATAGGGGCCATTATCCCTAATGCGAACGACGAAAATGAAAGAACGGCAATAATGCCAGCTGGCTAGTGGACGCTAGCCATCTAAATATATATATATATATATATATATATATATATATATATATATATAAAGATTAAAACATCTATCTATTCATCTATTCATAATACAGGAATAAGCTTAGACTAGTTACGTCGTGTTTTGTTCATATCACTCAAATTCCATTTGTAATTCAATGAACAGAAACAAAACATGGAGTAACTGATGCAAGCTTATTCTTCGTTTATTGATAAGGGAGTAAAGCTTACAAGTGACCGTTAATAAACCAGGCAAACATTGTGTGAATTGTCTATAGCAAATTTGTGTTTTCTCTCCTTTACTATAACGACTTCGCATGCGTGTTCTATAGGATGACAATAAAAACTATATATGTAATAAGAGTAGAAAGACGATGTCCAAAGTCAAGTCTGTTTGTTTTTCGTTTTGATAAGTCGTAAGTGATGATTTTATTTGTTATCAAGGAGATCTAAGTTTTTTTTTGTTCTCTAGGCAGTGGATATGGCGGCAACAGTCTCCTTGGAAAGAAGTGCTTCGCTCTCCGCTTAGGTTCCGTTCTGGCACGTCGCGAGGGATGGCTGGCCGAACACATGCTGGTATGTACTAACATTACTACCTAATTTCTACTACTTAATATCAATATGAAATATCATGTTATATCAGCTACATAATATAATCTTAATTTGTGCTACCTTTAGTAGAAACTTAGAAGTTCAAATGATGCTCGAAGGAACAACGTTAGAGTTACTTTATACAGCCAACGATTCGTTGGTGATCATAACACGACTTTATAGGGTAGAAATGAGAATGATATTTATTATGTGCAGTTATATTCTAGCTATTCGATCTCTAAGTCAATGACAGATGTACCTTAAGCATTTGTTACAATAAAACCAAGGTCTTGACTAAAATTTGCTTAAGCTTTTATTGTAAAACAACATCTTTACTGTAAAATTGTAGTGTATCTTTGCTGAAGCTTCTGCTGTAAAATGTCCATAGATTATTATCCAAGATCTTACTTACCTAACCTTAAACCTTTCGTGCACAACAAAAGGGTATTAAAATTAATTTGTCAACCTGTTGGATTCTTTTGTAATTAGGTCCCGTTTTTTTCCACCAGATCCTCGGAATCACGGACCCTAAAGGCAACAAGCGTTACATCGCCGCAGCTTTTCCTTCGGCTTGCGGGAAGACCAACCTGGCTATGATGACACCCTCCCTCCCCGGGTACAAGGTGGAGTGCGTCGGCGATGATATCGCATGGATGAAGTTTGATAACAACGGCGTACTCAGGGCTATTAACCCTGAGAATGGGTTCTTCGGTGTGGCACCAGGTAAGGATTGATAGAAAGTTATGCTGCATTTAAATGAGGAGCTGGCGAACAAAACGGTATAATTACATCAAATTAAATTTTACAGGAGCAGTAAAAAACTGAATGACACACCTACAGTGAGCTTTTGGCGTGATTTTAAATTTAGTAATTTTAACACCATTTGAGGCGATTTTTATTGACATTAGTTGAAATTCAAATTCAGCTGACCCGAAACCTCCGGGCTGTAAACATAAAGTATTATATGGTCAAACCATATGCGTAATTATACAGTTTTGTTCGCCAGCTCCTCATATAATAGTATATATTGCTGAAGGTTGTAAAATAAGTAGCTCCATGTGGAAGTTATGATTTTATGAGTAATGTTTTAGTAACTCATGCAGGTTGTAGTGTAGGTAATTAATTTATAATCTCACATGGTTAATAGGTTTTTTATTGCGACGTTTGAGTGTTCGTTTGTTTATTAATCAGTCGTGTCGATATATCTTAAATAAATTACGTACACGCTTTATACTTAACTTGGGATTTGAAAAAATACACACGATAATTAACTTTTGTATGTTTTCCAAATGTCGATACTACAAAGACCGGAGATATAATTGCAAGTTTAATAGTAACGCAGTCATGAATGATAAATTTAAATAAAATAAATAAAGTTAACCTAGAATCTTCTCTTTTCTCTTCGCGCTTACTCCGTACAAGAATTACGGAGTACGGCCGTATTCAGATTCATATTTTTTTGTTATAATCTAACTAAAATCAAGTGTTGTAAAACTCTATATTTCGATTTAAACAAAGAAAAAGGCAGCAATCACTTTTATCAAACCCAAAAAGCTGATTGACGTCTCCTGAATGCAGCCGTTAAATCGATATCTGTATAATTTAATATGTATTATCTGTTACAGGCACATCAGCAGCCACCAACCCCATAGCTATGGCGACGATATTCAAGGACACCATATTCACAAACGTAGCGGAGACTCAGGAAGGTGGAGTGTGGTGGGAAGGCATGGGAGATGCACCTAAGAATATGACCGACTGGAAGGGACAGCAATGGAACCCTGATAATAATATGCCCGCTGCACATCCCAACTCCAGGTAAATATCACCATCAGACCATTACTGTCCTTACTGCTGAGGCACACGCATTTCTTATGGATGGAATAGGGAGATTGGGTAAAGGCCGAAGTGCGGTTCGGTGGGTGCTATACTAACGACTGCAGATTCAGCTGTCAACGATTGCTTAACGTGCTCTCCGATGCACGGTTTTTATGCCTCAACGCAAAAAAATTTTTTTTTTGTCTATTGATAGTTTTAGAAAAAATATTCAACAAAATTATAAAATAATAAGGTAGGTATATTAACGAATGAAGCTGTGCCTTAAATAGATACCCGGAGGTCAAAACTCCTTGATGTAGACCCATATGGTTAGAAAGCAAAATCCTAAGTCAGTAGTAATACCATTGTTGCTAGTCATTAAAAAATACCCCATTACGAGGCAAATCAAAATTATTCATTTGTTTATTTCCCTAGATTTTGCACACCTGCAAATCAATGCCCGATAATAGACAGCAACTGGGAAAGTGCCGAGGGTGTTCCGATATCAGCCATCTTATTGGGCGGTCGTCGCCCGGCCGGGGTACCCTTAGTCGTTGAATCGAGAGACTGGAAACATGGAGTCTTCATGGGAGCTTCCATGAGATCTGAAGCCACTGCTGCCGCCGAGCATAGCGTAAGTCTCTTTTCTTTCTATGCACATTAAAGGCTAGACTTATTTTTAAATAAATAATATAATAAAGGTAAAACTAATTCAATGTTATTTTCCTTATTATGTACAGGGCAAAGTTGTGATGCACGATCCATTCGCCATGCGTCCATTCTTTGGATACAACTTTGGTGACTACCTGAAGCACTGGCTGTCGATGGTACAGCCGAAGAGACAAATGCCAAAGATCTTCCATGTGAATTGGTTCCGCAAGTCCGACGAGGTAAATAGATCCTTCAGCTAAGTACATTATTAAATTAAGATTCTTAATCATTGTACAATATAATTAAGAATTTCAATTGAATAATTTTAATAACTTTTTAGTTGATTTTATTATTAGTGTGAAATTATTTCAATTAGTATAATCGATTTCAATGATGCCTAATGAACAACTATCGCGCTTTATTGCGTTGAATATTGTCACATCTGTCATATTGTGATTACGGACAAGGTATGTCTCTTAACTAGATACGGTTCCCTAAATGGAAAAAAAACGATAATAATAGTAAAGACCACAATTTGAAATTCTATTGTGTGTGAATATTGTTCAAAGATAAATAATAGAGAGTATGTATACTAAAATTGCTTTAATTTTGGTACAGGGTAAATTCCTCTGGCCTGGCTTCGGTGAAAATACTCGTGTCCTGGAATGGGTGCTGCGTCGTTGCGACAATGAACCGTGCCATCAAGAAACGCCTCTTGGATTCATACCTAAAGAAAGCGAATTAAACCTTAAGGGTCTCGGAGATATTGATATGAAACAATTATTCAGTATTCCAAAAGAGTTTTGGATGAAAGAGGTAATTGCTCTTAAAACTTATTTTAGTGATATTCTTAAATGTTTCAGAAATACATATAAAAACCTTCGAAACTTGGATGTTTTGACTTTGGATTAATAAATTCTGTTTTTGTTTTTCATCAATAGGCAGATGCGATCGAGAAATACTTCAGGGAAGAAGTTGGCGAAGATCTGCCCAAAGAAATGTGGGATCAACTAGAACTACTTAGAAAGAATGTCAGGCATTCCTAGATGTATCATAAATACCAAAGATTAAAACTGTATACCTAAATTAAGCTCAGTTAATTTTACATTCCTCGACTTAATCATTTTCGGTGTTAATTAGTCGTAATATATTTTAATTATAGAATTAATGGAATTGATTAAATCACCTTAAAAGCTGAATACCTGTATGCCTCTTTGTCAAATTAGTATATACCGAGGAAATGATTTGGTTTTTTTTAACATCATGACATGTGTATTAGCAAAATATTATGGCTGTGTTAATTAGATTATGTAATTGTATATAAAGGTTTTAATGTAAAACTATTAAAATTAAGAATCAAATAATAAAAAGATTAAGTTTCAATGATTTTATTATTTTGTTACACAAAATATAAAAAATATTACTAATGGACTACCAGACAAAGAACTCGAGTCATGTGGCACTTTACGCATAAGCAGTATTCATGCGGGCTATTTAAACTTTACAGCTCTATATATAGGTCATTTCGCCAAGTTAATCTATGGTTAAACTTTTTAATACAAAAGTAGGCTATAACTATCACAAAAAACGGCTTATAGCACCATGGGTAGCGCGCCCCGATCGGGGCGTGCGGTGATCGACCGTGCGGTATTTTTCGAGCACGCCCCGATCGGGGCGTGTAGTCTTTATTGAGTGGTGTGGTGCCTTTGATCAACTTACTCGTTATTTAATTCAGTTATAAACTGTCTTATTAGGAACAATGCAATGCATTAAACAAATTATATGTCAAATTAATTTTTCTTCTTTGTTACTAAACTACAGTTAGACAGTTTAGCGAACACTTTATTTCAAGTGTTTTGCAGAAAAAACTCTAACTCCATCTTGTGTTGAAGCACGAGCATATTTTGTTAAAATAGCGTTCACGTTCAGTTTCTCGGTAGCATAACACCTGTTGAAAAACTATTTATTAATACGTTTATAAACCTACAAAATATTTAAATGAATGTAGCAAATGGTCGAGAATACGTAATAAATCCAACTGCATATGTGAAATACGAGAGAAAGAGAGAATTAAGGGAGTTGATGGCAATGATAAAAGATATTTATCATGTGAAAGTTCTCCTGTCGTAAGGATATTTTTTTTTCCGTACAGTGGCACTTGTGGCAGAAGTTCTTACTAACAGGGTAAATTCAGAAAGAATTATTTAGCCAATGGCAACAAATTTTATTCCTAATGAGATGTATTTATATTTTAGACAATAAAAGCAAAGATTTTAATCGTAATTATTTTCCACCCAATTCAAATGAAAAATCGATTATTCACTACCTCTTCTCTTCTAATATTGCTGTAGAACTGAGCATAGCATAAAGACTTACTCAGCGTGTAATGGAAAAGGCAAGAATCTATGAAAAAAAATCTTACTCTATATATGGTGAGATTTCTGCAACTGTCCACTTCGTTTTCTTTTGGAATAACACTTTAAATCGTTCGTTTATATCTTCTGGCAAATCTGCTTCGGACATTGCCCAGATCACATTTGGTGTACTTGTTTTATCTATCAATGCTACTCCGGAGAGTAAAGATTCCTGAAAAAATAAGAATACGATCTTGTATCTCCATCCCTCCATGAATGGAATCAATTCTGATGCACTCTTGTGCAGATTAATTGATATTCTTACATAAATTTTCTCCTTGGGAATACGAAAAAAATATTTCATTTAGTATCTTCATACTTATTGAACTATAAAATCATATGGATCATAGTGTGAGGATAAGGGTAATAAGATTATTATGCTAGAATCTAATCAAACACCTTTCGCTTCACTTTTGTTTTTTAGTAATAATAATAGTAGTAATTTAATAATTCGTCCGTCCGAATAGCGAAAGGCGTAAGATTCGATATCCACTTGGGGTTTAGTTTATTTTTTTATTCTGCTTCTCTTTATAATGTAGAACATTCTCTTTATAATGTAGAATTTCCGTGAAATGAAACTTCACGGAAAAAAGTAGTCTACTCATGCAGGGTTTAACCCGGGACGGTTAATGTATCTATGTCAAAATCAGAACTTAAAAAAGACTAGACAGAGCAGTGTTATTTATCTTCTTGAAGGAGATGAAGTAATTATTTATAATCGCTGCAATGAAATAGTTATATATTATTCAACATTTTCTATTTTAATCGTTGCAGCATACTCGCATTCTTGCAAAACTAGATAAAAGTCCGCAACAGAATTGAAACCAAATACGTAAATAATTTAATCTACACCTACCCACCCATGCTTTATAACATCTATTATACATTATTAAACAGTTAGCTTATTGCTAGCATTAAAACATCTGTTGTCATAATGCAAAAAAAAACCATTACTGCATTTTACGTCGAGGGAGCTCACAGGAGTGGTTGACAGGGAGTTAATTACATGAACTACAGTTGCTATATTTAGGACTCACGCTCTAGAGATTCATTCCTTATTCAACTAATCAGGGATGTAACGGAGGTAAAGTTGGAACCGAAGTCGGAGTCGGACTTTTTAAATTTTATTTGTCGGAGTCGGACTTTTTAAATTTTATTTGTCGGAGTCAGAACCGGAGTCGGTGGCAGTCAGGGTTAGAAGCAGAGTCAGAAGTGGTCACAAAAGAGATATTTTTAACAAATATAAACAACATTCAGTCAACCTTTTTTCGTTTTAATTATAAAATAACCTTTTGTTTCATTCAAATTAACTTATTATTAAGACAGACTCCCAATGCAACGGGTCTGAACCAGTTCGGAATCGGAGTCGAAGCTCCATAACATCCCTGACACTAATCACTAAAACTTTTGCAAAGTTTATCCTACCTACATTATTTCGCCTATTATTTTTTACTGAAAACGGCACAAAATAACTATTCTTTAAAACCTCTATTATAGATTCTGAAACAGTTAGCTTATTGCCAACATTTAAACATCCGTTGTCATAATTAAAAAGAAAACAACACCGAAATGGCTTTAATGAACGCCCCATGGTCTTCAATGCAACTGTTCATAATTAGATATTACAACACTCATGTGATACGATTATCTGGTTTTAATACCTCTCATTATACAGTTGCATAAATAGCTATTATGACGATGGTAAAGAGCTTACATTTGGTACCATCCCTTCGGGCACGGAATCATTCCATGCTTGCAGAAATTCAGCTAGATTAAACTTTCCTGCACTTTTTAATAATACTCTTGCTAAGAAAGTGCATACTTTATCTTGTTTGTATTGATAATACTGAATGCCATCCTCGACTTCTGACTCTGTAGTGTAAAATTTAAAAGTAGCCTCCAATATATGCATGGGTAAAAGTTCCTTCAAGCTATCGAAAGTTATTTCTTTTGATATTTTATCTAAAGGCCAAGAATTTTCTTCTATAAGATCCAGCATATATGATAAGACGCGAAATTCATAATCAAAGTCTAGCAATCGATAATAGTTATCGATTTTGATTGCTTGTATTTTTTCTAACTCTTCATCTAATTCTACACTAGACGCTTGAATTTGGTCGAATATGTTCTCATACGTCAACAATTTATTTTTTTCCACGGCGTACTCTAATTCAACTCCTTGATACACCGTGGGTTCTAAAAGTTTACGCAATTTATTCAATCGCGGTTTACACGGCCTCAGTTCGAAATATGTAAAAAATGTATTAATTATATCTTTATGTTCAATATGACGAGGAGCTTTATTCCCTTCATCTGAGTCAGTAGATTTATTGAGACTTGTGTTAGACTTTTCGAAAGAAGTATCTGAGTCGCATTCCATGGAATTATTTTGCACCGATTCATTGAGACCTGTTGCAGCTGCAAACAATAAATCTGGTATTAAGAGGAGACTATTTGATGTTTCTGCCTCTTTCACATCATATGTCTTTGTATTAGTACACAAAACGACATTTTCATCAGCATCGCCTAAAACAACAAATAGAACTATTAAGAAGCCATGTTATGAACTGTCCGAGGTTGGTGACCTAAATAATATAATTTCACACTAGGAAAATAAAATAAAAATTTGGATAGAAAATAAAACCGACTTCAGACGCGAAAATAAACTTAAAAGTAAAAATAATATATTCTGGTTCATGATTTGGATGTCGGACGGGGTGAAGACTGAAACACGAAGGTACGATCAAAAATGAAAGTCTATTCCATGTTTTATTCTTGGCCCCACCGAATTCCAAATCATGAACCAGAATATAGTTGGTCGTTTTTATTTTTTTAAATTCTTATTTCATCGATTTTAGTGAAAATTATATCGTGAAAGTATATAATAAACAAAAACGCCCATAAAATTAAAAAGACTGGGTCTACCTCAATATTATTTTATATGGGACCAAACAGCAAGTATCTCACATCGAACAAAAACAATCATTCAAATCAGACGGGGAATTTTTAAGTAATCGGTGCACATATTAACAAAGTATCTTAAAAATTACATCGTCTTAGTAAAAAACTGCTCATAAAATTAAAACTACTTCACCAAACTGGATTAAATTTTTATGGTTCCAAATGGCAACTATTCCGCATCAAAATAAAAAAAGTATCACGTAAATCAGATCTCCGAGTAATCGGTGTACATAGGTACTTAAAAAAACATACCGAGCGAACTGAGAACCTCCTCCTTTTTGTAGTTGGTTAAAATAAAAATTCATAAATAAAATTTTCGAACACACACATAAGCGGAGCCCCAAAGTAAACACAGGTATAGTTAGGCTTGTGTTGCAAGAATCTAGAAATATATATTTAAATAATAAAATAAATAATAATAAATATTTCCAACACTCACACCAATCAGCCTAGCCCCAAAGTAAGCACTGTAAGGCTTGTGTTATGAGATGCTAGGGTAACGGATAGAATACATATAGTGTACATATATAAGTATATTTATATATAAATACATATTAAACATCCATGACTGGAGTACAAATGCTCGTATTCATCACACAAACATCTGCCCCCACCGGGATTCGAACCCGGGACCTCTCGAGTCGGCGATACCATGAAACCCGGCGTACAAACCACTCGGCCACGGAGGTCGTCAAATAAACATCCATTAGGTACAAATTCTCGTATTCATTATACTAACATTTACCCCACCGGGATTCGAACTCGGGACCTCCGAGAAGGCAACACTCGGCCACGAAGGTTGTCCAATTGAATAAACTTCGCTCTACGAGTAAATACCCATCTTATTTCAACGGATTCTAATCAACACAGCATTTGATTTGTAATTTGAACGTCAGTCAATTCATATATTATGAATTCATAATATATGAATTGACTGACGTTCTTGACTTGCAAATCTAAATACTTTTTTTGTAAAAAATTACTTCATTTAAAAATTCCTTCATAAGTCAAATTAAAAATAAATTAATGAGAATCGTAATAAGCCTGAGGTCGTATGCTTAAACCTGTGTGGGTGCTGGAGCTGATACCTAGTCCGGCCGTCTGACACAGATCTGGGCCAAGAGCCTGGTTTTTAGCTGCCACGCTATTAGAATATTGGCAAGTAAACAGCGCAAACAAAGTGATATAAATGCCGGTGACATCTTGGTTACTAAGTTCTCGTACTCTTTCTTGTTCACGCAAATCAAAGACAGTATTCACACTACCTACCCTCAAATCAAATATTATAATTGTCGAATTAGTTTTTTTTTAGTAAAAAATATTAATCAATGTTCAAATTACAGTAAACTGTGTTGTATTGCATTACATTTAAAGAGTGGAGGGCTGATAACCTGAGACACGGGTTTTTTCCTAGTTTAGGTGTCAGCCCGCCATAATTAGATAAGTGACCTTTTTACTTAGTGTTTTTAATGGAATAAGAAACTGATTATGGTCAGAAATAAAGAATTATACTAAAAGGAGATCGGAGACGAATACGTCTTCTTTAATAAAAGTAAATAAAAGAATGTATTTCAATGACTGCGTTCATTGAAATTCACTGTATCTGCCGACGCATGTGGTTCAGGATTCGTGCGCTCATCCCCAGTAGTGCTTCTGGAAGCCCGTCTCCGATTAGCCAACTCATCTACTATATTTCAATACAACCAACGCGTTCATGCACACGCACACCAATTTTAGCGTAGCTTAAGCAGCTGTTTTTCGGAATAAAACTTAATACATCTAAAAGATATATTTATATTGAAAACATTTAAAACGTAAAACTTACCCTTAAAAATTAACTCATTGCCTTCTTCTATTTCTTTCAAAAGATAATCATCCAATTGCATTAGTCTCAAATTATCGTTTCTATTACTGACATCTACAAATCTTAGGACTTGTGTTATTTCAGTTAATTCTGACTCATGTAATTTGGCTGTTTTTATTATTTTTCTGGCATCTTCTGGAGTTCTCTTTTCTTCAGTACTAAAAAATGCACAAAATATACTTATAGGTTTATTAAACATGATATTTGAGAATGTAGTTGAGAGCTCGAGAAAAAAAAAGATATAGAAGTTGGAATTCACCATTAATGAACTGTTTCTTACGTACATACGATAAAAGCAGGAATTGTATTATCATCATCAAGGTAATTTTACACAACATTATGGCAATACAATTTAAAAAAACAAAACATGACATTTGATTTGACGTTGTCAGTAAATTGACAATTTGACATTCTCGCTCGCTCATTCAATTTGACGTTTTGTTCGATTTGTCAGCTCTCCGAAAAGAAAAACCCGTGTGCGTGATCAGAAAATCCCAATCTTAGTTTTAGAAAAAGTTTTAATGTGAAAATAGAAATCGAAAATGTCCCTATTTAGTGATCTACCTATAAACAAAAATGATGAAAAGCCAAGTGGCCCAGGAGCAGCCGCGGGGTTGTCGCCGTACCTCAATTTTGACCCTCACTACATACCAAAAACTCAACCAGAATTCTTATACCTGGACGACAGGCATATGGCATCAACGGCAAGAAGATCAAATGTAGCTCTACCTATCATAGGAATGTCCTTCATGACCGGTTCAGGTATGTGTTATTTTAATAATGTATGCAATCAATAACCTCAAAGAGCAATAATATTTTACATAACACATTATTTGCACAAAGTTTTACTTTAATAGAACGAAGCGAAAATCATTTTTAAAAATAAATGAAGGAACAAAATGTGAAAATATAAACTGAATTTAATTAGTGCTGTAAAAATGTATGAGAATATATATCAAAGTATTTAAAATATCATTACCATCAGTACCATCTTGTGGCATTCTCATGCAAACATATTTGGGGTTATGTAGACTGTTTGCGTTTTTATTACCATATCACGTAATCAAATACTAGAAAATTTGTATTGTAAATGGAATACAAAAGATAATTACAAATTCATTTATTTATTTCAAAGTCCCACAATGATAATACTCAAGCAGAGAAAATCACAATAGCTTAATTAATGCCCTATTTTGTAAGTGTACTTTTAGTTCATTCAAATCTTATGTTGGGAAAGCAAACATTTCATAACTCTGATTTTTTATAATTAACAAGAAATAACCTTATTGTTTTCAGGTTTGGGGGGAATGACTGGCCTTTACAAAGGATTAAGAGCTACTACATTGGCTGGTCAAACAGGGAAAGTCCGTAGAACCCAAGTTGTAAACTATATTATGAAACAGGGTAAGAAAATTTACTAATGCATACTCTTATGGAGACATTTCATTTGGCTATTTGCATTTGCTTTTTTTGAACTTCATCAGTCAAGTTCATAAATAGCAAATAAGAATAGCCAAGTAAAGCGAGGGCATTACACTCACTCTAATTATAGCATAGGCCCAATCTGCACTGAAGGTTAGTGTTAAGGGTTGCTAGCTTAACAGATAACAAATAATAATAAGTAATAATGATACATAGATGTCAATGATTGAATTTTTTCTTTTACTTTCACTATTACTCATTAATTTAACTAGTTTTAAATGTTTTATTCTATAAAAATCAAGCAAGTAAATAATATATATTTTTAGCTCAATGAGTAATCTCATTCTGCTTTGACTTGACTAAAACTGATGCTGTATCTTTTATTTGCTAAAAAGAAGACAACATTATGTTTAAACCAAGACTAACTCTAGTCCACGTTTTAGAATAAGACATATTGAGGCTATAGAAATGTCTCAATGTTACTTTTCCAATACTAAATAGGTATAATAATGGATAGAGCACATGGGTCACAGACTGATATTATTTCTTATATGAGCTTTTTGACTTTTCAGGGACTACAACTGGCTGTACTCTTGGCATCATTGCATCTTTTTATTCCTGCATTGCCCTTGGAGTGACATGGCTTCGTGATAAGGAAGATACATCCAATACCTTTATTGCAGCAGCAACTACAGGAGTTATTTACAAAAGCACTGCAGGTCTTCGATCAATGGGGTTAGGTGCAGCTGTAGGCCTCACTCTAGCTGGAGTGTACACCCTAGTTACTGACAATGACAATATATGGAGCAAAGCTAGATATAACCGAATGTGATTCTCTACCGCCTAAATTAGAATTTTGTAAATAATAGACTGTTATGTTGTTTTATGTTATTTAATGCATTAAATCTGTCAGCGTTAAGGACTTATTTGGGCCATGTCCAACCGCTCAGACGTAATGCACATTTTGTTCTGCCAATGATCTACATCCAGTATCGGAGCAGCAACATCATTATACATAAGCCTTTAAAATAAAACAAATTGTTTGAAAAATTATAATGGCTATTTATTTTTCATGAAACTTACATGTCTATGTATTTTGTACAATGTACTGTTTATTCACAACACAATAAACAAAGTTTTTGCCAAGATAATTCATAAGCAGCAATTGGGAATTAAGATCAGTGCTTGTGGAAATTTTCATTAACCATAAAACATTGAGGTGTTCATACCATGGAGCAAACACTTTTGCTTTGAAATCTTATAGACGACAATAAATGTTTGCTAGTCATTTATTGAGCAGTATAATCAACACAACAATTTTGGCACCCTTCTTTTTTACCAGAGTAGGTACGATATGAAATTCAAATGCAGTAATGTAAAAGCACACGCTTTTGTGTCCATTTATGATGGTATTAACAGAAAATAATCTTATTTTTGCTAACAAGTTGGTGTAACCAATACTTAAGTTACAGTTTCCATTAATTTACTTAACATTTATTTTTAGAGAAAGGGCATTGTCCAGATTTATCCAGATATAAATATAATCGTCACACCTAATTTTAAAGTACAGTGTAGTACAGTTCATACAATGGTTACTTTAAAAAAAAGCTTTTGATAAATCAGATGGTAGTGAGAGATATAAAGATCTCCTTTTCTCCTAATGTTAAGTTTCAGGTACCTAACAATGTACTATAGTCCAAAGCGTGCAAGCAATGCTCCCATTCAGTTTATTTATCAAAGAATTATCAAAAAAAAATACAAGTTTAAATGTTTATTGAAGTTGGCTGACCATTTCGCAGATAACTTCAATCTAAACACTCATATACATTGGCGTTTAATCACTTAAAATTTTTCAAGAAACTCTCATGCAATGTACGACCAACTCTCCATAGTCTTATAATTATGTATGATGTATATATCAAACAGTTCATATGTGTTTACTGATAACAAACTTATCATAATGCCCTTAGTAATATTTCGTAACATAAATTGCTCTAGCAAGTTAGGTAATTATGTACCTATAACTATTTATTTACAATTCTTAGTTCATTCATGTATGGATGGATTTTATTGTTTTTTTTTTCAAAATACATATAGCCCAATTTATTTATGTATAGGAAGTTGATGAAGGTTGTAAATTTTACAACTATTCAATTGACTTAAGTCGAGATTTCTATATGAACATGTAACTATAATAATTTCACTCCTTTGTAAAGAAACAAAATCTATAAGTATAAAAATAATCAACATTATTCTTCTGTTTTTTTCTTTATATCTTAGACTACACATTATAACAAACTTAAAGTATTGTGGTACTATTCTAATCATACATTATTTCATAATATCATGTGGGTGCCTAAAACAAATAACTTATTTACACACTTTATCCAATTGTCGCACAATGTTAAAATCATAATAATTGTTAAACTCAAATGCAATAATTTTATCTTGCATGTACATCAGTCATTGTAGTCTAATGATATTAAAATATTATCCTTTAGAACATTGCTGTGTAAATCAGCAGATGAGTGGCAAAAAACACTTTTGAATGCTGGTTACGTGATAAGAAATAACACGTAGAGTGCAATGAAGATGATAAAGTATAAGGGTTATTTATTACTTATTTTATATTATTATCTTTTTTAAAAAGACATCTAACAGCAATAGTAATTGAGTAATTTTAAGATTTCTACAGTTTGGCCACCAAAATCAGACACAAGCAATATACATCTTATCAAAACTAAATTTTATTTTGCAGTCAATGCTGCAACCCCTCTGCTTTGAGGTGCAGCAGTCTGTGTGTCACGTTGCCGCATTCAAAATAGACTTCATATCTTCTGGTAAAACACAATTCAGATCTTCCAACCTCCTTGCTAATAGTGTCCTTGTGTTGTCAGCTACTGGAGGGTTGCTCTTCAGAACTTCTCTGAGTTTCAACACCATATCGACAATTTCAACTTCTTTCTTACCAACAGACCACTTTTTCAAGTCACTTTCTGCCAATGCTTCAAGTTGTAAAGCATGTAGTTTGTTTGTCAAGTTGCTGTGCCTTTGGTGGAACCAAGCACTAAAATTTGGTGTCTTAAAAAAGTTTCTATACAGTCCTATCCAATCACCTTTGATCCCAGTTGTTAGTTGAGGCCCTGACTGTTGTAGGGTAGCAAAGAAATCTTCAGGATTAAAAGGATTTGGCACTGGTGGTGCCCTAAAAGGCGATATATTTTTCTGCAATGGCATTAGAGATGCCATATACCTTTCGAGTGGTATCATGAAACTTTGAGTCAACTCTAGTAAATGACGTTTAACCATCGCAGTTTGTACTTCAGAAGGTCGATCTGTTCTAATACCATTGTGTAATTTCTTGATAATAGTCTTATCCTTCTCCAGAAAAGGTTTATACTGAGTGTAAACTCCGGGTGCTGTGTCTAACAGTTTTAGATTGCCAACTTTTCGTAGTTTTGTTTTGATTGAAGTTGAGTCACCAAGCTTGATAGTATGTGGCCAATGTTGCAATGTTTTTGTAAAGAATGGATTGGTCACACCTAGTATTACACAAGGTGGGTTGAATTGTTTCCTTGTGAACTCTTTAAATTCACTATCATGTATTGTGAAATATGGTCTATATTCAGCTGAATATGGTAATGGTTGTATCAAATATGTTAAAGCTTGGACTAGCGCAGAACACTCAGTTGGCGAGCTAGCCATGACAACTATTGGTTCTGCAGTCAAAACCAGTTCCCATAATAAATGCAAATGTGATATTAGTGTAGATAAAGCATCAAACACATTGACATCTTGAATGGATGCTAAAATGTGTGGAACATTGGGAGAACTTACTTTTGCTATATCTGACCTGGTAATCTTTCCTGTCTGTTGGTTAGGTATATATGACTGAAACACTGAACCTAGGACTGGTAAAAGTACATTTTGTCCAGCATCCAATACAGGCCATCTATTTATATCATGACAGGCAGCCTCTAGGCTACTTTCCCCCTCCTCAAAATGCTTAGGTGCTATCAATTGAATAACTTTGTAAAACAAATTGATGAATGGAAGTCTAGTAAGTAATATTATACTTTTCTGAAAGTAGCCTCTTGGTAAGGATGGGTCCTTGACCTGGCGAAAATACACGAAGCCCCAGTAGTGCGTCGAATCCGCCCTGAGGGTGGGCACTGCGTCTTCGTTGTAAATAAGCTGTTGATTAGCGAGTGGTGCACGTGAACGAAGTCTGACGTGAAACTGCGTATCTCCCATACACCCAGAATTTGAGTCTGGAAATGCTAAATAGCAAATATTGCACTTCTCTTGGTCTGTCAACTTTACGCCTGGCGGGTAAACACTTTCCATAGCTTGTCCCAGTTCCAAGTCGAAAGTGACTACGCAAATACAATGTAGCCAATCTGAGAACCTGTTCCATTTCGTTTGAAATTCAACTTCTTCTGCAGACAATGGATTGTCTTCATAGTTTTGTATCCCACAAGCCATAATTACTAAATTTGCATGTCACACACTTCAGTTAAACTTTATCATGTTTTTTTTACCTTAATTTCGTTTTTATCACACAACTTATTAACAGTATGAACTAAAATACAAAATACACACGCATTTTATCTGTTCGTAACGCAATACAAACAACGAAAAGCACAAGTCGCGATCCATAACAGCTGTTCTGTCAAACATGGCCGCACCCGCCAAAACACAAGTTTGAGTTGAATGAATGCTAATTATGAATGAAATGAGGTGTTATAAAGTAGAAAATATTTTTAATATACACTTACCTATTATCCATTATTCAAACAGTTACATAAGATTATTACAGGAGCGAATTAATGTTATTAAAAAGTGTAATTTAACCACATTTACAGAATATTATTAATTTTTACTGTTTTATGATAGTTTCCTCTCTCTCTTTTTTTTTTTTAATTTTAATCAGTGTTGCCTCCTTCAACTTGAACAAGTCACTAGAAGTTCCATTGAACCTCGCTAGATTGTGAGAATTCGTGATATTAAAAATTCTTTTCAGATCCAATTCAGTCATGATTATAGGTGTAAAACAGCGGTTGTTACAATGCTGTTGTTACATTGGACAGTTAGCCAAAGCAGCCGATAACAACGTTTAAGACAGTGGTTGGCCACCGGCTGTTTTTCCGACTCAACGACTGTAATATTTTAAAAAAATCAAACAACCATTTTTAGCATGTCTCACATAAAGTAACGTTTATTCATATTCTTTTAAATACTTGCTGTATGTACAGCCAAAGAGGTTGCATATATTAAGTATGTATATAAACTATTTCTACGACAACGACCAAACAGGTATTTTTACTAAAACCTACCATGTCATGGTGTAAAAATAAAATAATCTATAAACAGAGTGTATGCTACCGAATACCGGATGCTTATCCGAATCAATACCAAAGTGTCCGTGATGCTAGCGTACCCACGATCAATATACGGGTTTTCGTTATGCCATTAAATAGTGCGTAAATAGTGCCAAATTAGTGTAAAAATAATAAAAATAGTGCCTCTTTAATTTAAGAAATAAATACCATTTTTACTGTGTACGCTACCATGACGTCAAGCTAGCGTACCCATGGCCGACCCCAAGAACGGCATATATTTAAGCAACGAAATTGACACACAAAAATAGTTCGCAAATAGTGCCCTGGCTTTACAAAATTTCATAATCAATACTCTTAAAGGACCAAAGATATTGAACTAAACATTATTAGCTGGCGTCAACCTGGCGTACCCATAATAGTTCTCATAGAAAATGAACTTTTCTCGTTATCAATTCTATATGTATATATAGTGTGTCAAATAGTGCCTCTAACAGTAAAAGTATTTTATGTGAATCCGCATCACAACAATACATAAAGAGGGTGTTAAATTCTAGGAACAAATGTATTGTAGTACAGTTACACACAAAATTAATTTATGCACTAAGAGATTATATATATATGTATTTTTACTAAAATAAATAGGTACTTTTTATAAAAAGATATTATATTTCAATTCAAATTCACCAATCATAAATTCATATAAGAATTTCAACCTACCTACCTACTAAGTACCTTACTTACCTACTATACTACTAAAATATTATCACTTTTGTACATGACTGTACTTCATATATAAAAATAATTTATTTGCTTTTTTTATATTGTTTTACTGCGAATTAACATAAAATACTTTTACTGTTAGAGGCACTATTTGACACACTATTTATACATATAGAATTGATAACAAGAAAAGTTAATTTTCTATGAGAACTATTATGGGTACGCCAGGTTGATGCCAGCTAAGAATGTTATGTTCAATATCTTTGGTCCTTTAAGAGTATTGATTATGAAATTTTGTAAAGCCAGGGCACTATTTGCGAACTATTTTTGTGTGTCAATTTTGTTGCTTAAATATATGCCGTTCTTGGGGTCGGCCATGGGTACGCTAGCTTGACGTCATGGTAGCGTACACAGTAAAAATGGTATTTATTTCTTAAATTAAAGAGGCACTATTTTTTTTATTTTTACACTAATTTGGCACTATTTACGCAGTATTTAATGGCATAACGAAAAACCGTATATTGATCATGGGTACGCTAGCATCACGGACACAATACCAAAAGGTCTGGGATTTTTATAGTTCCTGCGTGGAAATTGTTATAATACACAAATTGCTAATTTTACTAAATTAATTACCCAGGTACCTACTTTGTCATGGTGTAAAACATAAAATGTTTAATAATATGAATTATTTTGCGATGTACTTCAATTCAACACGACAGATAATAAACGTATGTGGATCATCGCTTATGCCTTCTTGAGAAAGTCGCTAAAAATCACCAAATTTATAAAAATCACCTAGTGACTTAGCAAATCCAAAAATCGTTGAGCAATTTGAGAATTCCCTAAATGTAGTAATAAATTCTCCAAAGTGGCAACACTGCTTTCAATATGGCATTTCTCATTGCCAATAAATTTAAATGTAAAAAAAATATGGGAGTTTTTGGCGGGATTTTATCGAGTGTAGTTGGCGTCTTATTTTAATTATCCTTAAATTCGTTCATAGTGGATATTGTCAAATAAAATTGGCGTGATTTTGTGTTACAACTGCCTGCGTAACTGAAGAATTAGTAGAATCGTCAAAATATACGCTATTCCGGTCAAGTGGACGTGAGAATTTTATTGTAGTATTGACTACCTCACAGAAGCTTATCGAAAAAGCCAGCTCGATACATTTCGTGCCAAACACTTCAAGAAACATTAGAATGCGTCACACCGACATTCTAATGTAAAAAGAAAAACAGAATAATTTAGCTTAAGACTAGGCTGTATGGGCATTGTTCCCCTTGCCTTCCCTGAAAAGGCAGAACTAAACAAAAAAAATGGCATTTCTATTTTTTAATATTGTGCCTGTAAAGGAAGGTAAAATATTCTAAGTTTATTCAGCCTTATTTTGTTAGTTTTTTAAAACGTTTAATAAAATACATTCACATTTTTTGACATTGGAATGCGCGTATGACTTTTCTGAGTGATCATCAGCAGCACGAAATATCATGACAATTTATATTTTAAAGAATTTAATTTTTTTATTGCGTAGACGGTTGCAGTTACAGCACAAATTCACACCACTTTCACCGCACAATGGTGTCGATTCCGGCATTATTCTCTAAACCTAAACTTAAATTTGACAACAGTGTATCCTTGTCATTCTATAGACACAATGAAAAGTAGAGATTGATTGTTCGTATTTTTTAAGCATTTGACTGCTAGTAGATGTTTAAATCTAAAGAAAAGTTTACTAGAAAAAAAAACGTCCACACGTCGAAATCAAAATGGCTAATGTTGGTGTAAATTCTGGTATGATTCTCTAAACTTAACACTCCTTTTCATTCTGTATATACTGCTTCATCTCGAACGTTAGAGTTCTCATACGTTTGGCAACCCTGCGCGGCACTTACTCGCCCGCGACACGGTAATAATATCATACAGTATTCTATCTTCATACAAGGTCGGAAAGCGAGTCATACCTACGCCACTGACTTGTTCAAAGTAGCTATAAAGCAATAGCGTGCTGCAAACTATATGCTACTTTTAAAAAGCGCGCTGTTATATACGCTATGTTAATAGCGCGCTATTTACTTGGAAGCTTGTGGCGGTCCGTTGGCAGTGCCAACGTGCCAACTTGGCACGTTAAATCTTGCAGCACGCTAGATGCTAGATATCGTTGAGTTTTATTATGTATTGCGTCACAATCTCGCAGGGTCCCGGGTTCGATCCCTGGTCGGGTCAACTAATACAATAACTATTTTTATTTCTTTTATTTATTTTCACACGTCTAGATTATTGTTGTACCGAAATTTTTTCCGATTCCCTTGGCACAAAAGCTTTAACTAATTTTAAATATTAACTATGTATGTGATATTTTACAATATTTATTTATTTTGATATCGTCTTTTATATATGCGGTTGTTAATAGTTTATTTCGTTGTCATTATCGTTAGACAGCTTGTATCTAATCTTCATGTTAAGTAAATATTTAGTGCTTTTTTATTTTTTAGTGCCGCCATCTATCGCGAATTTGCAGCATTTCTATATATTTACTGCTATCTATCGTAAAAGCAAGAAAGTGTTTTTGTAAACAATCAACGCCGCAATCTCGCGGGGTCCCGGGTTCGATCCCCGGTCGGGTCAACTTATACAATTACTATTTTTATTTCTTTTATTTATTTTCGCACGTCTAGATTATTATTGTACCGCCATTTTTTCCGATTCCCTTGGCACAAAAGCTTTAGCTAACTAATTTTAAATATTGTATGTAATATTTTACAATATTTATTTATTTTGATATCGTCTTTTATATATGCGGTTGTTAATAGTTTATTTCGTGTCCACAAACACACTCTTATAAAAAAAATTGTTAGTAACCACGCAATCTATTTATCGCTCGCGATAATAAATGTTTTCCTGCTGCGACGCGACGTTGCGAAAATTAATTGTAACGAACCGCTGCTATCAAGGCGCACGCGATTACTGGCTGGCCTGCCTGGTAGCGTCGCGTCTAGCGCCTCCCGCTGCCCGCTGCCGCGCGCGGTCAATCAACTCAATATGTGCTATATAGCGTTAGCGTCTTGTAGCTTTATGAAATAGCACGCGATACGTGCTATGGACAAATAGCGCGCTATAATATGGCGCTAGAAGCTATATTAACCACCTCTGCGCCACTCAGGTTCGATGGGCTCTCGGCGGGCACCCAGTTGCGAATGCGCCGCCGCGCCGCAACGACGACCGAACGGTCTGAATTGTTTTTTATGCAGTTAGCCGTGCTTAAACGTGCGTTTTGTATTGTAAATATTTGATTGAATTAAGTAGATACCTACATAATTTAGTATGGAAAAGAACAAACGACGATCAATATCGTACAACAGCACAATTGCTGTTTTTGGTTGCTTGAACTCTTCAATAACACACCCAGAGATATCGTTTTTTAAATTACCTGAAATATTGGAAAGGTGTTTTACCTTTATAGAATATTTTTTATATACCTATCTACTAGTACGTAATTTGTTTCTAATATTTAGGTATTTCGGTTTTTCCATCGGGCAAAATATCTGGAATAATATATAAATAAGTGGTTAGGATGAAAAAAGAGACAAACGAGTAATCTACCTACACTCGCGTTAAAAACAAAACTACATAAAATACTGTAGGCGGGCGGCCCTACCGCGAGCTAACGCAGCGCTCGGCCGTAGGCATTTATTTTCAAGGACAGGGCGGAGTCACAATACTGTATAGATAATATAACCGTGCCCGCGACATCGTGGGATACCACCTTTATATATATATATATAACTCAAAGGTGACTCACTGACATAGTGATCTATCAACGCACAGCCCAAACCACTGGACGGATCGGGCTGAAATTTGGCATGCAGCTAAGAAAGCATTTTGATCAATTATACCCCCAAGGGGATAAAATAGGGAATGAAAGTTTGTATGAAACTTGTCAATTTTAAACCGATCGGGCTGAGACTTTGCATGCAGGTATAAGAAGAATCATAGATGAATGTCATTGTGTATACAAGCCTGAGAACAAAAACTGTAATCTACACTTCAGCTCTACACCGAAGCGAAGCGAGGGCGGGCCGCTAGTATATTATACGTCCGGGCTTTTAAAGAGCCTTGATAAGGTCACCTATTTTTAAACTATAAAAAAATAGTATGTATAGTAAAAAATCTTTACATTTATGAATCGAGTAGTTAAATGCTTAAAATAAAAATATGAATGGTTCCTATGTTGGTTTACGATTTCAGATACTTTTATCCAGAAATAGTTACCATTATTCATATTTGTTTCTGCGTCCTTAAAACAAACGAATAGGGTATTTGACAAGGTTTAGAAAATGATCTCACGTTTTTTGCTAATGTTAGGGGATTCATAAAAAGTGTATATTCATATTTCTGTTGTGCATTTCATTAAAAAAAAAACAAAATTCAATTAAACAACCGAAAATTCAATTTGCAAATTGCCGCTAAAACGTTTCTTTGGATACTATGGCGTCGTCACTGGTGTGTGACGTCACACGAATGTGAAATGATACAATGTAATGTCACTTTGACAGGAAGTTTACTAGCAGGTCACGTGACCATAGAACAAAAATATCATTTTTATAGAAAAAAGATTAATTTTTTGATCTCTTAGAACAGTAAAATCGCTGCTAATATTCATATAAAATACACATGCAGATGCAGAACAATAATTGGTAAATTATTTTTCGTACTGTCTTATTATAGCTTATTGTCCTGGTTTTTTGAAAAGGCTGATAGCAAGCCTATTCGATCAGTACCACTAAATTTTGTGGCCCCAGGGTTGGCAAAATGGGAAGATTAAATATAATAAAATCAATTAGCATTTATATTTATTTGTGTAAACGAAATACAGGCTCCATCGGGGGCATAGCCAATATGACTTGACCCTACAATTAAATCTATTATTATTAATATTTATAAAATGTTATCAACTTCATCAATCACAATTAGATAGGTAGATATTATAAATTAAATAAATACACCAAACACGAATCATTATATATGAAAAAACAATTTAAGAAAGTGTACTTGTTAAACATTGGAAAATATCACCAGTCTATTTCGTATTGATTGATAGCATAATAGAAGCAAACGCATATCCACACCACGGCGACTTAGTGCAGGTTTTAAAACCATTTATAAAATCATCCGAAAGTAGACATAATTATTATACGGCGAAAGATAATTTTTACTTACATTTTGTTAAAGTTTAACAATTTCTAATTATAATCTAACAAGTTTTTCTTTTCTTTAACCGTCATGAGATTAAAGAAAACTAATGACTTACTTTTTTAATATAAGCCTGACACCAGTATTTTTATGTCGGCACGGATACGCGCTAGCCGTATTTAAAATAAAATAGAGGAATTACCTATCCTTTTGACTTTGTACATAAAAAATATTGCTAAAAGTTTCTTCAGCTATGGATAACTGATTCAATAGCGATCTAATATCACCTTAACACAATGAACTTCAAATACGCATTATATTTCACTACTAATGAAAAATTGACGAAATTATTTAGACAGGTACCATTCCAGTGATATTTTGTAAGCTGTTAACAATGTCCGAGAAATATTAAAAACTGTATATCGGGTTGTCATCTTTTACAATAAAAAAACCGGGTTTGGCGCTAATGTTTGCTGTGTGCTTCGTGCAACATATAAACCGAAAGGCCAGCCAAAACTCAGAAAAGCTTTGTAAATAATATTTGGCCAAAATTGAACAAAAAAAAACGAGCAGATGGCAGCACCACTCAAGTACAGTGCGACAATGCTCGTAAATGACGTACAAAATTTGACGTTTACAAAGATGGCGGCGTTGGTTCTGATTTTCGCCAAATTCATAGTGATCCTTGTCGCAATATAGCATTCGTTTATTACATTACTGCAATCGTGTCAAGACTGAATCACTCTGGTCTAGACTTTCGGCCCAATCTAATTATCTATATATTTTCCCGTCCTAATTATCCGATATTAAGACTGGATTGCATGATGCTTCCAATTTACAAAAATTCAATGTAATGATACCAATTCATAATACAACCCTGTCTGATCAGGATATCAGTCTTTCGCCACATAAATAATATAACATATTGCTAAAAAATACTAATCACATTCACAAATTATAAGCTCCGAATTCAGTAAATTAAAAATTAATAAAAATTTCTATCAGTTAAAAGTATTTCACATATCCAAAATAAAAAAAATAGCGTGTTGAAAAACGTTAAATTATAAACAATAAATACTTACACATAAATAGGTTCATCGCATACAATAATTGAAACTTCGATTTGAACCCCAATATGTATAATTTGCACCAATCATAAAAAATATACTTTCAATAACATAGTACATATATGTAAAGTATCATTAAATGAAGATAGCCATTTTCATGATATTAATTAAAAAAAATATTAAAAATAAAATTATCTACTTAATATTAAATGTGAAATTTTAATAACATTTTTAAACACAAACTGTGCAGTTCGTTGAAAGTGTTAGATAGTGCTTACGAACGTGTAGTTTCATTCGTGAAGTGAAAGATAAACACCTATTTATTTATAATTATTACACAAAGTAAAATATTGAAATTAATGTGATTTATTAACTTTTTTTTATTGTCGACGTAAAATTTGATAAGTTATATGGTCATTTGAATATCTCAGGCGTTATTATGCATGAACATAATATCAGAATCAATGAATTAGAAATGATAATAGAATACGAACTGATCCAAAAAGTGGTTCCACGCAAACTGCGATCAAGTGGGCGGGGCGAATAAATGCGATCAACACTGATCATGGGATTGGTTGGGAGTCCTGTTTAATTATCTTGCCTAATTAATGCAGCTATTTGATTTGTCAAATTATTTTGTTGTGTCTGTGTGCGTGTCGCGTTGAAACAATGTTTTAGCGGCCTTTATTAGAGCTTCCATATAATTTCTAATTGGTGGCTCTGAATGAATGTTTCATCTTTCGAACTTCATGCAAGACAACTAATTAAATATTTGCAGTAGAATTGTTTGTTTAGTTTAACCAAAATCTGTTTGCGGCGATCGAAATAGGTGTGACAAAAATTGTTTATTTGCTAAATAAATAGCTGGTAAAACCAAGTAGGAACGGGATTTTGACTTTAATATTTCCAACAGATTATCTAAAAGGCATAAAGAAAATATAATACGTTTGAGATGTATATAGTCCATGTTTGTTTGTAGATATGGTAGTATGCAAACAATTAACATTGTTCACAACATAAGTAGTAACATAATTTTAGCTCATTACACTTGGTTGTACGACCTTGAAACCTTTGTCTTCCTAAATGAGAGAACTGTCAAATTATAAATACTTTACCACCAATTCTCTTCGCATTTCATTCCTTTTTTTGTGGCGTTAAACCTAATATTTTTTTCACAAACATACTTGGAAATTCGACCATTATTTTGACAACCTTCTTCGAGAAAATTACCATACAAGCCTTGGCCACAACTAGGCATTGATGGACTTACGTATGTGTATTTACACGTTCGTCTATCATTGCCTCTTTTACTGGCCGCTGCAGAAATGTAACTACATCTTCATGATAAAATTACACTGCCTTCGAAACTTTTATTCAGAAACTAAGTACAAATGCCAATATTATGCATAACACACGACGCAAAGAACGAATTGACGCAACAATGCAAAAATATTTACAAACAAACACAGCTAAACTCATGTAGAAAATAAAACACTAATTTTTGTTTAGCACTTACTGCCATGTAGAGTTACTGGCCACATTACTGTTCTGAGCGAACGCATTTGGAAAACTCTGACCTAAGTTCAGTCCACCGAATTGTTGGTTTAGATTCTGTTGCGGCTGATTGAAGAACTGATTGTTCTGGGGAAATGCTTGGCCTTGTACCGGTTGCTGGACAGGTGCAAACGGTTGTTGTTGGAACTGATTATTCATAGTCTGATTAAATTGGTTTGCTTGAGGTTGAAACTGGTTGAATTGCATGCCATTTTGTACTGGAATGTTATAAGCGGGTTGTTGGAAAGCATTCGTTGATCCAAATGAATACGCTGGTTGAGTTTGGGACACCGAATTGAATTGGTTAACTAGAGTGTTTGATGGCGTTTGGCTGTATAAAGCCAATATGCTGTCCTTGGTCAGCTTTGACTTCTCCTTCTCCGTGGGTGCTGGTTGTTTGAAGAAGTTCTCTTCTTCGGTCTTGAGGTCTGATTTTTGTTCTTCTGGTTTGGTTTCCACAGGCTTCTCTTGGGGTGCGGAGAAAAAACTGGAGAATATATCGTCGTTGGGCTTTGCTTCCGGCTTGGTCGTATCGAGGCCGAGGAGATCGGTGGAACCGTTTGAAGTCTTGGTGGTGTCCGGTTGATTGGTTGGAGTGCTTCTACCAAGCTTCGGACTTACTGACGATTTCGGCTTAGGTATGCTGGGTATGACATCCGATTTCTGGAATTTTTATTTTACTTTAAAATATGTGGCTTTTTGATAAAGGCAAAACATTCCATGGTTTCATTCTCCAATATAGAATAAAATTTACTGCAATAGCGAGATATTTGTTTTGTAAACAATTTGTTACGTATGATACAAGGGAACACAGGTATATGTTTACGTATAACTATTAAGTTTATGTAATTAATGGTTACTGAATACAAGGACAAAGATAGATAGCCATTTGACTAGACTAGAGCGACCCAAGAAAGTTTACAACCAAATAAGTTTTCATGTAGTCTTTAAATTTACCTACATAAAGGACGTATACAGGCAGTCCTCGTACTTACGACATGTTGGGTTCTCGAAATACGCGATGTAAATCGAAACGACGTAAGTCGAGACATCCCCACGAACGCCGGCCCCACGGACCTTGACCTTGCGACAAGTGAATTCTCCTATGCCGAAAATCGAAACAACTGACGTATGCTTGAGGAATAGTGTCAAAACATTGTTCGACGTAACTTGAAATGACGTAAATTGAGGACTGCCTGTATTGACATGGCACCCATTGCATTTGGCCCTAGGGTAAATACGCCCCGGAGGGTAGGCAACTCGGGGATGGTATTGTTATAACGCGAGCGTCTATACGCTAAGCTGACCTCTTCCATCAGACGGGCCATATGCTTTTTGTAGCGTCAGCGTGTATTTTGTATTCAGAACACACCGAGCACAGAATTTACAGCTGACACACAGCTGCGCTACAGCAGTCCTGGGGATCAATTGCCTAATCGAATTGCTATCGCTATAGCTTACGATTTTATTTTGTTATTTCTGACCACCTAAGGTTTTCAAATAACTGACGCTCATTTTCTTTAAAAGTGTTATTGTCAATGAAAAAGAAAAAAAAAGATCGCGAGGCATTTGTGAACACTTCGGTGGTCAGAAATAACAAAACGATATCGTAAGCGATAGAGAGAGCCATATAGGAATCACGTTAGGAGATTGGCCCCTGGTGTTGATGTAGTATTAAGCTGAGGCAGGGCCTAGTTGGCCCGTCTTGCTGTATTGTGTTTTTGTAAATATGTGTTTAAGGTCAATAAAATTTCTTTATTTCTTTCGTTCTTCTATTTTAAATCAATATAATGGCGCGATTACACTTGGTCGTTAGTCCGAATACAAGTGCCAATGGAATTCGGGTAAACGACAAGTGTAAGTGAACGGAGTCGATTACGCCCGTATTCGGGTAGTTTTCCTTTTTATTTTCCGGACACCGTTTTCCAGCCCGTATTCCAGTGTTAATATTGCTTCGAGTGCCCGAATTCGAGTAATGTCTTTCGTGCACTCGAGTATGGGCTATGTACCAAGTGTAATTGAGCCATTAGTTAGGAAAATTAATATATAAGATGTAAATAGGATAAAATACGCTCTTAGTTATCAAGCGACACCCTGGCTGTTTGATTCCTCATCTCCCGTTTTGACCTTCTTGCACTTCTTTATAACATTTTAACATAAAAAAAGGAAACAAAACGATTGGGAAGTCAGTTAGGTGGGACTACTACTTTAGTGCTATGCCCCTGGTCTTTCACATAGAGAATATAATAACTCACATAAAGATTACTAACATTGTATTTCTTCTCACTCGCCGTAGGAGCTGGTAACGGTCCTAAGCTGGATGTGGTGGTGGTCTTCTTTTTCCGTTTCAGTCTATCCATTTCTTCGTCAATCTCTTTGTCCCTACAATAAAAAAGAAGATAATGGTGTCGATTCTGGCGTGATTCTCTAAACTTAAAACTAAATTTAACATCAGTCTTTCCCTTTCATTTTCATTCTGTATAGAAAATTAAAAAAAGGCACTGTTGTCAAATTTAAGTTTAGCTTTAGAGAATCATGTCAGAATCGACACCAATGTTACTGAGCCCTTATAAAACGAGAACCTTTGCTTTATAATTTTTTGTTCTAAAAAAAATTTGTTGAGATCCTTTTTAAAAGGTTACTGAAAATTCAATTATTCGCTCCATGTCTATTATAATCTATGTAATAATAATAATAAATAAATAAATATTTCCAACACGTAAGTGTTGCAAATTGGTGTAAACCAATTTGCCTAGCCCCAAAGTAAGCACTGTAAGGCTTGTGTTACTAGAGTAACGCATAGAATACATATATTTATTATATGTATTCTATGTGAGTTACCTCGTTATGTACTAACAGAAATAATTTAAAATAAGATCTCACGCCTAAGTGAGGCTATATTAACAGAGACGGATTTTAAGCACTGACGCGTTATCTATAGAATTGTTGATCGAAGCTGGGAGCGCACAATCACAACGAAGTAAGAAGAAGGACTGCATAATATAAGTCGACTAGTTGCAACTGTCAGTCCTTTAACCCCCGTATCTACCCCATAAACCGTTTTGACGTATGTTAGTAAGTGCAAGCGCAGGATAGTCGGCAGGCTTTGTCGTATATCTGGTTGTATAGTACGATATGACACATTATTATGGTTACTAATAATATAAAAGCTACTTCAATATGTCATGTGTCATATATTTCGATACCAGGCCATCTACCACTGAACCATCGATGTCTGTTGATAAGTTCTGTTTCTATACATATTTCATTACATACTAAAGATAAACTAAAAATATTTGTATCAGTGTAATGAATGTGTTACTTTAAAAACCTCTACCACCAGGAAATTACGAAATCGGGAGGTTGTGAATTATTGAAATGTCAACACTTCTCAATTTCTTATAAGTATACTAGTTGTCCCAGCGAACTTCGTACCGCCATAAAAAAATAGGGGTTGGTGGTAGAAGGGTGAAAATATTTTTGTATGATGTATCATAAAAAAATTAAAACAAAAAATGTTGCCCAAAAAAAGAATTAAAGGTGAGAATTTTATATATTAGAAGATTACTTCCGTGCGAAGCCGGCGTTCTCTACTAGACATAACAATTATGACTTACCAATTGACCTTGGGCGTGGGCGGCGGGACCCATTCTTTGGCGATATACTTCTTTTGTTCGTACTTCGCCCTAATAAAGGCCTCCAGAGAGGAGTCATTCTGCGGTCTCCGGAATGAGTCAGGAAGGTTTGCCTCATACACTGCCCTAGCTCTTGAATTGCCCATTTGTTGAAGAGATACCTGCAATTGAGATGGAAAATCGTTCATGCTTCAAAAATCACCATAACGCAGATCATGTCCACATCCATCACATCCATCCGTTGATAAATTAACTACATCTATCTACTGAAGAAAGTAGCTGATAATCTGGCGCATTCTGAGAGCCAAGAACGAATTTTGACAGCTACGTTAACATTACAGACATTAAACTTCATTCATTTTTTGATGAATTCGGCGTATTTTTCTACACATAAATGCATGATAATACTTGAGGTACAAAATTGGGTAGAGTTGTATAAAGAAAAGAATTTAAAGAACGGATCCTTTCTTAACAACGAATATATTTAAGTTGAGTTTGTTGAAACTCACAACTTGTTCGGGCGTCCACGAGTCCAGGTTGACGCTCTTCACCTTGGAGATGTGTACGCCTAGGTTTCGGTGGATGCCCGCACATCGGATGCACAGGAATATGCCTAGATTCCATGACGCCCAGCGAGGACCTGACAACCAGAGAAAAATTCATGAAAACGATCACAGGTCAACACGAAAAGCAATCGCCTATGTATGCCATGTTGACGAAATGGCATTTTAATATATGAGGCGCAGCAAATTACCCCACCCCACCTGATGTTCAGTGTAAGTGCAGTCTTGTCGAGTCGATAGATAATGCGGCATTAAGGGTGCTGCTGCCTTAGATTAAAACAAAAAGGGAAGATACGGCATTCGCGGGTCAAAAGTGATTCACTTAAATTGTGGTCCACGACCATAATTCGCTTTAGTCACAATTTGACATTCAAACACACTGCATGTACACACAATATAACAATATTGCGTATATTCTGTGTTATGTAGATAAAACAACGCCTTCGATGCTTTTATAAAGAACAAGATACGGCATTCGCGGGTCAAAAGTGATTCACTTAAATTGTGGTCCACGACCATAATTCGCTTTAGTCACAATTTGACATTCAAACACACTGCATGTACACACAATATAACAATATTGCGTATATTCTGTGTTATGTAGATAAAACAACGCCTTCGATGCTTTTATAAAGAACAAAAATAGTTCAAATCAAATGCCCCGGCAACGCTTTTCATTCGTAAAACTGTGAAAACATTTTTTTTTTCTCAAAAATCACGGTTTGTCGTGAATATTATTTACGTAATCGCTATTTTGTAAGCAAGAAAAGGACAACAATACGCTGCGTTGAAGCGTATAGTTCTGTTTCCCTCGCTCGATTGATGTTTATATACAGGCGTGTGCGTGGCGAGAGTTGCTTATGTAGTTGAGTCGGATCATATTTTATTTGATGTTAGTATGAGCGTACCGTATCTACCCTTTTTATTTTATTCTAAGGCTGCTGCAGCCATCCTCACCTTGAACCCAATCCCCTACCCCACGAAGCCCTGGCATCCTACTCACCAGCAGAAACACAACACCACTCAAAGGTAGTGTTGTTTGGCTGAGGTCTTCTGTAAGGTGGATATTGCTCCACCAGATGGCTGCTCCAATTCGAGCGAAAAATCCGCTTTGCCCTACCTCTCTTATGAAGACTGTCTGATGAAGATAGAATGAATCTATCAACGCAAATCTTGTATTTGGGCGTTTCTCTGTAAACTGGGCAACTCATTGCCTCAAGCTAATATTGTGTAGAAAAATAACAAATCATAAATATTTCGAAGATTACTACAAAATGTAATAACCGAATCTACCTATGCCCAATGATCAAAATCCAATAAAATAAACTTTTCAACACATTTGCTCAAAAAATGCATTTACTAAGGTTGTATACATTGTTCGAAAATTCATATTACGGGCCATACAGCCCAGCGGTTATAAGCGGTAATAAGTCGCCATAGTCACGAATTTGTAATAACAATCTGCACGAATGCCATACAACGTTTTTCAACACATTAGCGAGAAAACATTGAACATAATCTAAGTAATGAAGCGAAGTTTTTCTAATAAGAAAATGCGCAATTCCAAATGGCTCCATGTGCGGGTGATGAAAATGAGAACTACATCTTTCGTCTCTTTTTCCTTTTAGTATTAAAGTGAGGCATATGTATCAACTATAAGCGCTTCCGAGGAGGTTCGATCGAAATAAAAAAAGCCGTAAAGAATACGTACGGTGCCATGTATGGGAGCGTGCGTAATGAATTTTAACGCACGCTCCTCAAACCAAATCATTTCAATCAACAATCATCCGATTCACTAAAATTTGAAGACAGTGTATTCTTGTCATTATCTATATGGAATGAAAAGGAAAGACTGATGTTAAATTTAGTTTAGATAATCATGCCAGAATCGACACTACTGCTTTATCAGAATTTTTAAACAAAAGTTTAAAAATATAGTGACTGTCAGTGAACTCAGAAATATCCTACTAAGAATAATGAACAGAAAAGAGCATTGGCATAGGTGCTGGCAAACTTCTTCAGCAAAACCACAGACAAATAAACTTGAGCAGTAGACGTTTTTGTATGTAGCGTTTCTGCTGTGCAGTCTCCCTTGTCTATAGTCGTTGATCAAAGAGTTTGCTGGGGTGTATATGTTACCTATTAGTTTGCCATTCACACTAAGATTCACAAAGAGATTTATTTAGAAACTATAACTCTGTTGTTTTGTTATAAATACTATTACTATGAAACTGCTATATATCTCCTTAAGGTCAAATCTAAAATCAGATTTGTTATTCAGTTTCACAGCACTAATAATAGACATGAAGTGTAATACAAAACTATTCAGTAATTTGCTGATCTGATAAAATATATTTTTAATTCAAATTTACTTAATAATATCCTTGACATCGATGTTATGAATAAAGTAATGCAAGCCGCAAAAAAATAATTGTTTGTTTCCTTTCTACACTATAAAATAACAAATCAAGGACATTTTCATTAGTAAATTCAGTTGTATTAGGCCAGAGTAAATTGTGCCATTGGCTTTTGTGATAACAATCACAATAATACACAACTATAAAAAAAATATATATTTATAACTAGTGGGTGCCTGCAACTATGTTTGCATGTAAATACCGGTTTTCCATACAAACTTTAAAACCCCGTTTTACCACTTTAGGGGGTGAATTTTCAGAAAATGCTTAGTGCATGCCTAAATCGTAAAAGCTATATGTGTGCCAAATTTCAGAGCAATCCGTTCAGTGGTTTGAGCTATGTGATGATAGATAAGTCTGTCAGTAACGGTTGTCTTTTATATATGTATACAAATTGATTATATATTGAAGCACATACAGTAAGAATAAATATACGTTCACAAATAAACAATTAATACATACAAAGTTAAAGACATGTAATGAAATATAGAAATGAAGTTAGAAAAATAACAATAACATAAACACTACAGTCACATCAGCATCATTAATATTTTATATGCTACTAAATTTACTTTTTTTTATATTTTACACTGTATAGATATACATCCTAATCTATCATGTGTGAAATAAATTATTACTATCCTTGAAAAGTGAAGTTGATTAATCAAAGTAAGCAAGCATAATAAACGAAAAATCATTTAAAGCTTAACCTGCCAAGATAAACCCTAAATATCTAGACAGAAAGTAATTAACACTTTGAAGTCATTATTAACAAACGAGTGAACATTTAAGGATCAGCAATGTCATGCAAATTACCCATCCAAGTGTGAAGAATTATAAGGTTAGTTTTTATATTTAGAATTAAAGTGATGTTTGTCATTTTAATCATTAACTACATTATTTAGAATGTTTTAATATATATTTTTTTTAATTTTTATTGTATCCCTGGATAATCATACAATATATAATAAAACACAGAATATGACATGATAAGGTTTTTGTTAGAATAATTCCATTCTATAAACCAAATCAAATCAATACAATTCCTGCTATTCAAGGATCTACTTTCACACAAGAAAAAAGCATTTATAATTATCAGGATAAGTAAATTACCCAAGTATTGATAATAGAATCGCTAAAATACTTCCTACAGAGTGATAAAGTCAGTGACTCAGGGGCTCTTCTGATGTCCTTTATTTTCAAACGAAAGTGCAATGACCTGCAGATATTTTAACATGTTCGAAGAGATAAAAGAAGAGTTTACATTTTCAAGTAAAAATATACACAAAAAGTTTAGAGTTTTATATAAAATCAAAATAAGAAAACAAAGTACCTTTCGCGTCACAGTCAACGCAATATTTATTGTCGTCATCTTTCAGCATCTGCATTAAGATATTCTGACATCGATCCTGGATTTGTTTGGCTCGATCCTTTTCACTTTTTGAAGTCATTGCTTCTAATTATAATTGGAAACAATTTTAACTTCAACAAAAATGGGTGGAATGCTTGTTTGTTGAAGGAAAGAGAAAGATCATAGACGACACAAGAATGACAGCAGCGATTGATGAGGTGTATTGTCAAGTGTTATTTTTGAAGTTCGTTAGTCTCTGGTTTTAATTTTGTTTTTATGCGACTGCATATTATATGTACATTTTTTATGTAAGTTCACCGATTTCTCCGTTTGTGGACCGATTTCCAAAATTATTTTTTTATTCGAGAGATTGCACTTCCCAGGTGGTCCCATTGGAACCAAGTCAGGATCTGATAGTGGAATCCGGATAAATCAAGGGAAATCTTAAAATTTCAAAGGCACGCACGATGTTTTTTTATGCATGTTGCAAATCATGAACCAGATATAAGTTTTTACTTTTTAGTTCTATTTCCGATTTTGAAGTCGTTTTATTTTTTGTTTTGACGTGACAACGTCTTAAATTAGGTTGCGGCTGGGAGTCACTTATGAAAAAGTGTAACGCTCGGTAACGTTACGATGAGTCTCTCGTGTTAAGTTTAAGTTTACATGTACAATGGTATCAATTCTGACATGATTCTCTAAACCTAAACTTAAATTTGACAACAGTGTATCCTTGTTATTCTCTATACAGCATGAAAAGGAGAGACTGATGTTAAATTTAGATTTAAGTTTAGAGAATCACGCCAGAATTGGCACCATTGATGTCGATTCTGGCATGATTCTCTAAAGCTAAACTTAAAATTGACAACAGTGCATCCCTGTCATTCTCTACACAGAATGAAAAGGAGAGACTGATGTTAAATTTAGTTTTAAGTTTAGAGAATCACGCCAGAATCGATACCAATGTTTTAGTAAACAAAATATATTTCTATAGTTAAAATTTGTGCAATTCTTATTTTCATTCAATTCCTTGTTCCTATTGTGCAATTTAATTATATTCATATCAATAAATATTCTACCGAGAAAAAGACGTTGTCACGTAAAATCTTCGCCCGTAAAACCGACTTTACAGGCAACCATTTTTTTAATAATATTAACATCAAATCAAAAATTTTACAAAACAAAAACGATTAACTTTATTAATAAAAGAAATGAACAATCCTAAAAATATTAATAGCATTATAAATAAATTAACTTAATAATCTTGAGTCCATGGACATTGAACCCACTCCTTTAAATTATTTATAACTGGCATAGCACCAATAAGTTCTCGTTTGGATTGTTAATGTTTTCGTAAAGTGATAGTTTTAACACTTAAATTAAAATAGATTTTGAAATGTAACGTCCCTAAATTTAGGACCCCTTCCTACTCCCTTGTCACACGATGTCACACTTCGTCGTCGACCCCCTTTCTTTCCCTTAGCGTGTGACGTAATGAGGGAGCTACCGTTTTCTGCCTCACCAGATGGCGCCACCGTTGAGTGAGGTCCTAAATTGTAACTTTTAAAATTTATTAATACGCACATGAAATCAAAGGTTACATTTAGATCGTATTTTAACACAAAAGAACCATATCCTAAACATAATAGGCCATGCCACAGTGAGGCGCAGTTCCGTTTTATTCGGAAAAAATGGGAACATAATCATTTTTCTAAGCTCAAATTTTTAATAACTGACATTCATTGCCACATAACTCATATTTGCCATAATTAAGCCGAATTGTTACCAATTATTCACAACATTATTTTAATTAGAAATAAACCCGCGTAGTCAACCAACAAGCAATAACATTTGACATTTCGGAGACCTCACGCTACACTAGCGCCTCTAGCGGCGGATTCATACGCGATAGCCCTCATTTATGACTGGCCCCTAATGCGGGTGGTAAGGGACTCGCTCTAGGGCGATCGGAGCGGTGTAATAATTGCTTATTCTACCTAGGGGCCATGCCCACTTGGGTAGAAATCCTGTTCTAAATAACAGATTTCAGAACTCGTTAAAACGATTTCACATTAAGTATCTAACCGGTTTTTACCGAAATAGTAAAAAGTTAGTAGGGCTTGGAGGATGTTTTTTGTTATGGTAATTCGATTGACAGCTGTCCTTTTTGACACATCCTGTCAAAATAAAATAGTCTCCAGCCAGCTGTTTGCATTTTTCACAATATTTTCAAAATATATCACACAGATTCAATTAGTTCAAACAAATAGCGCATCATAACTTATATAAACATTGCGATAATAATTCTAGACATTCATACAAGTTTGTTTCATTGTATAAAGTAGCATTTTTGTTTTATTAGAAGTAGTTATGCGTTTGTAGTGATTGGTGTTGTTTTTATGTAATTAAAATGGGCAATCAACTTGTGGGAGTAGCGCCGTCGCAAATTTATCCAGTAGAACACTACTTGAGTGACCATGCTGACTTATCATTCGACCAGAGGTAAAAGGTTTATGCTTAAATACAAATAAAAAGAATCTTCTTTGTTCCCCCATTAAATGACACATGACAATGTTTATAAGATTAAAATATGATTAACATACCCACGTAAATCTACTAATAGGATATATAAAATGTAATTAAGGTATTTGTAATTCTTGACGAGAAAAACAAAGGTTCATATGGACAATATATTGAACTAAATTCTTTTCATTATTTATAAAATAAATGTCATCATTTTCTACACTATGAGCATGATTTTAACAAAAAAAATGGTAAAACTACTTAACTACCAAACTAACTACTACTACTAACTACCAAAAATTAACACTTCACAATTTTTCGGTGAAAAGGTCTCTGTTGATGAAGTCTCTATGCAAAGTCTCCATACGCTGGCATGGGTAGTTTTTTCACAAAAAAAGCATTATTTTTTTACTCTATTTTCATTTTTTTTCTTCTAAAAAACTACCAGTGCATAAGTGTGGAAACTTTGTTTAATAATGTAGGGTAACAATAAAAATGTGAAGTTGCAACCAACAAAATTGTGAAGTTTATACTCTTTGCCATAGGAAGTATAGTATATCAAAAAAAAAAATTATTCATGAAATTAAAACATATATTTTTAAATATTCTTTTCTAGTTTGGGCTCTACGAGATTTCTCAAGGTGGCACGGGCTCGTTCGCAGGAGGGTTTAGTAGTGGTTAAAGTCTTTGCAGTTCATGATCCTTCACTGCCCTTGGCTGAACACAAGGAAAGAATATTGAAGATAAAGGAACAACTTGCCTCAGCATTCAACTGCTTGCCATTTCAGAGAGTCATAGTGAGATGTTGTTTTATCTTTTATTGTTTAAATTAAACTTTAAGTGATTAAATTCTGTTTTTTAAAATATTAACTTGAGATTAATATAGAACAATGAGAGAAGACCTTTTCATTGAAAAAGCCTTCTCAGACTTACAAATGTTCTGCTTATAGTGTAGACTCATCGCTGAAAGCGGTAACACAAAGAAAGCGTTTAATATGGTCTTCAATGGCTTCAAACACATTAACTACTGCCTATATTTTTTTTAAATTAAAAAAAATCTTTGTGAACCTTTCATAAAACAATTACATTATTTGATGTTATAGCTTACAGATAAAGCTGGCCTATTGATGAGAGAATATTGCAAGTGCAGTGTTTATGACCGCATGTCAACTAGACCGTTCCTCACTGTTCTTGAGAAGAAATGGATAACATTTCAAGTGTTATATGCTTTGCATCGGATGCATAAGTTAGGGATATGCCATGGAGATATCAAGGTAAATAGATGCAATATTAAAATAGTCAATGGAAACCGTAAGCAACATAAAGTCAACCAATTCACTGAGACACAGGTTAATTTAAAATGCCATAATCATTTATATGTTTGAGATAAAGGTCAAAACTGCCCAAACATATTCTTGGTCTACCTTATATCATAATAACTTCATCATCATCAGATTAACGTCTAAAGCCATGCATGACACACCACATGGGCCCAGTGCGTAATAGTGCGTGCCAACAACTGCAGATGCAGCCAGGCCCAACGAATTAAAGTGCATTCCGAAGCTTGGAGGAGCTCGAGATAGTATTTTTTTACCCATCCAGTAACAAACCACTGCGATGTTACTTATATTATAGCACAATGCACTATATTATTTGTAAATGCGGTTTTATTTAATTAATTATTGACACACTAATCTATTTTCAGAAAAAATAACAATATACACCTTGGTTGTAGCGACCATTTATACCTATAGCGATGTTAAATCCAAGTCCCTTGAATTTAAATCTAGCTAACTAAAGTATTTAGTACACAATTCATGTGGTTATAGCGACTTTGGATGTAACGCCGAGTTCAGGTGTAGCGACTGTTTTTAATGAATCATAAATTCCTAGAAATCCCATGCAGATATTGCGACCGGAGGCAGCCACCAAAAAAAAGAATAATATTTCTTTCTTTCACAAACATTTCTTACAGTTTGTTTACTTCCACACAAATGACCAGCAAACCTTTACCTTTTGTTTATAGATATCAGCTAAGTAGGTAGGAGTTAAATTTATGGTTCAGTTACAAAGTAATATTCTGAGTAGCAACTGGGTTTAGTAAACTTAAGAATAAGTATGGCTGCTAGACGCACATTCACTGTTAAAGAAAAGGCTTATACGCTATACATGTGTATGTGTCTGTATCTATTTACCGTTGCCTGTAACTAGGGATGATCGATATTAGAAAAGCATCGATGTTAACATCGAATCAAAAGTATCGATGTACGATAAATAGCGATAGAAAAACATCGATATGTCTAAAACATCGATGTTTTTGGAAACAAATAAAACTGTCTATTATATTTATAAAATGTTCTTATTATTAGAAAATGACATTAAATTGAAAAGCCCACTCTTCCTGAGACATGTAGTAATCACAAAAATAATAAGAAAAATTAACATTCCCAGTATTTTTTAGGGACACTCTGTAAAAAATGCACGTTAGACGGCGCCCCAAAGAATAATTGAGGTTTCGATACTTTTATTCTAGTAACATCGATGATTCGATGATATCGGAGTCAACCTATCGATGTCAAAACATCGATGTTTTACTGGAAAACATCGATGTTTATACAACATCGATGAATATCGATTATCTCTACCTGTAACTACTTCCGGATATAATGACGAAAACAGAGTGGTCCCTTCGTCGTCGTTATACCCGAAGTCCACTGTAATTGGCTTATAGTTTTATCTGAGTATTTAACTAGTTGATCTTTTAATTCAAAGAAAGTTGTTTTTTTATCAATAAAAACGGTTTCGTTTTCATAATTAGTTGAAATGCTCAAATAAAAATAAAATAACTGTAAAATTATTGTATTTTTATTTTGTAAATTTGACTTCTTTGTGTGAATAATCGAAATTTCTTTCTGTGATCAATGAAAACAAGAGTAGGCAACCGAGCGCTAAACATGGTAGCACCGAGCGTCTATAGCTCTTACACAATTGATAATTTTTGATAATTGCATATTCACTTTCTAGCTAGAGAACATAATGGTGACGTCATGGCTATGGGTCCTTCTGACGGACATCGCTTCGTTCAAGCCTACCTTCTTGCCGGACGATAACCCGGCTGATTTCAGCTACTTCTTCGACACATCACGTCGGAGGCTATGCTATGTTGCGCCCGAGCGTTTCGTCAGAGCTCCGGATCCACATAACAGGCCATTGGTAAGAAATTACCTATCGTAAAAATACTAGCACCTACTGTAAAAGTATAAACCAAATATGCTATAATCATAATAACCTAGGCACCTAATTCCGAATGAAAGAACATCAAATAATCATTAATTTGACGAACTCCGTGACCCAGTGGTATATATGCCAGGTTTCAAGGTGTCGCCTACTCGTGAGGTCCTGGGTTCGAATCCCGGTCATATGTTAGTATGATGAATACGATCATTTGTAACTTGGTCATGGATGTTTATATATATCCCTATATGAATATACATATAATAATGTATCAAGCTTATGTATTTTATCCGTTACCCTAGTATCCCATAACACAAGCCTTTTACGGTGCTTTCTTCGGGGCTAGGCTAATTGGTGTGCGTGTTAGAAATATTTATTTATTACTTCAAAATGTAAAAAACATTAAAAAATAATTAAAGTCAATGTAACACTTGCGAAAGTTTTTCCGGGAAAGTATTATTGTCGTTTCGTAACACATGACGAAATTTTTAAAAGACACTGTGGTCAATCTTCCCACTAACAATGATTTCACCTTGTGCATGTCAAAATTTAACATGCCTAATGAATAATTTCGTGCAACCACTGCGATTCTAGATAAAATCCAGTGGAGCCTGATTTTAAAATACTCGTCACAGAAGCAGTGTTACCATCTTGAAAATACGAAAAGACAGTACTCTTTAATTATTCAAAATTAAATAGGGAATGAGTCTTGTGACCATAAAATAGAAATACACCTTCTGTGAATATTGCAAATGTCTGCCTTTTTACTGTTTATGAAATAACCCGCTGAATGACCAACAACTAGCGTAGGCTTAGCAGTAGGCTTCCATAGTCATTGTTACCCTTTTAAGTGCCTAGAAACCGAAAGAAAATGTCCGATAAGCCAAGCATCATGTTAAAAATTTAAGAAAATACAAAAGTGTTTTATGAAAATATTATGTTGCAGAGTGATGACAAAACCGGTGGATTGTTGTTGAGTGAGTCACCTTGCAAAGTAGGGGAGCTACTTCCCAGTATGGATATTTTCTCAGCTGGGTAAGTGAAATGGTATTTATACCTACTGTTGTTATTTGAATACTTGTAGAACGTTGTATAGTACACATATAAACTTTGTTCTAAATTTATATTTTTTATTTTTTAAGCATGTAACTGCTCGTTGTTTTAATGCCTTGCAGCTTAAGAAAGGCTAGAAAGAATTCGACACGGCCATCAGGGTCGCGGTAGCATAATTGGTCAGTGCATTCGCCCTGATAGCGAAGGGTGCGGGTTTGAGTCCCGTCTGTTGCCTGGTCCGCGTGGATTTTTTTCTAGTAATATTTTCTTTAGATTTGTTATATATATATATATTCTTATTATTTAAATGCTACAGAGGTGCAGATTCTGACATGAATCTCTATACGCTTAAATTAAGTTTGACAACAGTGTATCCTTGTCATTTTCTATACAGTATGAAAAGGAGTGACTTTTTTTTAAGTTGAGAAAATCATTCCAGAATCGTTTACAATTTTGAATGAAAAATGAAATATGTATTTGTTATTATACTCTATTCACAAGAGGTCGATAGAGCAGTGGTAAGCGCGTTTGGTTTCCCGATTATTAAAGTTAAACAACTTTTGCAATGGACGATTATGGGATGGGTGACTGAAAATTTGATATATCCACCTACCAAATTCAAAATCTTTTATTCTGTCTAGACTCTTACAAACATTTTGGAAGGTCGAGAAGCTACGCCATCGGTTCGGAAATGTGTTGTTATTTTCTCCCTGTATTATTATATACAGAATTATCAAGTAAATAATACTTACAGACTTCTTTTTCATTGACAAACGACACATATGACGCATCTGAATCGAATGTATAATTATTAGCAAACATGCAACTGAAAGCGACGGCGAATAATAAAAAAAATACAGATTTACACACAAAGCGTCTAGGGATCAAGATTTATGAAATAAAATATATCCAATCAATATTTATGAAATCCAGTCTTTCAAAGTATTTTTTCACAATCATAAACAATGTTTGACTACCTCCGTGGCCAAGTAGTTTGTACGCCGGGTTTCATGGTATCGCTGACTCGAGAGGCCCGGTTTCGAATCCCAGTGGGGGCAGATGCTTGTGTGATGAATACGAGCATTTGTACTCCAGTCATGGGTGTATAATATGTATTTCTATATAAATATACTTATATATGTACTGTATATGTATTCTATACGTTACCCTAGCATCTCATAACACAAGCCTTACAGTGCTTACTTTGGGGCTAGGCTAATTGGTGTGAGTGTTGGAAATATTTATTTATTCATTTAATGTGTTCTATTGTATGCAGATGTGCCCTCCTAGAGTTATGGAACGATGGTACCCCAGCGCTAGATCTTCCTGGTCTGTTAGCCTATCGGAACGGCGAAGACCGGCCGGCTACCATGAGCCCCCCGGAAGGGGAACCGCAGTTGAAAGCCTTGCTACATTCCATGACAGAGAGGAATCCGAAGGACAGACGCAGCGCAGAGATATACCTAGACGAAGCCAGGGGCAAGTAAGTGTATATATGTAGATAGATAGGAAATATTCACTATAGGTGAGTGTTTCTTGTATCGATACGATACGATAGAAAAAAATATATTCCACGATTCAAAAGAGTTTTCGATAAGTCAATTTATACAAAAATATTTTTATTTTATTTGATTTCTAAACCCGTTTCTACATAAAAAATTACCATCGGTGGAAAAGTTGACCTGCGCGCGCGTTGGTGTTGTTAACGCCATCTATCCTTCGACGAGAGAATCTACAATCGGTCCATCATCACCGTCCGTTCATACATTCATTCCATACCCATTCGTTACTACACTCACTCATTAGTTTTATATAGATTTACTCTCCCTCTTGTGATTCGAATTCAAAAAGACAACGTACGCACATAATTTCGTAAGATCTGTATTTTACTTTGAATAATATTCTACAATCTGAATATCCGATTTTTATTGAGAAATCCACAAAGAAGACACTAAGATATCGAACCGATGCTTTTGAAATATTTTCGTGTTTTTGTTTTACGTTAAAAGGATGGCAAACGATCTGAGGACCCGTGTAGTGTGTGTACAGTATGTAACGAACACACTCATCTCTCCCTAGTATATAAGGCATGTAAACCTAATTAAAGGGGTTTATAATCGCAGTTGCACGCTACACGTTTCACTGCAACTTAACCTTTCTATTTCTATACAATAAAAAAAATACTTTCCTTTCCTATTCTACTCCAAAATGATACCACAATCCTTAAAACAATCTAACAAAAATCAATTGCAACATACCTACCTATCATTAACTTAAAATAAACAAAATCATAGTTTGTCATATCCGTTGAGTACTTATTGTTATATACTAGGCAGAGATGAATGTGTGCGTTACATACTGTACACACACTACACCCGCCTGACGGTAAGCGCGATAGTCTATAGAGTAGACGCTTGCGATACCAAAACTATCACTCGCACCGTTGCCTACCCTGACCCAATCCCCTACCTTTTGGAGCCCTGGAACCTTATTCATCGACAGAAACACAACATAACCAAAAGGTAGTGTTATTTTGATGTAATCTTCTGTAAGGTGAAGGTTACTTCCCCAGGCGGCCGCTCCAATTCGATAAGATAATCCGCTATATGTGTTTTGTGTTGGAGCTCGATGGCGCAGGTGGTTAGTGCGTTCGGCTGCGATCGTTGAGTTAAGCAACTTTCGCAGTGGTCGGTCATTGGATGGGTGACCAAAAATCTTCTATCTCGAGTTCCTCCGTGCTTCGAAAGGCACAAGGTTCATGGCCCAATCTCCCTATTCCATCCATTGGGAAGGCCTGTGCCCCAGCAGTGGGGACATTAATAGGCTGATGACGATGAGGATGTGTTTTGTGTACTTTAACGGTGGTAACACAGTTTTCGAGATTACAATTTCAAGTTCACACTCCTTGTTGTGTTTCTGTTGGTGAATGATTCACATAGTATTTTTAGTAGATTCATGTTTTAAAACAGCCTTTTTTTCAGATTATTCCCTGAATACTTCTACTCTTTTCTCCAATCGTATATGCTTATATTCTCTGCACAACCTATCCTACCGCCTGACGAGAAAATACTCCGTATACACCAAGACATACGGAACATAATAAAGATCTTCACCCAACCGTCGGACACTAAGAACTACCAGGACTTAGTTGACGAGACCACAGACAACCAACCGGTGGACACCATAGACAAATTGAAAGACGGTTTTAAAGTTTTAAAAGTCAACGTCACTGATTTTGAAGAAGAGGATGTGAAAGCTCCTGAGAAGAAGGAAGAAGGGCCTGATAGTGAGGGTTTGATACTGATTACGTCATTGGTGACGTCATGCATCAGGGGCTTGCATCATTGCACGTCGAAGTTGTACACATTGGAGATATTGCAACTGCTCTGCGAGAATTCCAGTTCTGAGACGATTCTGGATAGGATATTACCGTATGTTGTAAGTAATTTAAATTAAATTCTGTATCTCGCACTAAGTGCTAGTGTTTTGTTAAGATGTACATAGCTAGATAGGCAAATGACTACCTCACCTAGTGTTAAGTGCTGGTAAAGTCTAGACGCGAGGATAGCTGGTGCAGCAGTTATGAACAGCATAGCAACCATCAGCTTACTGATATATAGTTTAAAACATATAGTCACTAATATTATAGCTATTAACGGGATTGTTACCATCTACCTTGTTTTTTATGAGTCTCCTATATTTCGGCACTGTTGCAAGCGCCATGATCAAGGAGTAACTGAAGCAATTGCTGGTAGATGTTATTGGCAGACATATCGGTCTACCCTATGACGTCGTCTTTTATTCACTCGCACTTGTTTCCGACACACAATACTCACAGTATCAAAAGTAGACAGACAACCACTATTTTTGCCATATATCAAAGGAGTGACAGACAAGATCTCGAACATACTTAATAAGTACTTACTGAATACTGTCTTCACTCCTATACAAAAAGTGTCACAGATTCTATGGTCTCCCAAAGACATAAGACAATAATAACATAATCAGAAGAAAAAACTAGTATTTTTTTTACGTTTATAAATCTAGCAGTTAAATGCTTAAAAATATAATAACCTATAACGTTGAAATCTCTAAACAGATCCACTTATCTCACGACAGCGTGAGTAGAGTTCGCGCTGCTGCAGTTTGTTGCGTAGGAAGATGCGTTAGAGCCGTTACCCGTCTGCCACAATCGGATTGTAACGTATTCCCCGAATATATACTGCCGGAGTTGGCCCCACGAGCCACGGACCCAGCGGTCCCAGTACGGATAGCATACGCCAACACTATAGGTGAGTGTCATCATCGTCAGGCTATTAATGCCCCAACTGCTGGGGCACAGGCCTTGTAGTTAGTCTGTAATATTCCCCGAGTATATACTGCCGGAGTTGGCCCCTCGAGCCATGGACCCAGCGGTCCCAGTACGGATAGCATACGCCAACACTACAGGTGAGTGTTTCTGTTAAATTCTGAATCCGCAGGTTGAACGCAGTGGATTGGATCGAATCGTAGAGAGAATGGACATATCTGTAGAAAGAGAGAGGATACAATCAATACATGGACGACATACTCGTAGGGGCTGTACGATCGCTTTGTCTCTCACTCTTACCTGTCCAGTTTACTTCACAGTTGATTAGGGGAGCCTCAGTCTGTTCACTATGTTTGGCATGAATTGGAGTATTCGTCTGTACTATAATACCCCAGAAAATTAGCATAAACTGCACTCCACTTAATGGAAATACTGCAGCAAAATAACACTAATTTACAATAAATAACGTACGATTTTGAAAGTTAAGCAATTTTCTTTTGATTCTTGTGACCAGAACTTTACTGTCTCAAGCTTCCCTTTGCTTCGAAAATCCAACGTGATCTTTGATCCTGCCTGCATCTGTATTCGTTAGCACCCACCAACTCGCATTGGGGCTGCGGAAGGCCTGTGCCCCAGCAGTGGAGACTTTAATAGGCTGGTGATGATGATGAGTAATGTTAGATAGCCACTAGTTTAAGGTGCCTGGTGCGGTACCATATTTCCTTATCCCATGAATGCTCTAGCATTCATGAATGCTCATGATTTATAAAACCAATGCATTTGCAGCAAAACTAGCCGAGACGGCTGTGAGGTTTCTGGATCAAACGCAAAATATGGTGGACAAGGAAACTGCTAACATCAACTATGAGACTGAACTGTCGGCGTTGCATGAGATGGTGAGTTCTGTTAACTACATTTTAATTTATTATCTCAAATATTAATAAAAGTTAAGAAATATCAATGATGTAATTGTACTGTACACGTTGTTTAAATACGAAATAAGAAATATTAATAATGTAATTGTACTGTACACGTTGTTTAAATACGAAATAAGTATGCAAGAGTTGTTTTAGTAGTATTTTTTTTACGAAAAACCTTAACTTACCTAAAATAAGATCTGTAACCTTTAGAATATAGGACAAGTTACAGCAACATAAAGCATGTAAAAAAACAAAGTTGATTCAAATTTTGTCTTTTTGTGGCTGTCTTGCAATCACGAATTATAAAAGGCTTCGAAATATCAGGAATATGTTAAATTTGAATCGAGCTTTATACCCATTCAAAAAGTTATTTATTAAATGATTGGTGTGTTTGAAAATTTTGTTTTGAATTTGATTGTAGGTACGATCCACAGTTTCGTATTTACTGACGGACTCGCAAGCCGTCGTCAAACGAGCTCTGGTTGACAACGGCATCACTAAACTGTGTATATTCTTCGGGAAACAAAAGGGTGAGCGTTTTTGGTCCTTCGAGCATTCTTCGAAACTAGGATATTGTTACAATATTTTGAATAACCAACATTCAAGTTCTGTGAATTTTGGACGTCAACAAAGTCCGAAGCATTCATTGTCGCTTTATAAAGCTTGTAAGGGCCTATAAATAAATAAAAATTAAACATTGTTACGAGCTGATGATCTGTAGCATCTCTAGAGATCTGTTAATCGGATGCATATTTGCTTAAAGTTGAGATATTGTCTATTATGGAAAGCATTTTTTATCGAAAATAGCCTGCGATTCCGGGAAATTCAAATTTAAGTGTTATACTCCGTGAAACCTATTAAACCCAGATTGACATAAATGACAGTTGCTCTATGTGTAACATAACAATATAGTGTAAGATGTCCTTAATGAATAAATAAATTTATGTTTTTTTATTAACCATACCAACATTTCTCTTAACTTTACATACACACATACTCGAATGGGAAATTAAAAATTAAAGTAAATATACATACATTTTGTTTCATTCGAGTTTATAAAATCTTACACGTGATAAAACAATGGTCGTTGTCACAAATCACTCTTAAAGGAAACCTAGACTACTATTTTTTGCAATTTTATCAGAAAAATAAAGTATTTTTGTGTTTTATATGAAAGATTGGTTTGATTTTACCCGAGTCTTCCTAATAGAAGAATAAATTCAAAATAATCAGTATTTTGTTTGTTAATAAAATGCATTCCAAAGTAAGGAAAAAAAGTCAATGCAACCTCGTCTTTAATGTGCTATTATAGTAATATAAGTTATTTACGGGATTGTTACCATGTACCTTGTTTTTAGCGAGTTTCCGATATTTCGGCACTGTTGCAAGCGCCATGATCACGGAGTAACTGATGATGAACTGTAACTGATGTTACTCCGTGATCATGGCGCTTGCAACAGTGCCGAAGTATCGAAAACTCGTTAAAAACAAGGTACATGGTAATAATCCCGTAAATAACTTATATTACTATAATGTTAGTGACCATGAAAGTTTAAAACAATGTATTTATTGTGCTATTTTTGTACCAATTTGGCTTTCTCGCATCACGTCCTTAAGAACAAAACGACCATAGTTCTTCAGCTTTAAGTTTAAAGAATCAGGTTTATTGTGTTGTAAGGAGATTCACTATTACAACTATCATTTGTTTAGCAAACGACGTGATCCTCTCACACATGGTGACGTTTCTGAACGACAAAGAAGAGGTGGCATTACGCGGTTGTTTCTTCGAGCGGGTAGTTGGTGTCGCCGCATACGTAGGACATCACGCTGCGCCAATATTACAGCCTTTACTTCAACAGGTTAGTGGTTCTTTAGCAATACTTCTCAAGTAGGCTTCTTCACGCGTCTTTTAAAGTTACCCATTTCAGATTGTAGGAGGGCGGGAATACGTGAGAGGGCAAAGCATTTGAGGATAATGCGACAAAGAAATGAGTCACCAAATCTGTTTGTCCGTTTTGGAACAGTGGCCACAGTAAGTCGGTGACAACGTAGGCCAGTAAACGACGTAATCAACACGTGTTGATTACGTCGTTTGCTGGCCTACAAGCAAAAAACAATCAATGATTTTTAAATATAGCTAACGATGTGATTCTCTCACACATGGTGACGTTTCTAAACGACAAAGAAGAGGTGTAATTTTTTTGTTTTTTCGAGTGGGTAGTCTGTGTCTATTTAACAGCCTTTACTTCAACAGGTTAGTGGTTCATTGGTATAGAACATGGCTTCTCAAGTATAAGATGGTGGAGTATCTTTTGCTTTTAAAAAAAATGTGAGCACAGACCACACATCTGAAGTGAAAGTTCTTTTCTTAAAAAACCTAACATTAGGCGGTGCATGGGAATGGAGCAGCACACGCATCACTCATATATATGCATATATATATATATATTGTTGCGTGTGACGCTCGTAGCGTTTCAGCCTTCGCCGAGTTACCCTCCAACTTTCATGCTCGCCGGGAAGAGATACGTACGTATCCCCCACACACACGCACACACATATATATATAGTCGTATGACGCTCGTGACGCATTTCCGTTTCATCTTTTCCATAGGTATTTTCCATTTACACCGCGACCGAAAAGGAGATTCACTTCAAAAATCGAAAATGCGAATGTAAGCAAGCTTTACGGTCTATTTAGATTGCACTATTCATCCGTAAAGTACTTATATAAAACCATGAGTAATTCCAGAGATTAACAAACCAAATTAAGTGGATCATAGCAATGAGGATCATAACTAGGTCAGCAAATCAACAGTATAATGATCAAATAAGCTTTTTAATCAATATACTTTTTAAATCATCGAAATCGGTTCATTTATTGCGATTTTATAACTAATTTTATGGTACCCAATATTCACCGGCCGCCGAAACGTGTGACGTCACAGAGCTCGATCGCGGTTCACTCCCGTTACAGACACCACGCGGTCAGTCGAAAATTAGTTTTGTAATTTGGTCATAACTTGGTCATATTTGTCATAGAACAAATTTTAACCACTGTGTTTTAAGGAGTCTTTAGCTCTATGAATCTGCATTCTCAACTAAAACCGTTACGGATCCTCATTTTATTTATTGCACTTTTTTACCGTAAGTACCGCATATTAAATCTTAAGCATTTCCAGGGATTAACAGACCAATCGGAGTGGATCATAGCGAAGGCCTTACGCGCAACAAGCAGTTTGGCAGAGCTCGGTCTATTACCGAAGCAAGCGCTCTGTGATTTAGTCGCCGAGAGCGCTGTATACTTGGCACACCCTAATCTTTGGGTAAGTCGTGAGATACATGGGATTTTGAACCTTATCTCCTTCACACGATGGACGAACATTGTAGTTAATTCATTGTACACTTTTCCATTTTATTTGGTTTTAATAAGTTTGAAAATTGTAGCAAATATTATTGATGTATATCGAATTGGTTTTTCTCTCAGGATATATGTTTAAATTATGTCTGATATTATTATTAAGTAATCTAATATTTGCGATGGCCTCACCTCTTATCACTGTGGTTTCGAAACAATATACTTTTCAAAAAAGTGGCTAATCTATATGACATATTTAGGTTTAGCACTTAAACCCAATTTACTACTTCGTGGAGACAAAAAGGATGATAATTTCCTCACTATATTACCATACCTTGCTTTACAATTTAGTCCCGATATGAAATGTCAAACTTTCTAAAACTCCCTTTCTGTCACATCTATGATAGTCTTTCAAGGAAACAGACGTGAAGTTAGCAACAAAACATGAAGTTCATTATTTTTATTTTTTAAGCATTTAACTGCTAGATGTTTAAATCTAAAGAATACTTTACTAGAAAAAAATCTCCAGTCCTGGCAGCAGACGGTTCGAGACCCGCCTTCTGCTGCTGCCTGGACCGGAGAATATTTCTAGTAAAATTTTCTTTAGATTTAAGATATGAAGTTGTTAATTTCTGTTGGCAACCAACACCGCTACCATCCTCTTTCGGCCAATATTACTTCCAAATTCTAGTTGGAAGTTAGAATAACCTTCAACGTCATCCTGTTGTCAAAAAGTAAATTGACAGTACCAGATAAAACGTTGACCAGAAAGCGTGCTTTACTTTCGGTCCCTAACAATTTCTATGTGGTATTCGCAGATTAGGCACGAAGTTTGCGGTTTGGTGTCGTGCGTGGCCAGTCTACTCAACCCTATAGACGTGAACTGCAAGATTTTGCCTCTTGTCTGGCCGCATCTGAAGCATAAACTTATACAGGTACAGTTATTGTTCTTCTAATGGCCAGTTTCAATTATCAACCTTGCTTACCTTTTAGTAAGGATAATCTGGTTCCGTTTCTTAGCAGCGGTTGTTGTTATAGTCTTAATAATAAAATATCTCAGCAACAAAGAAACTGGTCGTTAATGGAATACATTATGTATTGACGCATTTAAAATGAGTGTACTAGAAAAATAGTCGAAATTCACTAGAAGCAAGGAAAACGAGAAAAGTACGATGCGTTGGTCAGTCTAACTAAGTGAATTAAAATGGCGACATTGGATGAATCGTTTTATATATAGTGCGACCAAGATCTTTAGGAATGTGAGTGACAGTTCAGGAAGGGCGCCCCTGTCTACGTAAATGGCCGAAAAAGACAAGACCAGACCAGATACAAAATATGACGTTAATAGAAACTAAATTAAAAAATCTATTTTTAAATTGCCGCCAAAACATTTCCCTGAACATTATGGCATCACACTAGTGTGTGACGTCACACGATTGACATTAAAACGTCAAACGACACAATGCAATGTCACTTTGACCGGAAGTTTACTAGCGTGTGACGTCATTTTGATCTTGGCCAATCCCAGGCGTTTTTCGTCACGTGACCATGAAGCGACAAAATAAATTCTATTTAATGATTTTATACAAAAGTTATTTATTATTTTTTCTTTCAGAATAATAAAATCGCTGCTAATATTCATATTAAACACAGATGCCATCAATTGGTACATTATTTTTCTCACTTTATTTGTCCTATTATTTGTCCATTTTTACTTTTCATTTAGATATGGGTGTTCAATTCATTCGCTATTCTATTGTTCGAGTTTAGGTAGAAAGAGCGGAGTTGCTTCTGGAAAGCCTTTCGGAACCGATCCCGCGGAAAGTTCTAGACGCTGTGTTAAGGCACGGTGATGTGGATAGACTGGTGCAGACATTGAGAGAACGGAGGAACACGAGGCTGAAGGTATGTGCTGTAGAAATATATACCATCAAAACTATAACACTTGTTTTGCGAATTAGTAGCTGTTAACGCCATCTATCCTTCTAAGAGAGAATCTACTATCGGTCCATCATCATTGTCCGTTCATACATTCATTCCTCACTCATTAGTTTTATATAGATTAACTCTCCCTCTTGCGATTCGAATTCAAAAGATAACATACGCACATGATTTTATAAGATCTGTAGTTTACTTTGAATAATATTCTACAATCTGAATATCCGATTTTTATTGAGGAATCCACATAAAGAAGACACTAAGCTATCGAATAGTAGCATAATGGCTCTATAAAAATGCAATATTTTCCCTACCTTCTCCTTTCTTCCTTCCAAGCCTCCTTTAAAGATATTGACACTTTGTATCCGATTCCGACTTAAAACTTCATTTTTATATCTGTCTCTCCTTTTAATTTTGTATAGATAATGACAAGGATACACTGTTGTCAAATTTAAGTTTAGGTTTAGAGGATCATGACATAATCGACATCAATATCTATTAGATGTTAGATATTCTATTAGATATTATAAGACAATATATATGTATGTGTATGTATGTATTTTTGTATGTATGTATACGTGTACGTATTAAACGCTATTTAATTTTGTTTTTCTCATTGTTTGATGTTTGCTTTTTTCTATGATTGTCTGCCGTTTTATTGACTCTGCGCGTACTTTTCGGTTGACTGGTAGAGAATGACATGCCGGCATTAAGTCCGCCATATGCAATGTAAAGGCATTAAAGATAAAATAAATAAATAATACGCAAAAAGTGAAATGTTTTAATATACCTATCGCCATACTTTTTGTCTCCAACACTCATACTAGTTGACTGGTAGAGAATGCCTATGGCATTAAGTCCGCCGTTTGCTTACGTTTGGCAATATAGTTTAAATAAATAAAAATTCGAAAGACCAGTGTGTGTTGTAAAGTATTATTTCATTTTTAGGTGAAACAAGGAACTATGCCGCAGTACTCTGAGATGGGCCAACAACTCAGGAATCTGTTTAGGAGATTGGCGTCGGACGGTAATATTCAAATTCAAACAAATTACTTTTCTTTCATTATAAACACGTATGAAAATTTAACACCAGAAACGAAAATAAAATCATAATTTATAATTGAGGTCATGAGAACGATAGTGGCCTAACTCATTTTTTACAATATTGAGTTTATGATTTTTTCCAGTTCAAATTGATCATTTTGATAGAACCAGAGTGGTCTTAAAGAGATTCAACGAATATTCAGTAGATGGCAGCATAATTACTGTTACGGTTTTTAGCCTGCGATCTAAATTTTAGGTGCCATACTGGCCTAAGTAAGATAGGCCACTATGGTAAAAAAATGAGTTAGGCCAGTGCCAAATCATTAAAATTAACTACTGGTTCTGATTTAAACTTTGATGGGTTATTTTTTATTTTACTAAACCAGTTGCTCCGCATAATTGGTATGCCATTTTTTGGGGCCATTGAGATAGAAATCGTCTCATTAACATGCCCTTTCTTTACTTTTCTACTTATACAGGTATGACAGAGCATGTCGAAAACCAACTTCTTGCTATGAGCGCCCATCTCATTAAAATACAAAGATCTTCGACACAGGTGAGTAGAGAACTTCTTTCTTAAATAATACATGGTATTGCTTTTCTTACTTACTTTCGGAAAATACTATTACGTTAAAGATCACAGTTTGTAAAATTAATGATTTTTTTTGTTTTTAATTAATTGTGATTTAACACCCCAATTTTTCAGTTTCTGCAGACTTTCCACGCTTGAATGGAAGAAATCGCTTTTAGCTATAAGACCGCCATTTGTGGCACTCTGCTCTTATTTGTTAATTTTATTTTTATATTGTATTTTGGTTATATTTTTAAGCATTAAACCGCTAGATATTTGAATCTAAAGATTTTTTTAACTAGAGGTTTGTGCATCCGCCTGGATCTGAAGGTGCGGGTTCGGAACACAACCAAAGTTCTTTATGTCAATGATATAATGATTAAGAGTGGTGAAGTTTCGTCGTTGACCATACTTAGAAAGTGAAGTATAAAATAACTAGCGGCCGCCCGCGACTTCGTACGCGTGGAGTTACTTATTCGTTATTACAGAATGCGTTGAAGAAATAAAGGTTCACTGCTCGTTCCCCGAAGGTGATAGCGTGATAATACGTAGCCTATACATATGTTATATATGTTGACCCGACTTCTTAATAATACTTTTTGAGTTTATCCCGGATATACATACAGAAAAACAGACAAAAAATTCTAAATCTATATTTTTGGCTTCGGTATCGATTGTAGATCACACTCCAAGTATTCTTTTAAAACATATTCAATGTACAGTTTTGACTTTCCTACCATTTTATTATATGTATAGATGAACAACAGAGCAAGCGATTGGCAGTCGGTACTTTTTGCTAGTCGCTGACCTATTTCAATGAATACGTGCCAATATATTCCGAAAATTTAAAATGATGAGCTGATGTGCGTGGACTATTACGTTATGCTAATCACTGTTCAATGCCTTCTAAAGGTTCCATCATAGTTCTGTGTTAATCTTTATTTTTTCATATACAGCACATAACTGACGCCCCAGGGCGGCTGTCGATCACAAACACCAACATATCCAAGTCGGTACATTTGAACGAAGGAGTGGATGCACTTGCGCACAACGCACCGGACAAAATGTATGCGCCTGCGCAAAACAGGTGACTTATCACACGACACGCAATACCAGGTTCAGATACGTACCTGGCCGTTTTTCTCCGCCCCCCATGACAACGGCTAACTAGAGTCGAGGTTCGAGTCTCAGAGACGCCCTCTAGTTGAGCCGACCCCCTCAGGTTCGAGTGGTCTGAAGGCTCCAGGCGGAAGGAGACTCCCCCCGTGGGATGATGCCATCCGCCTGGAATACCTCTAGAGGCACACGTCAATTCTCGGCTTGAGGTCCCCTTAGGATCTCGCCGTCCCCAAACCCAGTGACGCTGTAAAGGTCATCTGTGACCAACAGCATACACACTCCAATAAAAGGTGACTTATCATTACTAATAGTGTAAACAATCGTTTACAGATTACATAGAGATATCAGATTTTTGGCCTTTTACTTATCAATGTCCCAGGAAATCACACTGAAGACTGACTGGGGATCGGTAGCCGCTCTCTTATTGTGTCATTATAGCTTGTACCTCATTTGAGGAGCTGGCAAACAAAACGGTATAATTAGATAAAATTAAAATTTACAGGAGCTGTATAAAACTAAATGACATACCTACAGTATGCTTTTGGCGTGGTTTTTAATTTATAAATTTAATAATTTTAACCCTGTTTTAGGAGGTTTTGATTGAAAATTATTTTAGATTTAAATTCATCGGGACCGATACCTCCGGACTGTAAAAAAAAAGTAGTTTGACCAGAGGCGTAATTATACCGTTATGTTCGCCAGCTCCTCATTTGAATTTTTCACCTAAACTAATATTACTAAGAGGAGTGATTTGTTCCTTTGTTTGAAACGAATAAACTCAAAAAGAACTGGCCAGATTTCAAAAATGATTTCACCATTAGAATGTTACTTTATCCCTGCGTAAAACAGGTTTTATTTTATTACCTGATAAAATAAAATTCACCCGTGGAAACCCGGGGCGATAGTTTTCAATGAATGTCCTATCGTCATGGTTCAACCTGAAAGAGGTGTTAGATCTTTCTTTTTGCACTACAGTACCCCTAGCACGAAACAATATCGAATTCGAATAGTTTGCGAGTCCGAAATGTCATTGTCAAATTTGGTATAGAAACTTGAACAGCAGCGCCACAAACGACGTAACAAGATCTAAAAATCAGTACATATTTGACAATGACATTTCGAACTCGCAAACTATTGAAATTTTATATTGGTTCGTGCTAAGGGTACTGTAGTAGAATGGGCTGTTATTGGTTCTATGGTATTTTAGCATTCCTTCTGTGCAGTTTCCTTTTTCTATACATTTCTACTAGAAACTATGCCGCGATTTAATATATGCAATTCGAATAAAAAACTAAGCACATACAAGGCAAGGCGATGAATTGTCGATATCGATATGATCTCCAATATTTATTCCTTATCGACAGACGGACGCACAAGACTTCACTGTCGCATGAAACACACATGAACACAGAGTGGCAACACATGTTCGGACAAGCGCACGATCACACTATTAGAGGTGGGTACTACTTTAATTATGTTAAGATATATTTAACAGACAGAGAGATTGAGACAATCTTGAGAAAAAAATAGGTAGAGTATTGATACAGTCGTATTAAAAAAATGAAAGATTAAGCTAAAGTTGTGTTTTTTATATTCAAAAATAAATATTGTGTAAAGACACACCAAACTATTTGAGAACAACAGGGGCTGTGTCTTAAATGTATAATAATCACTGCCGCAGTCATCTTCAGCCTATTAATCCCTCCGTTGCTGGGGCACAGTTCTTCCCAATGGAAAACGGGCCACGACCCATCGCACTGGCCCAATACGGATAAGTGGGTGCTAACGACTGCAAATGCCGCCGGGACCAACGGCTAAACGAGGTCTAACGATCAATCATCCTTTAACCGGCAGTTGGTATCGATACTGGCATGATTCTCTAAAGATAAACTTAAATTAGACAACAGTATATCCTAGTCTTTCTCTATACAAAATAAAAAGGAGAGACTGATGTTATATGATGTTATATTTGTGATAAGTGTTAAGTTTAGAGAATCGTGCCAGAATCTACACCATCGTGAAATTAACTTAATTTAAATTTAATTTTGTAATAAATACGATACGATAACGGATATAGTGTATCTGAGCTATTAGTCGATCTAAATGGTTCCAAACTCCGTACCAAAATTTATCAAAATCCGATAATGTTGTTCATTGCATGAAAATTTAACAGCCAGCCAAAGTTAGTTACATATTTTATAATGTTAGTATGTATTTTCATACAGCTGTAGAGTCTACGTCCCAGTCAGTGGGTGGTCCATACAACAGCACCGTTAACACGCTGTCCCACGCGCCCGCCCATTCTCAAATGGGACACAGTGCGAGCTACGTACAATGTAAGCTAAAATATAGTTAAAATTAACCGATCATATAAGTTGGTGTCATAAAGGTGAAAATGGTTTGAGGTTAGATCTTGATAGTTCATAGGTTCTTGTAATTGTTTGCATGGAGAGTTCAATTGAATTTCATCTCAAAGTGGCAGACCAAGAATCGAAGATTGTATGTACGAATAACTTTATAGATTACACCCTATTGTTCACAAATTGAAACAGGTGTAATGATAATCGCAATCAGTGGTCGTCATATGGACTCTTATAGCCAGACAACTATTGGTAAAGTGAGATATCATATTACATTACTTTCATATCAATTATTGATATGGATCTTAAGGGGGCGTTCAAGTATTACTTAACGCAATTTGGGGGGGAGGGAGGTCTTGTATAATGTTACGATGCATTACAGTTGTGGGAGGAGGTCGCGTAGAGTCTGTGCGGAAAGAGAATGGGATTTAGATTGGCGGGCGCTGTAGTGCTTTTCTACCGTATTTGTAAGGTTTTACCCCTTTTAGACATGATTAAATACAAAAAACCGCAAGAAATCACAACAACAGACAAATCCGTATCAATACAATGTTTTACAGATTGCTGGGTTTCATTGCCTAATAAAAATCTTAATGTTAGTCCCGTTTTTCGCCACGCCCATTCTCTTTCCGCACAGACTCTAACATTTTTTTATGATTTTATTTATTTTTTAAGCATTTAACCTGCTAGATGTTTAAATCTAAAGAAAAGTTTACTAGAAAAAAATCCACGCGGACCAGGCAGCGGACGGGACGCTGCCTGGTCCGCGTGTATTTTTTTCTAGTAAACTTTTCTTAACATTTTTTTGAATAGCGATCGCTATTCTATATGGGAAAGGGGGCGTTCAAGTATAACGTAACGCAATTTGGGGAGGGGGTCTTGTAAAACGTTACGGCTTGTTACATGGGGGGTCGCAGAAGGGTCAGAAATCTTCAAAATTTGCGTTACGTAATACTTGAACGCCCCCTTATGTCTAAAATAAATGCTTTTATTATTATTATATAAATAAATAGAAAGAAAATTTCTAGATAGCATGGCCCCTTGTCGTGCGGAGCTGAGTAACCTAACGGCGCGTATGCAACAAAAATTCCAGAAATCATTGAGGTAAGCGAATTTAATGTACACTATACACTTCATTTAAATGAGCCTTTTGCGGCTTCCTCGGCGGTTATTTAATATTTTTTGAAGTCACATGTTGTCTTAATCTGAAGCAAAGAATTTGACATCAATAACTTAATAAAATTTAAATGTTAATTGACATGTCTCAGTATGGCCGGTAGTGTTTAATGTATAAATGCTCTAAGGCCATACATTAGAAGCTCATGCAGCCACCAGTCAATTCCATTAGACATGAATAATTCAAAAACTCAGAACAAGAACTAAAGCACAGAAAGAGTTGAAATTCAACTCATGTAGTTATATTCTTTTTACTAAAATTATCTTCTCTTTTAATACACAATCCATCTACAAATCAATTTTGTTTACAAAATTGTCTCTGATATATTGTCACTATCATCAGCCTATTGATGTCCCCACTGCTGGGACACACGCCTTTCCTATCGATGGAATAGGGATATTGGGCCATGACCCATTACGCTGACTCAGTGAGGATTTTTGGGTGCAAACAACAGCAGATGCAGCCGGGACCAACGTTTAACGTGCTTTCCGAAGCAGTTTCTCCAGAAATGGAAAAGCTGGACTAAATTTTTGGTCACCCATCTAATGACCGACCACTGCGAAAGTTGCTTAATTTCAACGATCGCAGCCGAAAGCGTTAAAAACTTGCCCCATCGAGTTCCTCACGAAATATACTGTATGAAGATAGTTTCACATTTGTATGATTAATATCCATTGTTCCCCAGGAGTCATGATGATGGCTCAGACAACACTGAAGACTTGGTGCCACCAGCGTCCTGGAGGCCAGGCAGCCAGCTCCTGGCCTATCTTCATGAGCACAAGTGAGTTATTTATTCTTTAACAGCCATTAGACTACTCAAGACGATCTCCGTCGCCGAGTGGTATGTACGCCGGATTTCATGGTGTCGCCTAATCGAGAGGTCCCAGGTCCGAATCCCAGTGGGGCAGATGTTTGTGTGATGAATACGAGCTTTTGTATTCCAGTCATAGTTGTTCAATATGTATTTTCTATATGAATATACTTTACATCTTATGTATAAAATTCTCGTGTCACAATGTTAGTTACCATATTCCTTCGAAACGGCTTGACCGCTTTTTATGAAATTTTATATGCATATTCAGAAGGTCTGAGAATCGGCTACTATCTATTTTTCATACCCCTAAGTGATAAGGTTTGTCCACCCTTACCTTTTATTTTTATTATGTGGCATTAAAAAATACATAGTACCCCTAAATTTTCACCCTTCTACCACCAGCTTCTATTTTTATGGCGGTACGAAGTTCGCTGGGTCTGCTAGTATATAACTATATGTATTAGTCTATGTATGTATTCTATCCATTACCCTAGTATTCCATAACAATCCTAGAGTTGCTTACTTTGAGGCTAGGCTAATTGGTGTGAGCGTTGGAAATATTTATTATTTATTTATTTAACTAGAGAGAAAGTCTTCGTTACGCCATCGTCAAAGTTTGCATGAAAGGAGCTCGTTTTTTCTTACGTTCGGTAGGTTAGTTCCATAGATTACTGGAGAGTCCACGAACACTGTTCAAAGCCTGTAGTAACATTTATGAACTGCTAAGCTTCTTGGAAGAGCTGGCAAGACTGGCTGGCGTTTGGAATGGTATCAGTTAGCAGGACTGTACCTATGGCACGAACCAATATCAAATTCGAATAGTTTGCGAGTGCAAAATGTCATTGTCAAAAGTGTACTGAGTTTTAGTTCTCGTTACTTCCGTTGTGGCGCTGCTGTTTAAGTTTCCATACAGACATTGACAATCAGTACTCGCAAAATGGTTCGTGCTAGGGGTACTGTTTTGAAAACTATGATGTTATCTCTACAAGTAAGATAATTGCAGCGATAATCTCGCCGAGCCACCGAATTCGATACACCTAATAATATCGTAGCAATAAAACAAGTGGCACTTAAATAAATATATTAAAATCTCGCCGAGCCACCAAATTCGATACACCTAATAATATCGTAGCAATAAAACAAGTGGCACTTAAATAAATATATTAAAAATATCAAGTAACAATTTATTTGTCCAACACTTTTTTGCAACATCATTAAAGAGCAAAAGACGAGCAAAACATCATAAACCGGTGTACCATTACTCAGTTACACTGGTATGGTATTTAAATCAATGTGTACTTTTTTTTATTTATTTAATCTTTATTGCCTTATATGCAAATGGCGGATTTAATACCAGTCTGGCATTCTCTACCAGTCAGATTTTTTTAAATTACATTGAACATGAGTATTATAGATCCGCATAAAGTCTGGACTATAGGCTAAAATTCCGGATGGTAACCCTAAACGAATAAGAGGGGTAAGTTTAAATTAACAAATACCCGGTAGATGGCAATGTAGTCGTGTTCTATGATTCTTTTATATATATATATAACGTTAATATTCAAGTTTTCACTTCTGCCGGCACTCCCGGAGTGCAACCCTTCGTTTTTTTAGACAATAATGTTTAACTGTTTAACCATAGGGCTCGTGTGAACCAACTGGTGACACTTCCTGCCCAGAAGGGTATCTTCGGCTCCTGCTCGGACGACGGCACCGTCCGCCTGTGGGACGCGGCTAGGTTACAAGGACACGCTTACGTTAACAGGTTAGATTCCAAGCTTCCCTAGATGCTATATAAAGTTTTAAGTATTATATATACTCGTGTGAATCAATGGTGTCTCTTCCTGCCCAGAAGAATGTCTACAGGGACACGCTTACGTAAACAGGTTTGATTCCCAGCTACCATAGATGCTGTATAAAGTCTCTTAAATCGTGTGAAGCAATGGTGACACTTCCTTCCCAGAAGAGTATCTTCGGATCCTGCTCGGAAGACGGCACTGTCCGCCTGTGGGACGCTGCTATATCACAAGGACACGCTACGGACATCTATGTTATTATAGAAATCCCGCGGACAACCACTGACTGACCAAGCATCGGTGCGGATCTGCCGCCACGTGCTTTGCGTCGGGACACGTTGCCAGTGGGCGAATCGCCTAAACTTCAATACTAGCGCGACACGCACATAGGCAAAACTAATTTGGCAAATCAAATACCTGCACAATGAATGTTGTTATCCATAATTCGGTAATATAATGATAAACGGTAATGCCTACCAATTTCATGCGTGTTTCGGTATTTCGGCGTATTGATTGCAGTTTATTCGCCCCACCCACTTCATCGCAGTTTGCGTGGAACCACTTTTTAGCGCAGATTATTTCTAATTCGTTGATGGAACCAGATTATCCTTGCCTTTTATTAGAGATTGATTATTGAAACTGGCCGTAAATGATGGGACTACAGCATGTATTTATTAATGTACAGTCTATATTCCAGATCTAAGTCGATGTATAACCGAAGCGCGGGTCCCGTAGTGTCGTTGGCAGCGTGCGAGAGCGGACAGTCTTTGGTAGCGGCCACGCAAGAAGGATCCATATTCGTATTGAGGTAAATTCCATTTTATTTTAAAATATTAAACTATATAACTTCATCCGAGTCTTTGGAAGATGCCACGCAAGAAGTATATATATATATATATATATATATATATGTACCCTTAGCACGAACCATTATCGAATTCGAATAGTTTGCGAGTCCGAAATGTCATTATCAAATGTTTGAAAACTGGAACAGCAGTGCCATAACGTACGGACGAGAACTAAAAATCAGCACACAGAACTGACATTGATGACATTTCGTACTCGCAAACGATACGAATTCAATATTGGTTCGTGCTAAGGGTACTTATCTTGAAGTTCGCGTGAGTTCGTTTTTTTTGCCAAACGTGTATAAAGAATTTCTCCTTTCAACAGACGAACTTTATTCAATCTTTCGCACACAGGATAGACAACGCCTCGTCCCGTATGACTTTGTCGCAATGCCGGCAAGTGGAGGGGGGTGGAATGTACGGAGGGGAGGAGGGGGGGTGCGTAGCTGTGGCCTGCGCTGGCGGAGTGCACGCGGGAGTCATATCCTACGCCACCCTGCTCGCCTCCGTCATAGGCTGGGATTTAAGGGCGCCCGGTAAGTTAATTCACAGGATAATTTTAGCAACACACTCAGGTCCGAGACTTCTTGTCTTGTAATACCTTCTACGGCATATTTTTCAACAGAAGGTCTTTTACTTTAACTAATGCTGCAAAACTTGTTGGATTCGGCGAGTCGGAGTCCCGACTGCATCTCCAGTCGTTAACACCCATCAATCCGCACTGGGCTCGCTTGGTGGGTCACGGCCCAGTCTCCCTATTGCATCCATAGAAAAGGCTCAGCAGTGCATTAATAGACTGATTGTGATAGGCTGGGATCTGAGGGCACCGGGTGAATGATATACTTACAGGATAGACAACGTCTTGTCTCGTATTACACAATCACAATGGTACTTCTACCATTGTGGAATGTGTGGTGGGGCGGAATGTTCGGAGAGGAGGGAGGATGCACGCGGGAGTCATATCCTACGCCACCCAGCTCGACTTCGTCATAGGCTGGGATTTGAGGGCGCCAAGTGAGTGGTATACTTACAGGATAGACGACGTCTCGTCTCGTATGACACAATCACAATGGTACTTCCACCATTGTGGAATGTGTGGTGGGGCGGATTGTTCGGAGAGGAGGGAGGATGCACGCGGGAGTCATATCCTACGCCACCCAGCTCGACTTCGTCATAGGCTGGGATTTGAGGGCGCCAGGTGAGTGGTATACTTACAGGATTGACGACGTCTCGTCTCGTATGACGCTATTGCAACGCCGGCAAGGAGAGGGGATATGGGGTGCTTGTAAGGGAGCGAGGCGAGGAGAATGCGTGCGTGGTGCTATGACCGCTATCACAACAAATAATGGCAGCTCTAGATCTCCAATACATAAATGAAACTCGATATTTTTCGATTTCGAAAGTATGTACATAAATTGTTAAGTTATTTCGAAAATTAAACCGTTTGTAACAAAAGTCGAATTTCAAGGATCTTTGATCCGTAATAGCCTTTTCAAAATTTTGGACCGAATTTTCGGATAAGTTGGTCAGCAATAAATGTGATAGTACATGAGCGTTGAGCTGCTTTAGTTCGTTCTCCTTTCCCTTTTTATTGTGTTTACATAAATGTTTATATTATAAGTCTTCTGTACGTATCCACCAGGTAACGCTTGGAAACTACAAGGCGACTTGAAGCAGGGCGTATACACGTGTTTATACGCCAATAGTGCTGGTTACATCGCCGTGGGTACCTCCAGTGGTGCCATCTGTGTGTGGGACCTGCGGTTTCAACTGCCGATCACGTCTATCAGACATCCGAATTGTAAGTTCTAAAATATAGACAACCCAACCCAGTAATGTAAGTTTTAAAAGACAGTTACAGGTCAGATTACTAAAATTATTTGTACATTTTTCCAAATGATATTAAGTTTTATGTATTTTATTTATTAATTTATTTGGCATACCAACATTTTTACACCCAACTATATTTCTGTCAAAATTAATGATAAAAACTAAACTAGGTATAAAAAACAAACAAAAAACTAAACTATAATCAAGTTTCACAATCAATGCTCGATAGCAAAGCCCTCCTAAATGCAATCAATGACGCAGCGAACGAATATACGTCTACTAAGGACCCAGTACAGATTTTATGATGCTCTTCATAAATCCTATTTAAACCATTCTGCGTACCCAGGTTGATTTTATAAGTTTTTAAATTAAATAATTCATTGTTAGCTGGTTCTGAAATTTGGTCGTGGTATTTTAAAACTAATTTCACTAAGAAGTTGAGGACAATCAATGTTACCTCTTAGAATTTTATACAGTAAAATCAGATCAGCAACCCATCTGCGTTTCCGCAATGAAACTAACTCGAAATACTCCAATGTATCCTTATATGATATGAGTTCATATCTTTTTCCCTGATGTCTAGTTAGAAAAGACAAACATTTTTTTTTTATTCTTTCAATCCTGCTTTTATGACACTCATAAAGAGGATATCGTATGTATCTTCTTGTAGGAATCACAACCAAATAAAACCATTTGGGTATCCACTGTTAACATAGAATAAGTTACCCAAAACTCTCAAATTTCTCAAATGACATTGAGCTTTATATTGCTTGTTATAAGATCCACAATCAACATCAACCTTAACCATCCGGGAACTCGAATGTTGAGTACATTTGTGTAGGTTGATAGTTTTTGTTTGGTTCTGGATGATTTCGATTCATAACTAGACTCCGTAGTTAGTGCTTTAATCAGGTCCTAAGATTTTTACTAACCTACTCCTCAAAGGTGTGAATCGATTAGAATGAATATGAGTGCAAGCAAACGTATCACTTTTCATTGCTAAAATTTGTTTTGTTTTCTCGGAAATCTATTTGTTTTGAATTTTATTCGTAATTTCTATTAAGAAAAGGAGAAAGGAACGCGGGCGCGTGGTGTTTGTCGTTGAGCGCACACTGTAGGGCTCCGTTTATCGTGTCCAGCGGAGCGCGTGCGCGGTATAATCGGGGGCGGCGCGCGGTCCGGCCGCGTGTGGGCGGCGGGCGGGCGGGACGCGGGCGCGTGGTGCCTGGAGTCGACGCAGCGGACGCACGCGTTATGGCCCTGCACTAACTCGCCCCAGCCGCTGCATTATACGCCTGCGGTGAGTATTCACATGACATTCAGAACATACAAAATTGAACTGTACTTACACGGCTTTTCGGCAACGGTGACTTCAGCATTAACCACAATTATTCAACATAAAAAACTATTGAATAATCCAACAACAACTGCGAAAATCATAGATAACTTGGGATCGTTTGCATGATTCTTATTCTAACATCATACAAAATTATTTAACTTCGTACGAAGTTACTGAACATCACTTTAATTTATTTTTTCAAATTTGTGAGCTAAAATTAAGTAAATGTCGTGTTCAGCATCAATTGGGGTGCAAGTTTATGTAATACAATAATTTTCTATAATAATATGTAAGTTATAATTTGTACTCTGTCGCTGTACCATAAATAAATAAAAAACATATAGACTAGAATTATCCAACAACTCTTAAAATAATAGATTACTTTTAACGTATTTTTGAACGATATAGTTCATTATCTCAATCAGCCTAAAAAGTGTGCCCACAGCTGGGATTTCACTAAGGATGAAATTGAAAGAAGGAGCCATGGGTCACTACCCAAGCGTAGTACAGATTGGTGGGTGCTAACAACTGCAGACGCAGCCAGGACGCGGCTTAACGTACCTTCCGAAGTATGATTGACATCGACGCTATGGCATTTTTGTATGGTTTAATAATAAACTTTATTGACCACATTAAAATGGTACAAAAGGCGGACTGAATGCTAAAAGCATTCTCTAACAGTCAACCTTTAATAAAAACGATAAACGAACGAACGGCGGCGTAACACTTAAAACATTATAAATAAAACAATATAATATAAACTAGATTTAACATACATACATAAATGCAAACGTAAATTTGTATATACATAAGTATATACATACATAGCATAATTTAATCGAGATAAATTTCAATTAATCTAAAATTAGCTTTAGCCTATAAAATAATGTCAAATTGACATTGTAATTTTTCTATGGGTTGTTAGCAAAGGACATTGTTAGCCTAAGAACCAACAGTCAAGAAATATTATTTTATAGGTTCGAAATTGCAAGTAAATGACTGTAAAAACAAAGATTATTGACGGACACTTCTGAGAACTTAAATTATCAGGAAAACCAAATATTTTTTGAGGTTATGTTCAATATTAAATGAAACATAGGTCAACCTATGAACTTAGTATGAATTGATTTAATATTACAACTAATTCATTTTGATTCGGTGCGATTTTAAAGAATATCTATTAGGAAAAACTTGGTTAGGTAGGAATCATGAATAAAATAAAAACTGTAGTATTGCTTCTTATTTTTTTTACTATTTTTCACATAATTGTATCATATTGTATTTATATGTATATCTTTTTTTTTTTTTATAGATAGGTCCGACAAATGATTCCACCTCACCTGATGTTAAGTGAAGGTGAAGTCCAGACGCGTAGATAGCTGAAACAGCAGTTCTACCTGCCACACCAGCCATCCTCACCCTGCCGGCCTGCCCTCAGGTCTGAGCGAACTTCCATACCGAGCATGGAAATGTTGCTCTGTAGCGGTAGTGTTGTGCCCTGAAGAGAGGGAAGGGGAAGGAATGGCGATGTTTTTGCCGTGAAAGCGCAAGCCTGCGTTTTCTTGGCATTGAACTCAACCAAGTTCCTGGTACCCCATTCGGAAATGTGGTCCAAAGCCTGATTGAGTTCAATGACAAGATTCTCTTTTTTGCCTTTTGTGCCAGACCCTGTCGAACGCCTTGGCAATGTCAAGGCTGACAGATAGCCAACGACTCGCCACGCTTGTCGATAGCCTCACCCCAGATATGAGTTAAGTACGCTAGAATATCACCCGTTGATCGTTTCGGTCTAAAACCATATTGACGATCATTAATCAGAGACTGATCCCTAGGTAGCGGGTCGGATGGTTATTAAGGACCTTTTCTAGAACTTTGCATAAAACTGAGGTGACTGCTATTGGCCGGTAGTTTGCCGGGTCTGAGCGATCACCTTTTTTGGGCACCGGTTGCACGTTAGCATCTCTCCAAGTCTCCGGCACACGCCCCAAAGAATACGAGCATTGGTACAAGCGCGTGAGCACGGGAGACAACTCTGCTGCACATTTTTTTAGTACTACTGCTGGGATGCCATCAGGTCCACTAGCTTTCCGGACGCAGAGTGATTGCAATTCGGTACGAACCTCACGCTGTCTGATTTTAATATCTGGCATCGTTGTGCCACAGTGAGGTAATGATGGTGGCAGTGCGTTGCAATCATCGATTCGGGAGTTAGTCGCAAAGAGTTTTGCCAGTAAATCGGCTTTCTCCTGCGGCTTATGAGCTAGTGTTCGTGGCAGTGTGAGGTGGCAGCGAGGGCTGGCAGAAGTTTTTTTGCACGGCCTTGGCCAAACGCCAGTAGCTACGGGAGCCCGTAGGATGCGTTATAAGTTCCTGGCCAACACGTGCAACGCGCTGGGCATCCGCTCTGATGAATGCCTTCTTACAGGCCTTGGAAGCAAAGTTGTAGGCTGCTTTGAGTGAATCGACCTCGGGATCCTTGAGAGCGCGGCCTCTGATCCAAGCACGATATGCCGCTTGCTTATGCGAAGCAGCTTCAGCACAGTCGTGATTGAACCAGAGGTTACGTGTGCCCTTACTGATGAGATCAGAATGAGGAATATAGTATGCCATACCCATTGTAATCTCTATCACATGTATATTGTGTAAATATGCAGCGTGAATGTGTATCAGGTGCTCTTGAATAATTTGGCGGTATGATCCTCTCAAGATGTTGTGGTACAGGTTCTCTAGCACTTGGTAATAAGGTCTCTGCTATTTGGTAACATCGATGGCATATTAGCTAGCCGAAATAGTTAAATTAAAGGAAAAACAATCGCAAATAAAGACACACAACATGTAATCCGAAACGAGAATGCACGAATGTCACAGATTACTACGAATGCAAATTGCAAACTGCCTGCACCACATCCACAGAGTATCGAGTTTTATGCCGGCCCTGCACTTGACAACAGCCTCTCCTTGTCATGCTTAATAAGGAATAAAAAGGACAGACTGATGTCAAGTTTTCAAAAAGCAAACACGAATAGCCAAGTGAAGTGCCGGCATTAGGAAGAAAGTGTTTTGTTTGCAGCGCTGTCATAGATTATACACATAAAATGGTAGTCTCAGATTATTTTTTAACTTTTTTATATAGCTTACTTAACTGGAAGTGTCCGTCACAATGTAAATACTGATAATTATCGCAAAAAATATACTAAGAATCATCATAAATGCCAATTTGATGTTGGTTCTTAGGCCAAATTCAACATTGTCCTTTGCTGCAAGTGGGCCTAAGAAACAATTATTTATATATGTGTACTATTTACTATACAGGCATCCCACTACATTAGCGCTATGTACTGTGGGTCACGGGATGGCAACCGTTTCCTAATCACCGGGGGCTCCGACCAACGCCTCAGACACTGGGACCTGGAGCACCCTGAAGACTCTTATATTCTGGTGCATGCGCCCAACGACCAACTCAAGCATACTCCCAATGCGGTCAAATACAGGTACCATATATATGACAACTTTATGTGGACCTCCCTATCTGTATGTCACTACATTAGATCCTGAGACACTGGGACCAACTCAAGCATACTCCCAACGCGGTCAAATACAGGTACCATATATATGACAACTTTATGTGGACCCCCCTATCTGTATGTCACTACATTAGATCCTGAGACACTGGGACCAACTCAGGCATACTCCCAACGCGGTCAAATACAGGTACCATGTATATGAAAACTTTATGTGGACCCCTCTATCTGTATGTCACTACATTAGATCCTGAAACACTGGGACCAACTCAAACGTACTCCCAACGCGGTCAAATATAGGTACCATATATATGATAACTGTATGTGGACCCCTCTATCTGAATGTCACTACATTAGATCCTGAGACACTGGGACCAACTCAAGCATACTCCCAACGCGGTCAAATACAGGTACCATATATATGACAACTTTATGTGGACCTCCCTATCTGTATGTCACTACATTAGATCCTGAGACACTGGGACCAACTCAAGCATACTCCCAACGCGGTCAAATACAGGTACCATATATATGACAACTTTATGTGGACCCCCCTATCTGTATGTCACTACATTAGATCCTGAGACACTGGGACCAACTCAGGCATACTCCCAACGCGGTCAAATACAGGTACCATGTATATGAAAACTTTATGTGGACCCCTCTATCTGTATGTCACTACATTAGATCCTGAAACACTGGGACCAACTCAAACGTACTCCCAACGCGGTCAAATATAGGTACCATATATATGATAACTGTATGTGGACCCCTCTATCTGAATGTCACTACATTAGATCCTGAGACACTGGGACCAACTCAAGCATACTCCCAACGCGGTCAAATACAGGTACCATATATATGACAACTTTATGTGGACCCCCCTATCTGTATGTCACTACATTAGATCCTGAGACACTGGGACCAACTCAAGCATACTCCCAACGCGGTCAAATACAGGTACCATATATATGACAACTTTATGTGGACCCCTCTATCTGTATGTCACTACATTAGATCCTGAAACACTGGGACCAACTCAAGCATACTCCCAACGCGGTCAAATATAGGTACCATATATATGACAACTGTATGTGGACCCCTCTATCTGTATGTCACTATTTTAGATCCTGAGACACTGGCACCAACTCAAGCATCCTCCCAACGCGGTCAAATACAGGTACCATACAATAGTGACAGCACTACATAAGGGCTATGTAATGCGGGTCGTGACCTTAGTGATAAAAATCAACGTTTGTTTGTATGGAAAAATAATTGCGCGACTCCCCTTAAGAGCCCTTTTACAAAATTGCGCCGCTGCCGTACTGATCGGCGCGTAGGTAGATTTGCACTAGTATATCTTGCATTTTACGGGTGATATTTCGAGTCTCCTAAAATAATTATTAATGAACTTATTATAAAAATATATACATATTTCAGTAGTACGATGATGGTAGATTAGTTTTATGAAAGTTTTTGATATTAATTCTATTTAATTCAATATTAATATACGAGGTAAAATTGCATTATTTTTTGGGAAAACTCACGGGAGGTAGAAGTTATTTTTTTGATATTTAATGAGATGGAAAATCAAAATTCAAATACATTATGTTACAACAAAAACATATTTCTGATGTCGTAGTAATTAATTTGATCTAATTAATTGAACATTATTGAGAGAATGCGGCGTTTGAAGTTGTGCATATTATCGTTTTTTCTGTAAACTAGCTGCAGTAGAACGATCAGTACAAAAACAGGAAAATAGTATTTGCAAATATTTTACATTAACTTACTTAGGAAGAATAAATCTACTGATTACTTCTATTGGAAATAGTCAAAATCTTTTCTAAGGGGGTAAACGAGGCGTTCAAAAATTATGATTATTTGCAAACAATGTGAAAGGGCTCTTAACGTGCCTTCCGAAACACCGGGGAGCTCGAGATAATAAATTTTTGGTCACCCATTGGCCGACCGGCCACTGCGAAAGTTACTTAACTTCCACGATCGCAGACCGAACGCGCTGCACCCTAGAGCCTTTCATATTAATATCCCTTTTTTGATTTTCACGGCCGGAAAATAAAAAAGTTTTCCGGGAGGTATCCCTCTTATTATTCAAATTCTACTATCCATCCAGCTTCCATTTATGTCTTAAATCAATCCTTAATAGTTTCTCTACAAATTTATATATTAGATGTGTAAATTGAAAATCTTTACTAAATAAGATAAAACTAAAAATATGAAAAATGAAAAGATAAAAATAATTTTCTCAACTCGTGGCAGAAATCATCCACTTACACAGCCGAGGGGTAAAAGATTGTAGGTAACCTAATTTCCCATTTCATTTATTTATCATCAACAAGTTTCAACAGCGTTTTACGCAATATAATCTAATATAAATTCTTAAACGGTACTTTAGCCAATTACAGAACCTCACTTTGTATTCAATTCAAAAATTAAAATTATTCCACAGGAGTAGAATAATAGACGGCACCACGGTCATCCAGGAATGCTGTAAACTGAATCCGCAAGCGCCCGTATCTCTCATAGAAGACAACGTGTACAGAACCGTGGAGTCTCGAAGTTTCTACCACACGGCGCCTATAACAGACATCACAATGGTGGAAGGCAACAAACACTATTTGGTCAGCGCCGCGGCTGATGGAGTTATCAACGTATGGAAATAGTTGGTTTGAAAAATCATTCAATTCAAGAACATAGAGGTATAAGAATAGAGGAGGGGACAATTCAAGGTTATTAAGATTACTCAACGAACAGTACCTATAATGACCAATATTAATCATACATTTCGGTCGATAAGCTGATGCACTTTTGTATGAAACAGCAGTTTCTTTTCGTGATTTCAGCGTTGGTACCATACATAATAAAAGTTGTTCCTGTTGATGGGTAGAATCACCCCCTAAGAGGTTGTTGGTGTTTTAAAATTAACCCTGTATAATTATTATGAAATTAATGACTTTACACTTGGCCAATGGTTGAGGTCCGACATGTTGTCTGTAATAGGTTGCGGCAAATATCTTGAGCAATATCGCAGACAAATAAACTTGCGCAGAAGACGTTTTTGCATGTAAAATTGCTACTGCGCAGGCTTCCTTGTCTAGGGTCGTTGCTCAAGAAGTTGGCCGGGGTGTATAACTATATTTACATCCTGCCAGCCTATAATTTATTTTGTTGAAATGAGACGTTTTTACCATCTCCACAATCCACAAGGTGGTCGGGAACGGCAGGGGAATTTCAATTTATTATGTGATTATTCTTATAAAAGTTCCTGTTTTTATTGATAATATTATAGTTATTATAGAATATTATAAAATGTCCATCTCAGAAATTGGTATATGCAAAATTGATTTCGCAAGTTGGTACAGTCAAATATGTTGTTTATCTGTCCATCATTAATGAAATCCTTTTGCTTCCAGTCTAAATGGTTTTAGAATCTATTTGTTTCTTAGGTTTTCACGCACATCACTCATTAAATAAAACTAGTTTAACGTGTTAATGTACGAACTTTATTTATTTATTGACCAGGCAGCGGACGGGACTCGAACCCGCATGGTCAGTGCATTCGCCCGGATAGCGAAGGATGGAAGGAAGAAAAGTTTACTAGAAAAAATCCACGCGGACTAGCGTGGATTTTTTCTAGTAAACTTTTCTTTAGATTTAAACATCTAGCAGTTAAATGCTTAAAAAATAAATAAAATCATAACTATAATTGCTATTTCTTCTTTCAAATGATTAATACTTCAAAAAGTATTCATTTGACATTGCGGGTTACCTACAATGCGAAGAGATGGCGCTGCCTTGCAGCTTAAGGCTAGGAAAATTTCGACGCGGCTAACAGGGCCGTGGTAGCATAATGGTCAGTGCATTCGCCCGGATAGCGAAGAATGCGGGTTCGAGTCCCGTCCGCTGCCTGGTCCGCGTGGATTTTTTTCTAGTAAACTTTTCTTTAAATAATTATTATTTATGATAAAGGTTCATAAAAATCGAATTGTAACATATTACAGAAAATGTGATAAATTCTAGGTTATTAAGATTACGCAACGAACACTACCCATAATAATCAATATTAATTATAACAGTAAATTGATAATAATTATATTGATAAAAGCAACAGACACCCAACATCTTTGACTGTACATACTACTACACTGTTGTATATTATTGTAATATCTTGTTTTTACAATTGTGATGTTGATTTTAGGGCCTGTATATAATAGTTGTTAATTCAATTTTATCATAACATTGTAAATTTTAGTATTGGTTGAATACTTAAATGTCACTCAATTCTTGATTTGCTTATGTCTATTTATAAGTAGGAACGCCTAAATATATAAATTATCAAAAAGTCTAAGCAATATTATTTGTAGTTTTATAACTTTTGATAAATTTTTACTAATATATTTATTTTTTAGAAAAAAACACAATCGAAAAGCTTCTTTTTAAATCACCCAATAATGTTTCTGAGTACAAAACAGTTTGTATAGCAATCCACTTTGCAAAGAAAAAAACAAATTCATTAATAAAACACAATTTCTGTATCAATCAACATAAACAGTAACATCAATCATTGTTGTTTTGACTTTTTTTATGTATGTACATTGAACGCTCATTTCTTGGAAACTGTGTATTAGCACAGTTTGCGTTGAAAATGATTTAAGTGTTTTGTCTATCTTATTTATAATTTACAACTTTAGAATATGAGTGATGTTTCAGCATACAATCATACTTTTTAATTAGATGAAATGACTGAAAATTATTAATAGTAAAATATTATATTCGTAAATTGTAATTAAAAGTGATCATAGTATTGTAGTCTCCTAGATACTTTCAAGTTAAATGATCTAAGAATCTATTTTTATTAATAAAATTATGTGTTATGTATGAACTGTTTTATTTTCTATATCAACAATATTTTTTTTTGTCGGGGAAATGCGTTACGCATCCTTTATCCACCGGGAGAGCGAGAAGGTATGTGGGACTCCTCCCTGCTCATTACAGCCAGCCCTTGGGCCGGTGAAATGAGCAGGGCCCTACATAACGCCCTGAACAGGGCCGCTAAAAACTACATAATACCTACTCTTGCACCAGTCACCCGGCGTACATTCTGAGGACCGCAGTCCCCACAATGAACGCTGGAAGTGCGGGTGTGGCCGCGGAAACCGTTGCTGACTGTTCGTGCAAACAATACCTAACAACATTAATTTCATTTTCAATTACTACCAATACTACCTTTTAAGATATGCAACATGCTATATAAAGAATTGCTTCTTACATTATATTCTTCAATATTCAGATTTTGATTTAACAACAGGCATAGGATGTTCTAAGAGTAAGAAATAAAGTTGTTTTTTATTTATATAATATCTATAATTGTGTAATAACAGTTTGTAGTTGTAGCTTGCAATTCTACACATATAGTCCTGTGTTGATACTTATAGACTTATCACTCAGAAATGACATTTAATTTTATCTGTGCTAGAAATTGAATATGACTACAAGTAACTTTATCATTCACTTTAAATTACACAACTGTCACAGTTTACAAAAAAAAATATCACCAAGATTTCGCTTATAATTAATAATTTATCACATAGTGTAATAATATGTTACAGTTTTGTGAATTCCATTTAAAGATACCAATTATATTTTATTTACATAATAACATGGTTAGATATTCTTAAAATTTTTACTTCACAGAAGTAATAGGTGTACTACTAATAAAATTAAAATAAACTAATACCTATATAGTTACATCTAAGTAATAGTGACATTGTACATTTTTATTTCATAAAATTAATCAAGCTTTACTGCTGCCACCATCCTTTTTATCATCAGGAACATCTTGAAGAAGTTTCTCAAGGTCAATGCCCTCAAACTTGGAGCTCTGTGTATTTGATGCATGTGCCAAGAACAGTTCTTTGAGAAACTGCAATTCCTTTGTCAAAGTTTTCACCTTCTCTTCCAACATTTGGTTTTCAGCCTTCAGCTTGTTCACCCAGGTGAAAGTTTCCTGAGTCCGTTGCTTAGACTTGTATCTGCTCTTTTTAACTGCCTGGAAGAAAAAATAATGAAGATTAGTACATTCATGTTTTATATTTGATAAAAACCATGAAATATAAAAATTATAAACCTAATAAAATTTTATGAATCTATTAAGGAAATCTAGTGAAATGGGTGTACCACATTTGTGTAATGTTATTTATACAGAGCTTCACATCATATTACTATGATGTAAATACTATCCTTATATTGCAACCCTAAGTGCATCAAGTATGCTCATTAAAGTTAAATAAAGCAAGATCCAAATTAGTATTTTCAAATACAAATTGCAGTTCTTTACACAACAAATTGTGTTGTTTAAGGAACCACATTGTTCCGCTTTCTAATATAAAAATAAAATCAGAATGTTGCTTAATTAACACCCTAATTCCAAATCGTTATCATTAATGTCCAGTTTTATTAACATAGGGCAAATGCTTTATAATTTACTAAAATGATTTATAAGTGGCCTCACCTCATTATTTCTATTTCTTCGTCGCCTGTAATCGTCATCTTCGTCATCTGCGTCGCTAGGACCACGTCTCCCGTGTTTAACAGGAGGCATGTCGGACCAATTATCATACACTATCATCAAAAAGCTTTTATTACACTGCACTGATGCTCGGACGAAAGCTCACGGTTAACTGACTGATGAAAACATGGTTAGATATTCTTAAAATTTTTACTTCACAGAAGTAATAGGTGTACTACTAATAAAATTAAAATAAACTAATACCTATATAGTTACATCTAAGTAATAGTGACATTGTACATTTTTATTTCATAAAATTAATCAAGCTTTACTGCTGCCACCATCCTTTTTATCATCAGGAACATCTTGAAGAAGTTTCTCAAGGTCAATGCCCTCAAACTTGGAGCTCTGTGTATTTGATGCATGTGCCAAGAACAGTTCTTTGAGAAACTGCAATTCCTTTGTCAAAGTTTTCACCTTCTCTTCCAACATTTGGTTTTCAGCCTTCAGCTTGTTCACCCGGGTGAAAGTTTCCTGAGTCCGTTGCTTAGACTTGTATCTGCTCTTTTTAACTGCCTGGAAGAAAAAATAATGAAGATTAGTACATTCATGTTTTATATTTGATAAAAACCATGAAATATAAAAATTATAAACCTAATAAAATTTTATGAATCTATTAAGGAAATCTAGTGAAATGGGTGTACCACATTTGTGTAATGTTATTTATACAGAGCTTCACATCATATTACTATGATGTAAATACTATCCTTATATTGCAACCCTAAGTGCATCAAGTATGCTCATTAAAGTTAAATAAAGCAAGATCCAAATTAGTATTTTCAAATACAAATTTCAGTTCTTTACACAACAAATTGTGTTGTTTAAGGAACCACATTGTTCCGCTTTCTAATATAAAAATAAAATCAGAATGTTGCTTAATTAACACCCTAATTCCAAATCGTTATCATTAATGTCCAGTTTTATTAACATAGGGCAAATGCTTTATAATTTACTAAAATGATTTATAAGTGGCCTCACCTCATTATTTCTATTTCTTCGTCGCCTGTAATCGTCATCTTCGTCATCTGCGTCGCTAGGACCACGTCTCCCGTGTTTAACAGGAGGCATGTCGGACCAATTATCATACACTATCATCAAAAAGCTTTTATTACACTGCACTGATGCTCGGACGAAAGCTCACGGTTAACTGACTGATGAAAAGTGTATCTGCGACGAAGTTTCCGATAATATTACGCCAGAATAACGTTACTAAACATGACGCAATTTGTTATTAAAGTTGCTCTACGTTGTGTTGTTTACTAAAGTCGTTCATAACACTGAATTTTTCTTCCGTAAGCAGCTGATTGGCTTTGGTGCTTTAATAAACTTGAACAACGTTTGCCTAAATTAGCACAGTTCAATTGTAAAGTTATTATTTCACTTTACACAAATTGACCAATCTTGAACGTAAAAAACAAAAAAAGTGGATTGCACAGTGCTCTACATCATGAATCATCACAGTAATGTCACTTCACTTGATTTTTTTAAGATTCTCCCTTTTTAGGGAAGGCAACGAAGATAATGCCCATACAGCCAATGACCTGAAAAAAAGACGGACGTAACATCAAACTAAAATGATTTGAAGCATGCAGGTCCTACAATTTCATTTGTTGTACACTACTTACACTTACACAAATGCACCAGGTCAGACTCAGACAACCCGGTGCCATTTGACTCCGCGTGACAGCGCCAGTCACACGTTTAATTGCTCTGACGAAATTTTTAAAATATGCCGTCTTGTGTGATAGTGGTGCAATGGCGTGATTCTCTAAACTTAATTCTAAATTTAACATCAGTCTCTCCTTTTCATTCTGTATAGAGAATGACAACGATATACTGCTGTTAATTTGAAGTTTAGGTTTAGAGAATCATGCTAGAATCGACACCGATATCTTGTAAAAACCACACGAGTAAACTTAAAAAGCCACAAGGAATGACCTACCATGCGTAAGTAACGACAATCGTGATAATTTTTCAAAATTATATATTATTTAGTGTGATGAAAATTCAAAACAAAAAATACAACTTTAAATACAATACTTTTTAACGGGAAAATTTTCCTAATAGTCATGAAATTTGTATTTCATGCATTTGTGACTCGGTAAGACAAGATGTCGTAACTTTTTAGGGTTCCGTATTCCAAACGGAAAAGAACATAACCTATTATTATTCATATAAAATTACTCATGCCTCATTTTTATTATTAGTGTGTTTTATTTAATCGAAACTGCAGAGGAGAAAACAATTGGAACCCATCACCTGCCAGTACTGTGTGCAGTGCACATTTTGATCATGTACCTACATTTTATAACTACAGCTAAGGGGCTACGTTGTTTGGTTCCGTACGCAATCTGAGCGATTAAAAATCAGAATAATATCTTTTCTAGAAAAAAAATCAACTCTGTCAAGGTTTCAGGCAGGACTCGAATCTGCGTGTTCCGCTGTCCGGGTGGATGCACTAACCACAAGCATTTGTGGTAGTTCCTATAATAATAAAAAAGTGAGTGTGCTTATGACCACACGACTGAAGTGAAACTTCTTTAGCAATGATCTGAAAATCATAAACTTAACCTGAAGATTTGTTGATAGAAAAAAAGTGTTTTCTTTTGTTTGTTTTTGCTGTGTTCATAAAATGAATTTGATAGGCGAACATCATGTTTCTGAAGTGCAACCGTTTAAATTGCTGAAGTAACTATCGACAGTATTAATTCTTCCGCAGGGCTGGTGCATTGCTAAACGACTTCGTCAATGAATAATCTTCAGTCGACATATTTAATTAGAAACCTGCAGCTATCAGGCGGTTGATGACTGATATTTTTTTTGTGAATCTTTGAATTTCATTTATCTTTTTACCAAAAATTTTCTCAACTTTGTAAAATTTAATTTCCAATCTTTAAAATTTCTTCATATTTATATGTGAAAACTTGTTAATGGCTTATGTTGTTAAAATTTTTAAAGCAAATTTTGTATGAATAGCTGTAACTTTTCCCATTCAAATCAATAAATAAATAAGTATCGGGAGCTCACAACGAGTAAAACAAGTGGTAAATATCGCGTTATTATAATATACTAGCTGACCCAGCGAACTTCGTACCACTATAAAATAGGGCCAGGTGGTAGAAGAGAAAATTTAGGGTTGTATGTATTTTTTAATACCACATTATAAAAAAATAAATATTGTCAAAAAAAATTTAGGGGTGTGTAACGTAGTGTTCTATCAATTTTCTGGGATAATATTCCTCGTAACCCATATGAGCAGTGGCGCCGTTAGGCGTCCGGCGACGTCGGCCACCGCTGACGGCCACGCGCCTGAGGGGGCCTCGCAAAAAAATTTACAAGTTATCTATTTATTTTCGTTACTCCTGGCCTGGCTTAGATAGCCGACCCCGGACAATTCGGGGAAAAAGCTAAGCAGATGATAATGACTTTTATGATTTGCGAACACGTGCGTGATGGAAGCGAGTAGTACTTTACGGGTATTCAGAATCATCTGTCTGGCAACACTATTTTTGTAATTAAATTTCTATGTTTGTAATTATTTTTTATCATCATTTGATTATCAACAATAAAACTCGTTTACTCATACGTTATTTTATAATTTGGCTCACTTAATTTAACGGGTTTTTACTGCGAATTAAAATAGGCCTCGCGAACTTGATGTCGCCGACGTCCACATGTGGTCTAGCGCCGCCACTGCATATGAGAACACTACGTTACAATATCCAATCTCTCAAACAACTGAAGAACAACAAAGAGTCAGAGGATGACGAAATAACAACAGAACTCCTGAACTTGAGCGTAAACTCCTGAACTTGAGCGTAAAACCAGGACGTTAAATATATCAGCCGTGCGTTACTCTCCTTTAAAAAACTTGACAACACCCTATTGGATAACTTCCACTTATCTCGCTCTCGCAGCCACATCAACAAGTTGTTTTCGAGAGTCGGGAAATCGTCTCCCTAATAGGTTAGAGGACTTCAAGCCTCCCGAATAAGCCGGTTTCGGGATAGGTATCAAGCACCATGGAACACTTCCAAAACCTACGGCAGGTCATAGAAACACTGAAGAATATATCCTGCCATTATTCTTAGCTTAATGGCAGGATTATGAGAAAACCTTTGCCCTAACACAACAACCAAAATCTGATTTGGGTTGTTATGTGAGGGCCCGGGATGCCTCGGGCGGTTGCCCCACTCGCCCCCCATAAGGCTGCCTCTGCCTATAAATAGAAATTTTCTGACTTGAGTGGCTTATTTTTTATCCATAATTAATTTGGTTTATAGCACAGTGTGACCTAAACCCGCACTTTACGCACGCTTTTCCGTGACCTAAGTTGCCTATTCACTACAGATTTCAAAAGACAGTTAAATTAAATACTTACGTCATATTAATATTAAGTATAATATTCCTCACAGTATTTATTTAACACTGATGTAGACACGGATAAAACAAAATCATCGAGTCTTTCGTTAGTTTCAATATATCATAGGAAAAATAAGTACTTATTATTAAATATCTATTAAGTAAAAACTTGGTCCTTGTTGTCTGTTTCATCCCATTAACAGTACTTAAGCGTTGAGGAGTTCGTTCATCTAAAGCCTTGGTTCCGAACCTGGGGGTAAATCAGCCATACTTCGGGGGTGACAAAGAACCTAATAATTTGGTCAAATCTAAAATAATAAGAAAATAGTATATAATAATATATCTAAATAGAGCATGCGCTCCTTCTTGCTAGCGAGCCCGCGGGGTGCTGAGTGTGGGAAGCGGGGCGAGATTTTCTCCTGATGATGACATTATTAGAGACGAAGATGAAGCGGCCAAATTAAATTGTAATTTCTTGGACTGATGATAACATTTTAAAGTCGGGGTAAAATCTGTTTTCCTAATAGGTTACAGGGGTAGCCGTATTGAAAATGTTAGGAAACACTGATCTAAAGATACTCTTTACCACTTACACTAATCTACCTATTTATTTCGCAGTGTTGTATGCAGTTAAATCCAAATTTATCATTTAAAAAATTATAACTGTAGTTGTTGACGAGACCACAACAATAAAGAGAGGGTTCAAAATAAAATACCACAATAATATCATCAGACCACAATATATTTTCCACAATAAACTCCTAACAATTTTACGTAGGTAAATCTTATTTACACAAATAATGGAAGCATCCGATGCGAACGATCTAATACTGTTACGCTAACTCTCAAGTAAATTACAATTATTATGTAATAGGTTTATGCATTGAACTTTTTAAACACAACATGTTTTAATATTCTTATATCAGCCTAACACAATGTACCAACAAAAGCGTTTAAAATTAATTATCAAAATGTTCTCATTAAGTTTACTCTTATAAATGCCCTTAATAAAATTGCTTCAAAGTAAGATGAGCCACGAAAAAGTACAAGTAGACGCCAGTTACTTATAAAACGCTCATATCACAGAATATACATATAATCAACATGAGAAAAAAACAGTCTTATTATTATTAAGAGAATATTACACAATACCTAGGCACTGAAAAAAACAGAACCTTTTTAATTGAAAATATCCAGGTAATACATTATTTTTTATGTAACGAATGACTAAAAGGTATTGTATTGATGACACGATTCACCACTTCTCAACATATCAATGCAAACGACCCCTAGAAAAGGGACCTTAGCAGCAATGCTTAACACGCAGAAAATAAAAAATGTACTAGAACAAAGAAATTTAAATAGATTAAATCAAAAAGGTTTATAGATCATTAAACATTTATACGTCGGTTTTAATCTACACTTGTCAAATACGCTTCATCATTATTATTTAACTAGTTCATCAACAATATTCAGTTTTAAACTCCATCGCATAATATCGTTTCCAGTACAACACAAGCAATAAGCATTAAGATAAGTCAAAGTTATTAAGTTCTCTCTCTTGTTTAGGCCTTGATATAATAAAAATATTATTAGTTTGATTTTAGAAAGCTGGGTAATGGTAGATAACTTCTTTAAAAATAAATACTTAATCAGGTAATAAAATTTTACATGAATTGAAAATAAGTAGGTACATAAATATTTATAAATATATATGATTACTAAGAACAATGACAAATCCGTAACAGGAACATTATTTATACTTTAACAGTACCTATGGTATTACGATACTTGTGATTCGGTTTCCACGCTCACTACCAACGCCGATTTGTAACAAATTTTAAGCAACATATAAAATTATATTAGCTAATATTATGTTGTAATTTCTCTCGAATGATATCCACATTTTTCAAATTAAAAAAAAACTTGCTTCTAAAAAAATATTTCAGAAAAAAAGAAAAGATACACGCTTCGTTTTCCGTCGAACACTGGTTGGATATAGTATAACAGTAAACCGTACAAAATCACGTTAGATACATAGTACTTAATAACAATAGTACGACAGGCCACAACTAAATGTCAAAGTTTCGATCGATCGAATTAGCCTGACATATTTCAAATTACCTTTATTATGAATATAAACTTGAAAGCTCAATGTAAATTCAGCGCAACTTAAATAATCTAGGTTATTCAATTTTATTTAAATCGGTTCTTATTTACATTATAAGCCTCATAACGCGTGAAGGCGAACAAAAACGTTTTGGGTATTTTTTTTAATACTAATAAATTTATGAGAAAATTTGTTATACCTATAATAATAACAATAAAAACATCTCGACAGCATACTCGTTACACTAATGACATTCTTGGAGCGTAAGATCTAAGTCATCACAAGAACATTTTGGTCAACATTATTTTATTTTTAAGTAAGTATTTTAACTACAAATTAAATGCAATCGTTCGTTTAACATTAACTTTGACAATGAGATAGTCACACTATCATAATATGTATCTCTTTTTAGAAAATAAGTTTTTTAGACTAAGCTCACAAATTGTACATCCAAGTCCTTGAGACATTGTTAAGTTTAAAAACTGTTTGATAAAATATAAATTATGAGATGATTCTTTTCTATATAAATATATAGGTAGAATTTGTTAATTCCCATTATTAGAAAAATACATATGATTAGGGCTATCTCGATGTTTTCATAAGTTGACAAAATAAGGTGTATCATTTACAATAAAAACATTAAATGTGATGGGTCCTTTCTGTCCATTATTTTTTATGTAATTCATTTTTATCTTACTACGTAGTATCTAAAATTTTAGTCTTAACACGTTCATTAGTAATATAACTAAGTTACAGTATGACTAACTAACTAATGAACTAGAATCGCTTAGTATTCAGCAGTCGATGGCGATGCCGCTAATTTTATCATAATTATTATCGTCTCGAACATGTTTAGTAGTAAGTACCACTTTAAAGAAGTTTTCAAATTGTTTAGACATAAGTACATTAATTTTATATCCTATGAACTTCCGTTGGTATTTAGAAATTCGGATTGCCTATTTTCTTCATACTTTTTGGACACTATTAGTCTTCGCTTGCTATGATCCACTTAAATAGGTACTTAATTAAATTTAAAATCAGTTGTTTTAATATTGATACTAACTCGTTCAGGGAAAAGTACCTACAATCAGTCGTCTCAACCTTTATTTATACAGTTTTAAAGGTGAAAATTTAGTTCTACAACCTTTATTTCAAACAATCAATGTATGTTTATTACATACAATTATCAAAACTGAACGTTCAAGATCTACTGCAACTTTAAACATGCGAACCAGAGAAAGAAATTGCAATTTTTCTATATCCAAAATCCAGGATTATAAATTTTTAAATAATATTAAACGACCCCTTCATGGGGTCCACAAAGAACACTTTGAGAATGACTGCCTTTATTTTTTATTTAAAATTACTATTGTGTAATTATTGCGAGATTTCCTAATAGCTTACAAGCTAATTTATTGTATTGATTACATTTTTTTTCATGATGTAATTGTCTTCGTTATAATTATTTTAATGTTTCAAAATCATACAGTAAAATAAAGTAGGTAATAAACTCCGTACTCTGGCTGTTCTAATTAGAACCTTAAATATTATTATTATTCGCGGGTCACTAATGTGGGGGTTGCATTTGCGTTTTGCGACACTGGCAGAGCCATTTGATGATGCGTGCGTTTCGTTCCACCACGCTCGGGGGTTCCGTATTGCGGTATATTTGTTTCGGGGCACCCGGTCCTTGTACCTGTGAGAAAAGTTTATTGTCTATTAGGTTTCATTTCTTATCTTTATCAAAAATATTCAAAGTCACACAATAATTGTAGTTGAAATTTGTAAATATCATTCAGGAATTCGCACCCATGGGCATTATGGCTTAATTCAAAGGGGAGGGCTTGTGGCCCAGCAGGGCATTATAAGGCTGATGATGATTATAGGATTATGGTCAATTGGTTGTCATAGTTATTGTGAAGTCAGCAGTGGGGCATAAAAACGCTAAGGCACCTAAGGCCGCTTTGTTTCATCCATAGTTAAATTTCCCTATACTTAAAATAATAGTGAAAAAATTACATTATTGACAAAATTTGATGCATTTACTATGTATTTGATGTGTGTGGCATTAACTATAATCATAATTTACTATGGATGACACAAGCCTTAGTTTTCTTATTAACTAGTCGCATTTTAGAGCTAAAACGACCACAGTTCTTTCTGTCTTACTCCTATATTGTGAGGAACAGTGAAAATATATTATTACCGTATAGTCAACAGTGGGTGGATGGTTGGTCTATACTGGAGGCCGATGAGAAGACAAGGCTCCTTATCAGATGGGTTCGGAGCCAAACTGACTATACTTCTTTTTGCCCTACCCCTTATTGTGTGGAATAAAGACATGATTTATTATTACAAGATATGAGCAGTGTGTGGATGTGGTGTGGTGGATGAGGAGAAAGCCGTAAACTGTGTTATTTTCAAATAACCATTGTTTTTCCTGTCCTATATTTATGTATAAAGGGGTATTATAAAAAATAGGTCATTATCATAGTTACCGTCAGTAGTGGGTGGATGATTGGAGTCTGTACTGGAGGCGGATGAGGAGAAAGCCGGAAACTGTTATTTTCAAATAACCATTGTTTTTCCTGTCCTAGATATAATGTGGGCTATAAAAATTAGTCATTATCATAGTTACCGTGTAGTCAGCAGTGGGTGGATGATTGGAATCTGCACTGAAGGCGGATGAGGAGAAAGCCGGAAACTGTGTTATTTTTAAATAACCATTGCTTTTCCTGTCCTAAATATAATTTGAGCTATAAAAAATAGGTCATTATCATAGTTACCGTATAGTCAGCAGTGGGTGGATGGTTGGAGTCTATACTGGAGGCGGACGAGAAGAACACGGGACTGTCAGCGGGTGGGTGACGAACTATAGCGTCGAATTGTCGCGGCTCCAGGCCCAAGTGCTCGAAGAATTGCTGCAATCGCAACGACTCCTCGGACCGACTGTCGGTCGCGGATTGGTCGCCGTCGCACGTTGCAGAGACGGTTGATGACACTTCAGCGCGACGGTACCTGTTTTAAGAAGGTTAAGGTGTCGATTCTGGCATAATTCTCTAAACCTAAATTTAAATTTGACAAGGGTGTATCCCTGTCATTCTTACTTCTCTTACAGAATGAGAACGAGGGACTGGTGTTAAAATCAGTTTTAAGCTTAGAAAATCATGGCAGAATCGACCCCTAAGTCACGTTTAAAATATAAAAAACTGTCAATAAATCCGAACTTTGTTTGAAAAGGTCCGAACGTTTTAAATACAAAATGGCAAAAGATGCGTTGTGCAATAAATACCTACTGATTTGTTATTTCTCAAGTTAGTACTTTTTATTACATTATGCCAAATTTTAAGGTAAAAAAAACCCGAACAAAAGTAATACAGTATCTACAATAAAACTAGTGGTTCTTTAATCTTAAAACTCACGTGTGACCATATCTGAAAACTGATTTGTAACGGACCACCACTTACGATTTTTTGCCTGGGGGGTAGAGCACGCCTTTTTTTGTTTTGCAAGATCGACTGCTCGTATTACAGAATGACTGTACTTAGTGTGGATCTTTACTCGAGTTCAGTTAGAAAAGGATGTCGCTATGTGCTATATATAGCGACATCCCTTTCTAACTGTACTCAAGTAAAGATCAACATTAAGTTGTCATTCTGTAATACGAGCCTAATAGTCGCGATCGACCGGTTGGCCATCCTTGCTATAGGCTATGGTGTCTGTAAGCTGCCCACCAGGTAAGCAGTTAATATCAAGTTAGCACAAAATGTATTTTTACCCTGATCTATTTAAATGAATCGAAAATAAAGCTCAAAATTCGTCCATTTTTTGACAGTTTTAGGTAACTTTTATTTATTGTTCAAAATATGATTGCATACCTATCAGATATGTCAGATTTGGAGCGCAGTATGGGCCTCGGTCGTCGCTGCTTGTACCGCAAACACCGCTGTCTTTTGAAAGTGCCTAGTGGTGACGTCACTTCCTCGGTCGGACAAATCTGCAATAAACGGCAATTAAACGAATCCTTAGATTATTTTTTTTATTCTTTTTTACCAAAAATACAATTACGGGCTCAATACCATAGGCTTTCTCCACCAGTCAACAAGTAAGGGCGAAGGAGACGAATGTTATGGAGATAAAGTGCGAGCTGCTTAAGTTTGAAAAAAAAAAGATCCTACTTTACTATACACATGATGTTGGAGCACTGGCCTTTCCTATATCTAAAGGCAAACTGTCTTTATTCAAATTAGATGCAGATTTTTACAGATATCATCATTTATATCATATCATCATTTAAAGTATTTTTTTGTCAGCAGTGGAAAAAATGGGGGACAAAAAGCTCCAAAAAATTTCATGACTAAAATTTACAAAGTTGTGCAAGTTTTCGAACGGCCTGGTGCGGCTTGGTGGGTGCTAGAGCAATTGTGGGTACGGAGTCAATCAAGGGAACAACAGCTTGAGATTTTTTAGGTCATCTACCTAGGTATCCTATGAACTACCTTTAAGAAAGTGGGGCCTGATTTCTACAATCAATTTTGCCACTGCTTATGGTTTATCTATTTTTTTAATAAATTATACTTGTTTGGTTGTTTGTTTTCATTAAAGTACGTAAAGGCAAGGCTGGATAATAAAGTAAACTACTTGAGCAAAACCACAGACAGTTAAACATGCGCAGTAGACGTAAGATGTACGACGATTTTAAGATTGCTACGTTTTCCAAGATTTGGCCTAAGAACTTTGTTGCCAGTTTGGTTTAATATTTTTTTTTTAATGTGTATGCTGTTGGTCGCAGATGACCTTTACAACGAACTTCACCTGATTTGGGGACGGCGAGATACTAAGGGGACTTCAAGCCGAGAATTGGCGAGTGCCTCTAGAGGTATTCCAGGCGGATGACATCTCGATCTCCCCACGGGGGGAGTCTCCTCTCCGTCTGGAGTCTATAGACCACTCGAAATTGAGGGGGTCGGCTCAACTAGAGGGCGTCTCTGAGACTCGGACCTCGACTCTAGTAAGCCGTTGTCGTAGGGGGTAGGGTTTAATACCTGCGCAGTGTTGACGTACTCCTGCGTGTCGTCGAGGCGCGGGCGCAGGCGCGGCTCCTGGTACTGCGGCTGCTTGCTTACCAGTTCCAAACTTGGTTCGTGGTATCTGTTAAATGTAGAAATAATGCTTTAAATTCCGACACAGAAGTTGTAAAGCTTGTAGCGAGTTGTCAAAAAATGGCCGATGAAACAATGCCTGCCCATCGACCCACACGGGGGTGATTTTTGTGCGTGTTTTCCATTGAACTCAGAAAGCAAAAACTTTGTTGATGCAAACAAATATGCGTTCTGAAACAATAAGTTTTATGTAGACGTTTTTGTTAAATGTTTATGTTTTTGTTGATTGTGTAGTAGGGCAAAACACGCGCTGGAGACCCGGCTTTAGTATTATTGCCCGGCCACGAGTTTTGGCGTAGCGATCAACGATATTAAATAAGTGTCCCAAACAAGAAGTGCTTGAACTCCACTCAAGCACTTTTTGGTGTAACGGTCCACGCGTGACTGCGCGTGAAAGTCAAGATGCCATAGAGCTCCGCGAAACAATGCGAAAATAATACTTAGAGTACGAAAAGTGTCGTTTTTTGGACAGGTATCTAGTCAATGTTTGTCAATTTAACGCATTTGAAGTAAATTTTGATCTAATACTTACTATAAACTGATTTAATATATAAAATATTTGTGATATTCAAATGCATGGTCGGTTTAACGTCGCCATATAGCCGACTCTTTTCCTCGCGGTCCGTGCCTGCTATATTGCTAACTGCTCGTTTAGAATTGCGCCTAGAGTCAAAGAAGTAAGGTCTAAATTCTTCCGCTTATAGCAATAAGTCGTAAAATTTTACGAGCTTGCATTTCGAACTGTCAGAAGTCCTTGACGCATGCGTTTTATTTAAGACCTTATACAGTATGCATTAAAGGTTACTTTCAATATTTAAATAATGCCTTATATTGATTTTGACAACGCGATCATCTTACGGAGCTCCGTGGATCGTTCAATGTACCTTTTGGACATGTTTCGGGCACGATTTTGTTCGTGTTGGTGTATCGAGGGTATTTAAATTCGTTGGTAGCGATGCGACGGTCTGCGCGCGGCCTACGGTAGGCTGGTCGTCACGCTAGCCCCGCCCGTCGCTGAAGGTTTCGGTTAACAGTACCCCTAGCACGAACCAATATCGAATTCGAATAGTTTGCGATTCCGAAATGTCATTATTTTTGTCATTTACATTGCGCACTCGCAAACTATTCAAATTCGATAATGGTTCGTGCTAAGGGTACAGTTTACAGTCAGTGGATTAGTGGGTGGGGGTGGCGATCACACCTTTATTTTAAAATTTGTTTTATTTATAATTATTTGCTTAGACAACGGCCACGGTAACGTATTAAAATGTCAAGTGTCTACCTATTTCCGTTCAAGAGATATAGAGCCCTATGACAGGCAGACAGACGAGGAATAAGATTCTGTTTGTCACTCTAAAATGCTAGTCACTATCCCAATCAAACGTCAATCAGACAACAAACCTGCCATAACCAATAAATCCAATCCAATTGTTCCAATTTTTGCTAAAGTTTACGACGTCATCATTACGACTCTACGTCAAGCCCACAAAAACTATAACATAATAAGTATTTATTTTTTAAGCATTTAATTGCTAGATGTTTATTACTTGTAAAGGTATTCGTTTGACATTGTTACCTATAATGCGAAGAGATGGCGCTGCTTTGCAGCATAAGAAATATAAGTACTAGCAATAATTCAAGACGGCCATTAGGACCGCAGTAGTATAATGGTTAGTGCATCCTCTCGGATAGCGGAGGGTGTTCGAGTCCTGCTTGGTCCGTGTACTAGGGCGGATCCAGAGGGGGGGTCATGGGGGTCATGACCTCCCCCTGGGCTGGGTCCATCTGTACCCACTTCACAATCTGTACTTCCAATCTGTACCCACTGTGACTTGACCACGACTAGATGACCCCCCCTGGCGCCAAAGCTGGATCCGCCCTTGTCCGTGTAGGTTTTTTTCTAGTAATTTTTTCTTTAGATTTAAACTTTAACATCTTTTAAAATACCTATTCCTGAAAAAAAAATGATAAAACGTACATTTTGGTTATCTTCCTCGTCTCACCTGGTGTACTCCTTAGTGTTGGTGTAGTCTTTCCTTCCTACGTTGAGACATTTGAGGGGGGTCTTGTACGTACACTCGTAGTCTCCGTAGTCGTACACTGGCTCGTCTTGAAACTGGGGCGGGGGGGCACTGGCCTGGTGAAAAAAATAAAGTTCTGTTAGGGTGCGCCATCTTGGAACTGCGACGTCACTGACAGGTAGTATCTACAGAATACGGTATATTTGCCTGGAAGTATAAGGGATTTGTTGGGTATGTATCTTAATGAGAAGGGTTACCTGAATATGTATCTTAACTCTTGCTTGCGGCGCCGCGGTGGAAGGGCACTTGCGGGTGCGGAGTACTCTAAGTATATCTCCACCTGCGGTTGCAGACAATATGTAGTAATCTAGAGACGGCCTTGCCTAAGCGACATTCGCCACTATTCTATTTTGATCGCGCTCTTACTAGAGGACGCTAGGGTAATGAACACACTGGGGCGACACTCTAGTAAGAATGATTGATTGATTACGGTCGCTTAAAGGGCATGTCTAGCTTGGTTTAGCCTTCTAGTATGATTACCGTTATATGGGTTAGATAAGCTTCCACTGTAATTACCTGTAAGTGTTTCTTAACTCTTGCTTGAGGTGGGTAGGGTGCGGGCGGGTGCGGAGAGGATATGGCGCGCCATCTTGGAATTCTGACGTCACTGACACGAAGCATTCTATAGTATGAGTGATAATTACCTGGAAGTGTATCCCAACTCTCGCTTGAGGCGGGTAGGGTGCGGAGAGGGGGAAGGCGCGCCATCTTGGAATAGTGACGTCACTGACACGAAGCATTCTATAGTATGAGTGATAATTACCTGGAAGTGTATCCCAACTCTCGCTTGAGGCGGGTAGGGCGCGGGCGGGTGCGGAGGGGGGGAGGGCGCGCCATCTTGGAATTGTGGCGGCGCCGATACGTAGCATTCGAGTGATTCGCCGCCACCGCCATAGTATGCGTTGTAGCGGCTAAGGACAGACGTAGGCGTTATGAAAATTGAAAAAAAATATCGAGGGCGACAGACATTGAGAAGCGCCCTCTCCCTATGTTATTCTGCATACATGTATTTCTCCCTATGTATTTCTTTCATTTGAAGAATTTGTCGATTGCTGATGCATTGAAAGTTCTTCTATCATATTGTCATTATTTTGTGTACCAACGACATTAGGTGCATTTAGTTGTTTGTCCCCTTTCTATGTTTTTTATTGCGATACCGTCATAATTTTCTTCAATTCTATCAATTCATTTTCCGTTTTATAGAAACGTTCTTCTAAAAAGGTAATTTTAAAACTCGAAAAACTGCTGGACGTCTTAGTGTATAACAGTAGGTACCTGTGCTCGTGCTGCGTAGAGGAGCCAGAGTCGGTGCGGCGTCGCGCGTGAGGCGGGGCACTTCGTTGTGTATAGTGGCCGCTAGAACCGCCTGAGTCTCGGGCGAATGAGGAGCCGCAACGACTGCGAACAATCATCATTAGGCTATTGATGTCCTTGCTGATGGGGCACAGACCTTCTATATGGATAGGATAGAGAAGTTTACAGACCATGTTATCTATAAGGGGAAGGCGTTCCTAAGGTAAACCTGCACACGTAAGTTCATCTTGAAAAAAATGTGACTTTGACCTTCAGTATCTCTATAACCATAAATTTCCCAGGTCTGGTCCAGAAGAAAAAAATTATCGTCATGATGTAGAAAATACGTGGCCTTCGACTTCGTTAAAGGTATTTTTACACTCTGTATAGATAGATGGGTTATGGGTGTTCCTGCTGATGGGGCACAGGGCTTCTATATGGATGGGATAGGGAAGTATAGAGCCCAACAACATATCTATATAGATAGATGGGTTATGGATGTTCCTACTGATGGGGCACAGAGCTTCTATATGGATGGCATAGGGAAGTATACAGCCCTACATGATATCTATATAGATAGATGGTTTATGGATGTTCCTGCTGATTGGGCACAGAGCTTCTATATGGATGGCATAGGGAAGTATACAGCCTAACATGATATCTAAATAGAAAGATGAGTTATGGATGTAGACCCACAACGACTACGAATAATCATTATCATTACACTTTTGATACCCCTGCTGATTGGGGACAAAGGTTCTAATTGACGGGATAGGAAAGTAGGGAACCCGTTAGAACAGCGAATAAACGTCGCTGTCAACCTATTATTGCCCCTACTTGAGGCATACGCCTTCCCTATTAAACGATTATGTTGTATTTCTAAAATATAGTATGGAATAGTGAGTGAAAGAAAGAGAGAGAGAGAGGGAGAGAGCACAAATGATGACCCGCAACAACTGCAAACAATAATCATCATCAACGACAGAACACCCCAACTAAAGACCGCTTATATGGCACCCTCGTGGGAAAAAGGTGATTCGCATTATTCCTATTCAATCTTAGTTTGAAATCGAAGTCGCCATAGTTGGTGGCGTTTGGATACGTCAGTGTGACGGTCCACCATGGTAAAATTAGGTGCAAACGTAGGTATATCGTGAAGTTAATTGTTAAATGCTTATGCTGTATTACTAATATATAGGGCGTCCCACGGCCATGCCACACAAAGGGAAAGTATATTAAATATTGAAGATAGGACATTTTTCTGAAAGAAGAGATCATTTAATTTTCTACTCCGCATGGCATGGCCGTGAGACGCACTGTATAGTAGTAACACTGCATAAGCGTTTAACAATTAACTTCACGATATACCTAGCTTAGTTTGCACCTAATATTGGAAAATTGATATAATAATAATATGTCACCTGTTATAAGACTGATAGTTCTCTTCTCCCGGAGATGGGTGCTCCGAGAACGCCTCGCACGATGACATCAGCGACGAATGGTTCGATCTACGATTAATATATAAATGAGATAGGGCGTGCGCAGGGATCAACGTTGGGCCCTTTACTATATTTAATTTATATTATTGATAGTATTTCATAAATTAATAACAGTATTATTTACAGATGATACTTCCTAAGTTTTTAAGGTTAACAGGGGAGCAAATGCAGAGATGCAGAGAAGTAAATAGTGCTCTTTGTAAAATTTTAAAATGGTTAACATTAAATAATTTGGTCTTAAACCAGCGTTGCCAGTTTTTTTTGCCAAGTCGGGATTTAGTAACCTTTTTAGTAAAAAAATAGTATGTAATCAAAAGTTTTTGAATATTTTATTTTGATTGAGTTCAAATTACGTTTACATGACATACATGACAGGTATTATCACGGAATTTTGCGCTCTGTCACTTGGCGAACAAAATGGTTTGAACGGTTTTCTACAGTAGTTTTTACTACGGCCCGCCTTCGCAATCGCCCGGATTGGCGCGTCCGACGCTGCACAAAAGTAAGACAGAGAGCATTTCATTGATTGAATAATGAATTGAATTGCATTTGTTCCAGTTGCAATTTGTCATCCGCGTCGTGATCGCGACAGCGCTATACGAAAAAGTAAGACGGTGATAATTACCCACATGTCCATGAATGAATTTTTACTACGCCGCTACCGCAAGCGATTATGGCATTATGGGTGACAGAGCGGGTCTTTCCGCGAGTGTACCTAATAAAAATACCCATAGAAAATATATTTTAATAAAAATATGATATTTTAAGTCAGATTTACCCTATCGTTAAATAGTTATCTTTGTTAGGGAGTTCTTCATTACGCGCCGTTCAGGTGGCCAGTCCACACTTGTCTGTGCTACCCGCCCGCGCTTTCTCAGTACGCTGCACGTACGGTCGACTTTATTCCGAAAAGCGCGAATGAGCCTGTCCCGCGCGGGACATTTGATTTTGATTTAAAAATCGGGGCGTCTGGCAACGCTGTCTTAAACCCAATAATTTTTATTTAACTTTCTATTTCTCTACCAAATTTAAGGAATGTCGATATACCTTTGACTATGAATGGTGAAGTTATTTATCTAGATGAAAATACAAAGTTTCTGGGTTTGAAAATTGCTGTGGCATACTCATATTGACACGCTGTCAAGTAGACTTGTTTAGCGTCATATGCTCGTTAGCAAACCAATATTTGCAAAAAATATAATTTTAAGACATAGCAGTTATAATATTAAGTAGTAATATTTAACAATATTCTGTCTGTTGCACATACCATATTTTTTAAGTAACCTCTGTTCACCGTTATAATGCTAAGATTTCGTAGAAGCCTTTGTATCCGAAAATTCGATTTGTATATAATACAAGCCATAATGATGAGAAAGTCGCTATCTATCTCCATCTAACAGAAAACCACAGTAAAATAGCAATACCTTTCGGTGGTGTTGTGTTTCTGTCGGTGAGTATTGAGTAAGGTTCCAGGGCTCCACGGGGTAGGGGATTGGGTCAGGGTAAGCAACGGCGCGAGTGATATTTTTGATATCGCAAGCGTCTATAGCGAGGAGTTCGATGGCGCAAGTGGTAAGCGCGTTCGACTGTGTTCGTTGAAGTTAAGCAACTTTCGCAGTGGTCGGCCATTGGATGGGTGACCAAAAATTTACTATCTCGAGCTCCTCCGTGCTTCGGAAGGCACGTTAAGCAGTCGTTAGCACCCACCAATCCGTACTGGGCCCGCGCGATGGGTCATGGCCCAATTTCCCTATAACACCCATAGGGAAGGCCTGTGCCCCAGCAGTGGGGACATTAATAGGCTGATGATGAAGCGACTATAGAAGTGGTGGGCTAACTTTTTGAATGGCGGGCCATAAAATTTATTAAATTCTTAAGGAAGGCCTTTAGGGTTGAAATTGACATATGACTAACAGACATATGTCAATTTCAACCCTAAAGGCGGGCCGGATGTGGCCAGCGGGCCGTACTTTGCCCACCACTGGTCTAGAGGATATGATGCCGCTTACCACCAGGCGGGCCATGCGCTTATTAGCCACCCTTTTAACATAAAAAAAAAAACTCCAAAATATGCACATATTGGTTTATCAACGACGATGTGCAAGTCCTTCAGTCCATTCTCTTATGTGTTTTATGAGTATGAGCCTATCATAACTGAGGAGCTGGCGAACAAAACGGTATATTTACGCATATGGTTGTGACCACTTTTTTGATGTGGCAACGTCTTATAATTCGATGGAGTCGGCTGCACGCACGAAATAACATGACTCATGCGGCGTTACCTCGCTCTGAGGAGTTCCATTTAAGGCTTGAGTGCAAGCGAGAGCGCGCAACGAGCGACAAAGAGGCACAATTGGCCTCCGCTTTCGGCAGCGCTCGACATCTGTCTCTCTCCTACTTGAGTGAGCGATGCGTCCGCGTGGACAGTTGCTATACAATAATACATTTGTTTTCGTCAAGTATGAAATGCAGTAAATAGTGAATGTGGTGTTAATTGTTTATAGCAACGATAATTGCGGCGATAAAGGTAGGTAAAGGATAAAATGATATCACACGTGTTTAAAAGTTGAAAAACAATTGCTCAAAGCACATTCATACTTATAAAAACTATGTACATTGTAAAAAAACGTTGTCACGTTCAAGTATCGTCAGTAAACCGACTTTACAGACAACCGATTTTTTTACAGCCAGACAGTTTATTTTTTACAGAGGTTTTGGGCCAGCTGAATTTGAATTTCAACTCATGTCAATCAAAACCGCCTACAGTAGTGTTAAAATTACTAAATTAAAAAGCACGCCAAAAGCTCACTGTATGTACATACCTACATTCAGTTTTTTTTACTTCTCCTCTTAAATTTAATTTGATGTAATAAAATAATAAATAAATAAATATTTCCAACACTCACACTAATAACCCTAGCCCAAAGTAAGCACTGTAAGGCTTGTGTTATGGGATGATAGGGTAACGGATTGAATACAGATACAGTACATATATAAGTTTACTTATATATAAATACATTTGAAACATCCATGACTGGAGTACAAATGCTCATGTTCATCACACAAACATCTGCCCCCACCGGGATTTGAACCCGGGACCCCCGGCGTACAAACCACTCGGCCACGGAGGTCGTCAATTATACCGTTTTGTTCGCCAGCTCCTCAACTGTCGTAAGACAGTTTATGATTTTAAAGTGAGTCATTCATTATTTACCTGGTGCCCTTGGAGGAACAGGAAGCGGTCCGCTGGTGGTTGGAGTGTCGCCGACGTCGCGGAGATCGTCCGATGGAGCCTATCGTTTCCGTCGGCACGGTGGTGGTGCTACAATCAAATTCAAAATTTACAATCAGGTTATCATATAACTACATAATTATAATTATACTAGCTGTCCCAGCGAACTTCGTACCGCCATAAAAAAATAGGGATTGGTGGTAGAAGGGTGAAAATTTAGGGTTGTATGTATTTTTGTATGATGTGCCATAAAATCGGTTTAATCGTTTTTTTTTGTTTGTTAATTGTGTACTCACTGCTCAGTATATCCTCTCGCCTGCGCATGAAGGTCGGGCAAGGATTTGTGGCTGTTGATGTTGATGCATCCGTCCTCTTCGCGCACGCTCGGCTGGGAGTGCGAATTCGATCTACATGGGGAAAAAATAATAAATAAATATTTCCAACACTCACACCAATTAGCCTAGCCCCAAAGTAAGCACTGTAAGGCTTGTGTTATGGGATGCTAGGGTAACGGATAGAATATATATACTGTACATATATAAGTATACTTATAGAGAAATACATATTAAATATCCATGACTGGAGTACAAATGCTCGTATTTATCACAAAAACATTTGCCCCCACCGGGATTCGAACCCGGGACCTGTCGAGTCGGCGACACCATGAAACCCGGCGTACAAACCACTCGGCCACGGAGGTCGTCAAATGGAGAAAAAAATATCATGATCTACATGGTAAAAACTATGTTCATCTCACTGTTATGTCAGGACTTGCCGTAGGTGGTATGACTAACTTTATAAATAATCCTTCAGCGTTTCTTAATATACAGAAGCTGGGACTGAGTATGCTTACTGACCGGGGGGCAACTGCCTTAAGGGATTGCTATGGCTATCGCATTGGTTTGCGATTTCGTTTTATTGTTTCTGACCCCCGAAGGTTTACAAATACCTTACGCTCATTTTCTTTAATATTGTTATTACCAATAAAAAGAAAAATACGAGCGCGAGGCAATTCAAAACCTTCAGCGGTCAGAACAATCACGCTAGGCGATTAGCCCCCGTGTCGTTACAAAAAATTTGGCATAATCTGCTAAAACTAGTAAGTCTACAGTTTACTAATAGTCGAATTCAAAGTTTCGCGGGGCCGTGTGCGTACTGCGGAGATAGTTACTTAAAAAAATTACACAAAGTGCGAGAACTAATAATTACAAATTTTGATCCTTCGAGCCGGGTTTAACTAGCGAGCTATAGTAGGTACAAAAAATGGTATTACTTAAAATATCACGAGATGAGTGTGTAAAGTTTTTGGTCTTTCGAACTGGATGCTACTACTACTTAGAGAAAGCAGTACGTATCGCCGAGTTTGGTAATTCGAGTCGGATTGAAACAGCGAACTATAGTAGAAAAGTAACGATATGTATCACATATACTCTTATATCGCGGACAGTGTACGTATTGGCCAAGTGCAAGAACGAGTAAAAACAGTTTTTGGTCCTTGGGGCCGTTCAAGTATTACGCCCCTTCGCGCCCGATTCAAATTACCTGATATATCTTGGGGCAGAATGTGCATACTGCGCGGGCGGACTTATGGCTCCCAGTTGATCCGCGGGCGATCCTGATCCACTCATCACTGGCTCAGGCAATTCTATGTTCTCGGGGCTCGATTGGGAACTCGCTGGAAAACAATTGTTGTTTAAAACACTCAATTGAAGTTCCAGTTCCAAACTTAGCCTTAGTATATATGACATGGACGTACATAATATGTATAAACGTTTATTTAGTACCTATGTCCATGATATGTATACCTACTTACCAATAATGAAAAGACCAGTTTTCCCTTTGACGTGATTGAGTAAATATCTCATCATCCTAGTCATGGACGTATAAAAAAAGGCGGACAGAGTCCCGGTAAACAACAAACTGTGTCGCTCAGAGTCGGCCAGGTCGCTATATGTACAAGCCGGCACACACACATTCACACCATAGTCAGCCATTACGCGTGCAAACGTCAAAGCAGCCGATACGTTAAGTGGAGATAAAAATAAGTTAAAACAAGATGTCTTGCGTGGTAAAATGGTGTAAAAACCGTAGTGACCGAAAGAAAAAAAATCCAGGAATCACGTTTCATAGGTAAATGAACAATATAATCACTTTTTTCTAGTTTTTAGAAATCGAAATCAATTTTCATTCTAAGCACAAAATAATTAATCTAAAGTCCAGTGTTGTCAATGTTCACGTAACCATATTACCTAAAATATGGGAAATTGGGGTGACATTAGCTTCAATCTATTATTTGTTATTCTTTTTTTATCAGATTCCCTAAAGAAAATATAGAATGGAGAAATGACTGGATCCAAGTTATTAGGAATTGTAACGGAGATGATGAATGTATTCCAAATAAATATAGTGTCATTTGCAGTATCCATTTTGAAGCTGGAGACTTATATACTACTAAAAGAGGACTCCGGCGTGTTGTTACGCATGCAGTACCTCAAAAGGTAAATTAAAAATTTTAACCGACTTCAAAAAGAAAGAGGTTCTATACGTCATATTTGTTATTTTTTTTTCAATTGTTGTTCGTGCATATCTCCGAGATTCGTGGACCGATTTTGATGATTATTTTTTTGTTTGAATCAGTTTATTAGCGAGATGGCTGTATTAATTAAGTGCAGAGCTGATGAATATTTTCGGAGGGAAACAATGGAACTCCTCAATTACAAACAGTACTCAATGCATGTTTTGTTAATTTAAGAAATATAAAAAAGAATGCAGGCCTGGCCAGGCATATTTAGGTGATTTACTCTGGCTTATGAAAAGTGGAAAATATAAACTTTTTCATACAAAAATAAAAACAGACTTCATGTTAGTTTTCCAATTACAGAGCATAATGCGACTCAGTGGCTACCAATGCCGAATTATGCTGATGATTAATTGGAACGTGAATTAGTTTTCAAATGCACCAGCAAAGTGCGCTAAGTTCAGTGTTGAAAAAAAAGTGGAATATAAAAAAAGTCAATATTTGTTATATATAATAGTTTGAATTAACTTTGATTATTTAAAAAAACCTACAATGAAACAAAAGTTTTAAAATATTTTCAACGATAAATAATATTACTAACGATAATATTTAAACAAAACATTTCGATCAATGCCAACTTAAAAACAGTGCGTATGAACACAATTTTCGCCTTTCCAGTATCGATCGAAACGGTGCAGTGTGTTAAATTTTTGCCACGGGACCAACGTTCGACGCATCACCGCGGTCGTCGGTTCAAATCCCGCACTCGTGTTTTATTTTTTATTATATTTTTTTTCCATTTTTTATATATTTGTTTTAGACCCCAGCACCTGTTCTTATTTTTATTTGTCTCCCTTTTATTTAGACTTTATAATTATAATTTTTGGACTAAAGGTGGTAAACTGTGGAGCATGTGGAAGTTTTTTGGCGCCGGGCAATGCTGTTGTTTGCTGTGCTTGCCCAATAAAATATCATAAGGCCTGCCTCGCCATCTATTAATATCAGAGAAAAAACTTGAATTAATATCAAAGAAAAAAAATACTGCATAAATAAATAGTATTATTGCATAAGTTGACAAATAATGCTATGCAATAGCTTTACCGCGGCAGTCCCCGAGTGCAACACGATTTTTTTTTAAGTACACGATTTGCATACCTATTTTCTAAATACAGTGGAGCCCCGGTAATCCGGCCCCTGGCTAATGCGGCACCCCCTATAATCCGACATCGTCTATTACATACAAGTATTCGCTAATTCACGATTGAACAAGTTACAACTTGTACGCACCATCACAATTGTGCTCGACGCGTAGGGTATTGTTTTTTATATTTTTTTGTAAATTCTATAGCATTTGACGTTACTTTTATAATAAAACATAATCTTTCTATTGTGTTGTTTAATTTACTCAATTTGACATACATAACAAAGTATGTTTTGTAATCTTATCATTGGATCTGTAATTTGTCGGATTACAAGGTACTCTTTTGTAAAAAAATTCAGACTATAGGGGGTCTTAGGCAGTACTCTATAATCCGACAAATTCGATAGTTCGACACTGCCCTGCAAAATGTTTGTCGGACTACCGGGGATCCACTGCATTCTTTTAAGACCCTTTACTTTGATACCTCGCTTGACGGGTTATAAGCATTTTTTTTCTAAAGGTTTCATTTTGGCGCCTTATTATTGGGCATACATACATGCATACACGCTCGAAAAACATTATCCACCGCAGTCGGGTAAAATTTTGAACAATTAAAATATTTTGATCTTTTTACTGTGTTTTATTGGTAAAATATTGGCTAACCTAGCAACCCTGCATTCACTCACTCATAGATAACCGCCGCCATTACGGTGCCTCACTTTTGTCTTAGCCGAAATTCTGTCCGCCTTTTTTTATACGTCCTTGATCCTAGTGTTATTGTTATTATAAATGTTTGTGGTTTGTATGTTAATCACGCAAAAACTGCTGAAGGGATTTGGATTTTACACACAGACAAATTATAACCTGAAGAGAGACATAGGACACTTTTTATCTCGAAAAAGTGTTAGGTTATTGACGGATTTCCTAAAATCTAAAGTTAGCGCGGTCAGAGTCGCGGTCGCTGCTAGTAACTAATAAATATGCAATATTTCTAAAGTGATCAGAAGCTTTATTATGTGGTGTTATAGTAATCTCTAAAATATTAACGAGCATGTCTGAATGATATCTGTCAATGTTATGTAACCGGAATCTGTGCTCATGGTAAAAAGAAATGCTATGGCAACCGCATGGATCATGGTTCCAATATTACTATGGAAACGGTTTCAAAACGTGAGTCTTTATAGGCTTCAGTTTTCAGTTCTTTAGCTGACCGCTAGAGGTGCTGTACAATTTTCCATACAAATCGATCTCGTTGTCATTAGCGAGAATGGTATTTGTAAAACTCACGGTACAGCTACGGTCACATGATAAAGTAAGGAGATCGATCAAATTTAATAAGTTAGTCACAAAACAATAGGTATTATTATAGATCACACACACTTACGTATCGAAAACCCGCTCTTTATGACGACCTCGCTGGCCCGCTGGCGGGGTATAACGAAAGACTCTGGGAAGAACACCCTCGCGTCGCCGAAGCTTAAAGGTCTACTCATCTTCTCAGGGTCCGACTTGTGTGCTTTCGACCCTGAAGTCCCTGATGAAGAGGTGCCGGAAAAAGTGCCGGAGGTGTGCTGAGAGCGAGGATTGAATTCCCGCTCTGGATACGAGTCTTTTAGACGTCTACTCTCCGCGTACAGTTTGTGCGCTGAAACAGATTTATCACTATGTTTTTATTTATTCAAGCATTTAACCGCTAGATGAAAGTTTCTTCCACGAGCACACAGACAGTGTGTAAAAACTTTCGCAGTGGCCGGTATAGGATGGCTGACTAATTTTATATAGTGAGCAATAGTGTTGCCCAAATGCAAGAACATGATGAGACTTGGCCAGTCTTGGTCTTGCGTCTTGCGCCAATACACCTGGTCTTGATATTGGTCTTGGTATTTCACTCCCAGTCTTGGTCTTGGTCTTGCGGTAAGAGTCTCGCAAGTCTCGCAATTAACTATTAGCCTATTGCTATTTTTATTAAACGTTACTTTCGATCTTAGAACAAAGTAACAGAGTAGGTTCATTAGTACTTTAATTAACATATCCATAGTTAAGACCAACCAAATTAATAAATGTTCAAAAATTTAATGAGGAATTTGTAAAATCAACTGACACTGGGTGGAGTTTGAAACCACGACCTAAGCGATCCGTGCCGATACTCTATTCAACTGAGCTATCTACCGTGTCCCACGGAAGTCAGTCTGATTCTTAATAAGCTTTTACGTTTAAACATGTGCTAAAATATGGTCAAAACAAATTAATGCCATTAACAAGGTGGTTCGACGCGCTCAGTGGCGCCACCAGTGGAAATAAATTTGTTTGCGTTTTAAACAGGACTCTGAATAAAAATTTTGATTAATTTGCGCAAATAAAAAGACGATTTTTAAATATTGTTTTAAAGCCTCAAACACTCAAGGAATAATGTATGAATGTCAATAGTAACAAAAGTGGCCACTCTTAGCATTACCTATGGACCATGAGATAATATTAAAAAAATGCTATATAGTCTACTATTTGCGCGATTAATTTAAATTTTCATTTAGAGACTTGCTAAACTTCGGCGGTCTTGGTCTTGCGAAAATGCAAGACCAAGAATGCCAGACCAAGTCCGATTTTGGGCAACACTATTGAGCACCTCCAATTATCCATGCTTCGGAAGACACGTTTAGCCGGTGCGGTGGTCTCGGCCTCATCTGTAGTTATCACCAAAAAATTCGCATTGGATTTGCATGGTGGGTCATGGATCCATTCCTATTATAAATTCTGCCAGTCCTGCACTAACGCCAAACCTAAGGCCTTAATTAATTTTTATACCTACATATATCTAACACATCATCATGACATCATCATCATCATCATCACATTGTACGCATACAATTAGAAGAGGAATAGATCGGGATGCCCATTGTACGTCTAGGTATTGACTGTTTTTCTCTCTTTCTAAAGACCTGACATATGGGATCAAACAAGTATGATATATCGTATGTTTATAGTAAATCACAGTTTTTTATTATTACAGCCGCATTCGTGGATTTCTTTATGCCTAAAGGTTGACTGGCAGAGAATGCTTTTAGCGTTAAGTCCGCCTTTTGTCAATTTTTGTAAGTGTTGCAATAGAGTTTAAATAAATAAATATCATATTACAATGGGACTCACTAGCATAAGCAGGCGAGTAGACATTCTCCCTGCTGTCCGAGTGTTCCAGCAATCTTCTCAGGGTGTTTTGAAGACCTTCACCAGCACTCACGGCTCGTCTTGTGCTTCCCATACTTCTCGTGGTCGCGTCTGTGGTAGAGCAAAATTATTTATAGGTAAACCGCTTAACTGAGACCTCGCTAGCGGGGTACAGGGTGTGGAGGAGGACGAGAACGGAGGCCGGAGGGGTGCGGGGGTTACTTGTTGTGGGCCCCCGTTTCCGCACGTAGACTCTTAATTGGTACATTGTGCGTGCAGGGTTGATTGGGCTAGCTAGCTCAACCAGCCAGGTGCGGGGGGCGGGCACTTGTAATTTTGACAAGTATGTGCCTGCCGTGTGTGTGCCCTCTCACGGTCCCCGTTTTCGTCCTCCCCACACCCATTACCCCACAGGCGAGGACTCAGTTAAGCGGTCTACCTATAGTAACGAGTATTAAATGCGTGGTTTCAAAATTTCCCGTTTTTATTAAACAACTTTGATTTACTAGAACTTTCCCCAAACACTATTCGTTTACCGTAATTTGTGGGATTGCCACACGGTTGTACCTTGTTTTTGTCGCTGAGTTACTTCGTGATCATGGAATGCAGAAATATTGGGGACTCGCAAGAAACAACGTAGGTGGTAGCAATTCCGCTAATAACTTATTATAATTAAAAATATAATTCGTTTAAATTGACGGTCCTATAATGTGCTTACCACACGCACAAGCTTCACCACAGTTTGGCCTGCGCAAGCATCTCGCATGAAAAAACTGTACACTTTGGGCGTTACCACACGGCACAGTTAAGTACGCGCAAGCCTCATTCTTATCGAAATCATTGGCGTGGAAACAATGTTTTCTAATGAAGAAACATTTCTTATGCTACTATTTTTCAAGTGTTTGCTATTTAAAAAAATATGTAAAAACGATAGGATATGTACATAATATGTGCAAGTAGGTAGGTAGTAGGTATTAGGCATAGGTATTTAGTTGCAAAAATTATGTTCTTACCTCTTTCATTTTATTAATCATTCTTTCGTAGGCGTCGTTCTTTTTATTTCGGTCGGAATAATCTTTAGATTTAATTTTCCAGAGTGCAGGCAGAGATTTGTATAAACTAATTAATTCAGACGTGAATTCGCGATTCTACGTACGCAAATCTACCATTTTTGAGTGACGGTGACGAACGACCTCATGAAACGACGAGCGAGCCTCGACTCGAAATACACTCGACTGTGGCTTGAACACTGAACGCCCAACCACACGCACAGACAAGTACGCGCAGGCCGGGCTTGCGCAGGCAAAATTTCAAGCAAGTCGAAAAGTGCGCAGGCCGCGCTGTGGGGTTGGCGCGTGATACAGTTTTACGAACTACACGCACCGTGTTCCGTGTACAAACCGGCCTGCGCAGGCAAAACTGTGGTGAAGCTCGTGCGTGTGGTAGGCCTATAAGAAACTGTACACATCAAATGTGCTATACTTACAAGGATTACAACAGGCATCACTGTTTAGGGCTCCGGAGCTGACCAGGTGGCAACCACCAGCTGCTATTGCCTGGCTCAATCCAGTGCTCATCTGTAGAACAATATTCTGACTTCAGAAAACAAAGATTGGTCAGTAGTTTTCCTAATGATTATATTAGCGTTATTTATGGAAGTTAATGGACCTAATTCTGACACAATTTTCTAAATTTAACGTCTGTCTCTAATGAATAAAATTACTTCTGACAATTTCAAAACGGTTGTATGTAACTGAATATTCTGGATTTTATAATACCTACTTACTTCGCGACTTAGAATAGACTTCTTAAATACCTAGTCTGTTCATTACAAATTTTTATGAACTTCACGAAAACTCTAGCAGCTGTCTGTTTGATTCTAATCAAGCACGAGAGGTTGTAAGAATATTATGACCAACATTTTAATGATTACTTTGATTAAAACATGAATTGGTTGATAACATGCACATATAGATAATAGCTGCGCTACTGAGCATTAAATATAAATAAATAATATAAATATTTCCTACACTAACACCAATTAGCCTAGCCCCAAAGTCAGCACTGTACGGCTTGTATTATGGGATACTAGGGTAACGGATAGAATACATATATTGTACATATATTTACATAGAAATACATATAAAACAACCATGACTGGAGTAAAAATGCTCGTATTCATCTCACAAATGTCTGTTCCCACCGGGATTCGAACCCGAGACCTCTCGAGTCGGCGAAACGATGAAACCCGCCGTATATACCACTCGGCCACGGAAGTCGTCGATTACTTCTAGAAAATGATAAACGATATCGTATGATCAACGGGCGGAAAATTGTGAAATAGATTAAGATCGACCGAGCGACAATTCACATTCGGATTTAATAAAAGCAGCTATGAAATTAGTTCATTCTCTGTATCTCTATGGATGATAGTATCTCCATTACCCTCAGTGGCAGCTCCTGCTTCCTATCCAACACAGTTTCGGACTTGACGTAGAACGCCTTGGACTCCGCTAGCAGTTCGACGGCAGACTTGCGTTTCTGCTGAGGGTGCGGCGCTAGAGAGCGCTGCAGCGACATACCGTCTTTCTTGCGTGGGAGTTTGAAGCTCGCGAAGAGGGAATCGGCTAAACGCCGCCTGCGAAGGTTGGATTTATAGTGTAGTGTATAATTAGTGTATTTAGCAAGTAAATCAATGTTGCTTACTTGCTAAATACACTAATTATACACTACAATAGTATACAGGATGACACAGGAGAAAGCTAATATTATATTGTCCCTTGGTGAACCATGAAGGGTACGACTATAGCTACTAATACGAGTATATAGCTGATGTGGACTATTTGAGGTCTTATTAACTACACTAATCTTAAGATCCTTTAGTGGGAGTATCAAAGGGAAATTATTTATATATGATATCATTAAGTTTTATTTGTAAGTCTGTATTATTGCCAAATTAGGTCTTGGCACTATTATCCCGTGACCCACAAGTATTGAAATACGAGCATGGTTTAGAAATTAAAAACATGTTGGCGGGCAAAGCTACAAGAAAGACGCTACAATAAACTGGCAAAAAGCGAGTCTTCTCGAACAGTGCCAATAATCAGCATTCATTTATTATCACTATCGCTTCTGGGTATGTTTATTGAGAGAATAATATTTCGCTTCCTCATAAGTGCTGCGGTCTCTTAATATTATACATTTCGTACAGGTAAAGTCAAGTTTGTCTTTGACTTCTACCTCAAACTAGCCTATTTCCATCACTATCAACGCTTACCTAGGCGGAGACTCAAACGACCTCGAGAAGGACGCAGCCGCCGCGGCGCCTTCAAACTTCTTGCGCACCTCCTCGACCTTCGACCAGCTGGACTCGACGTTGAGCCGCCGGTTCAGCGGGAGCGTTTGTGCCGCATGCTTGGCGAGCTCCTCCCTTGTTCGCTTCACCGACACCTCGGGGATCAGGTCGGAGTGCCGCACGCCCCTAGCCTCATGGCACCGCTCGATAAACTGCCGCCGCCGGAGGGATAGAGTCGCCGCGTGCTGATTGTCGTCGTCTAAACACCTGCGAACAACATAAAGTGATGCTATATTCAGGTTAATTGATGTGGATTCTTTATATTTAATTCTTTCTTGAGTTCTTTTTACTCGCAGTTCATAATTAGAAACTATTAAAAACTTAATCTTTCCAGCATTTCGACATTGGCGAATACAATTTGCAATAGCAGTAACTATACATGACATAGGAGCAATTTTATTTTTAATGAATTTAATTGAAGCGATTTTGATCTATTTTTCGTACTCCGGATAGTCCGTGCTTTGGGATATATTTGCATCGGGTCCGACTGTTCGGTTTTGTTACGGACCCACTTACATCAATAAGGGAGGATTATGATTGAGCCCTCGCAGTGGGGCCTTCTTGATCGTTACAAAACGCTCGTTTTTGCAAACCGCCATTACAACGTAATTATGTTTGAAGATCCCCTTTATTTTAAAAACACATTTGGTCAAAATTTCGAATATATAAGATGGTTCGGCTCGCTCACAGACAGACGGATTACAGGTAACAGAGTTCTTATGCCACCCTTTGGGTACGGAATCCAAAAAAGATGTGAGATGTTTTTTTTTGTTTTAGGCGACTTTCGGACCAAATTGTATACCAGCTGAGGAGCTCGATGGCGCAAGTGGTTAGCGCGTTCGGCTGCGATCGTTGAAGTTAAGCAACTTACGTAGAGGTCGGTCATTGGATGGGTGACCAAAAATTTACTATTTCGAGCTCCTCTGTGCTTCGGAAGGCACGTTAAGCCATGGGTCCCGGCTGCATCTGCAGTCGTTAGCACCCGCCAATCCGCAGTGGTCCAGTGTGGTAGGTAATGGCCCAATCTCCCTATTCCATCTTAGGGAAGGCCCGTGCCCCAGCAGTGAGGACATTAATAGGCTGATGATGATGTCCATACCAGCCCCATCGTAACCTGACCAATTTTCTTAAGATTACTTAATTATTTACATACAATTTTTGCTACCATGTTGCAAAGCACACCAGCATCTTTCGATAGGAGGTTGGCTAGGATGCCCTGCAATATGCCAATTTTAAGGATGGAGAATGCATGTTTCCTTTCCGCTTCATTTTTGACGCATTCCATTTAAATGTGTTGAACATCCTCCACTTTCTCAAATGTTTCACAATAAGGAGAATTGTATTTTTTTAAAGAAAAGAATTTAGTTAGTGGAATATGTCCAGAACGAAGTCGGTGCACAATTATAATATATATAATACGACCTATGTTACCATTATTGAACCAAGGCATATGAGGAGGTTCACTTGCTATGGTTTTGTACCAAATATAGGAGATGATCCTACACATCTTTTTTGGGTTCCATACGCCGTTGTCACCCCTTGTATACGGAAACCTAATAATATAATAATTATGTTAAGGTAAAGTTTCATGCAAGCGTCAGTGACTGCAGTCACGTACGTAGTTCGAAGTGATAAACTCAATGTAACTATTAGCTAATCTTTGCCGATAGCTGAATATTTTGAACTATCTATGGAATTGTGATTTTTAAAGTAAAACATCGCTATGTGCATTACCCACCATCAATACCTCTTCACTTAATTAAATCTGAGTCGTAATTTTAACGTTGTATATAAACACACATAGGTGACGATTCTGACATGATTCTCTAAACTTAAAACTAAATTAGATTTTTTTCTTTAGTAATAAAAATAAAACATAACATCAATCTCTCCTTTTAATTCTGTATAGAAAATAAGAGGGATAGACCGTAGTCAAATGTAAGTGTAGGTTTAGAGAACCATGCCAGAATCGACACCAATATTTCTAAATTTATATTTTACAGGGAGTAAATTAGGTACGGCATAAGAAATTATCTACTTCATGAAATAGGTGGACTTCGATGGAGCAAAATTTAACGCGTTCAATCTGCGGTCGTGGACTTTTCTTTTGATGTTAAAGAATGTGTGACCAAAAATTATCTTCCTCGGGGAAAAAAAATGCAAAGCACGTTTAGCCGTTCTTTGGTTCCGGTTGCATCTGGAGTTGTTAGGATCAATCCACACTATGCTCGTGTGGCAGGTTCAACCTATTCCAAGCTTAGGTTTAAGTGCTTATTCAGAGTGCCAGACCCGTTCTTGGCGTCTTCATGTTCACAGTGGTAGAGCGGCTGAGAGACTAAACGTACGCATGTTATACGGTTCTAAAACTTCGCGCTTCCTATTAGGATGAAGATTTGATTTTATTAATGGAAAATTCATTTTAAAACTGGGAAGAAAATTATGTGAACAAATTACGCTATACATGAAACGAATAAAGGACGAGAAGAATTGGGAGAATTTAATGTACCATACGCCGATTTACGGAGTAACCCAGACAACTTCTTCGAATACACTAGAAAGACAATAAATACATTTGATTATAAATTAAATAAGATCTCAACACATTAGATAATTAATAAAATAATATAAATTCTTCTGTATCGATTTCCATGTTGCCGCGGGTGAATCAAAAAGGTTTGGAATCAGACGTCTTAGCCACAGAAAGACGCTAGAGCACTGAAAGACACAGGCGAATTGAGCCAATAGAATCAACCGCGCGTAGTCACGCTACCCGCACCCGCCCCCACGCCTATATAGATGCGCATACGCGCGACCACTGTGAAAGCGAGAAGCGTCTAGATACATTTGATCTACCCGTACCCGCACCCGCGCCCGCACTCGCCTTTACTCTGAAAGAACACTAAGAGAAGCCTGTGTCTTAGGGATCGTCCATTAATGATGATTTTTAGCAACCCCTTCCTGGTGAGATGTGGTGAGGTTTTAGAGTGACCCCTGCCTAGCCCAATCACTTGTATTTCTTTTAAGTACAAAATAGGTATATTGAAATTTTCAGAATAGATATTATCCATAAAACTTTACCTGGTAACGGTGCGTCAAGTAAACACGCTCCTGTGAAATCGTGCTTTCAAGGAAAAAGAAATACAAGTGAGATCCTCCCCTCCTCTATCTTGTGATAATTTGTGATATTAGTGAACGGATTTGATTAAAATTTGGTACGCATATAGTTTATGATCTGGATTAAGACATACTTATAGTGGTAAGAAGTATCTTATGCTGGAAAAGTGTTGAGTGCCAGAGTAATTAAAAAAAGTTAATGCGGACGAATAAGTTTCTAGACAACAAGGTCAGGGAAGTAAATGTTGCTATGGAAATTAGGTCGGGTCAGTTAGTCAATTAAAATTCTAAACAATGAAGTTATTGCTGGAGCTGTACGCGAAAAAAAATTAAAACATCCTCTCACCGGCAGGATACATAAAACAATTTTACTAGTTACTGTTACAATTTTAGGATAAATCCAGTGATATTGTATTATTGTAATTAAATCTTATATCAATAATATTGATGTTCTGTGACTTCATTCGCTTATGTGTATTTCGGTAGAATCAATTTGAACCAGTAGTAAGTTATTTAATCAGCATTTCTATCTATGTATAAATTAACAGCGAACCCCTACAGTCAAAAAAATACTGGGCAAGTGCAATTCGGACACGCCCAATCCCGTACAAAGTAGGTAGGCAACATAAAATGGGTGTATCTTTTCTCTTTTTCAACGATAACCAAGAAGTGTGATTTTTGCACAGAATTAAGAGACCGTACATTTGAGCATATGATTTAAATTTCAACTTAGACAGACATATAAACGGCCGTTACATTTTTATATCAACCTAGAAGTTTCATTCAATTACAACTTTAGGAAACCGTAGATCTTTGTATATGAGGTTTACATTTCAACTCGATCCTTCCACGCGTTTTTACAGATAAAGGGTCTTGACAGGCACACCGACAACAAAGTGATCCTAAAAGAGTTCCGTGTTTTCCTTTGAGGTAAGGAGCCCTAAAAATAAGAGTAATTGCAGTTTTTGTAAACTGTGGAAAATCAAATACATAGGTACTTTCGTACGTGCGTCGCGTACTTGATCCGTAGACACATTTGATATGTTTATGATTGGGAGTGAAGTGAATGCCGCAACCTAATAGGCTGTGCAAACGGACGGGACTTTTGTCCGCCGAAATAGATCGATTACAATGGCATTGAATAACGCACACGACGGATTAAAAGTACCGCGTACAAAAAGTCCAACGAACTACCGAGGATACCAAGAGACCGGACACAACAGAGTACGCGGGAGTCCCCGAAGAAAATAGAACTCATCTGACTAGGCGCAGCAACGCACACGGCGATCTTTAGTCCGCGTTGCGCACTCAATCCGATTTAAAAGAAACCGACTTAGTGTTTTCTATAAAAAAGTCTTTTCTTTTGTTAATATTAATTATAACACATTTTAATCTAAGAATATTTACTACTACATCTTGCGCTTTTCAAAAACATCGTATACAGGTACATTGGGTCCTTGAAAAGTCCGCGGCGGACCTTTTCTTCACGATTCAGTGACTTTTGTCTTCCACGGCCTAAATTCTTTCGTCTGTGCAGTCCATTATTTGTATTTGTTTATCTACTACTTATGATCGTTGCTTATATGGTAGAAGCAGGAAGAAGGTACATTCACGCGAAATCTTTTGTCCTGACTGTGACTCCACAACCTCTCGTCTGATAAAATCACAAAGGCTAGAGTACCTACATTCGATGCGGAAACTGCAACATATAGACGACACGTGTTGAAATATCAGAAAGCATAGGTTGTACGGTAGGATAAGCTTCTTTAGACTTTATCAGAGAACTTATTCAAAAGCTTAAGCGGGGAGGCGGGCAATATTTTTTCCATACAGACGTTCTCGTTCGATTCCTCCTTGATTTTCAATCAAAAATAATTTATTTTCATACATAAAAAATATTTTTACTCATTATATGCTCCTATGTCTTCCTTTTTTCGGTAGTCTTGTGTTTTAAATAAACTAGAAGACCTCGAAAAAGGCTAAAAAAAAATATCACCACCACAGACGTCTAGTGTGGAGATTTAATAAGCATTTACAAAAAATCTAAACATAGAGGCTTATTATTTCTTGTGTAATTTTTACGGAGGAAATAGTCGAGAGCCATACCTCGAATTTTGCAATTTTTGTACGCATTTTTCAGCGTTAACTTCTGTTGTCCCTATCGTACGGTATTTGTCATAGCGTGACAGCAATATTTTTTCAAATATCTATTTAACAAATGTCACTCAGCTTGCGTCCACTCTTAAGGAGAAGCTATCATAGTCTAAGTATTTATTCGATGCGATACCAACTGTTACTAAAATGTTGCACCTGTTGAAATACCCACAATCCTCAAGATATACAGAAACAAGATGATCTTTATCCATACCCCCATAGTTTACGAGTGGTAGGGGAAAAAAATGTTTGGACGATTCAAAAGAGTTGTACTCCTCTTTGAATAAAGATATATTGATTTCTGATTTCACATCTGCAAGGATATGTAAAAAAGATGAGATAGATTAGGTAGTTTACATATCAATAACTCATCCTATAAGGAAATACAGAAGACCAAAGCGAGCAAGATGAGATTGCTTTGAATGCATAACATACTTACAATAGCTAGCTACACTAGCGTGGCGAAAATAGCCAGCAGTATACTTCACCTAAATACAGTTATGTTCACGTGGGATGAAGTGATTGCAACAAGGTCATCAATAAAAAAACATGTCAACAAACTGATCTAGCGGGTTGAGCGAGGAGCGAGCGGTACGCTTGGTAGCAGGAGAGCGCGGCCATATCGCCGGAGCTGTTGGTGCTGAGAGTGATCATTCAATAAAACAATATGTCACTAACTGACCTAGCGGGTTGAGCGAGATGCGAGCGGCACGGTTGGTAACAGGAAAGCGCGGCCATTTCGCCGGGGGCTGTTGGTTCTGAGAGTGATCATTCTTCGCCTCGCCACCACTGCCCCGACCCGCATCCGCTGGGAAACTATCTGAAACAAATGAAAATCAATTAAATATTTATACCACAAAGGACATAATGGCCGTGTCCAAGCAGAGTCGGCTCAGAACAAAGCCAAAATTGTTTTGTCACGCACACATTAACATGACGTTTGCTGGCATTTACGCAGTTTCAAGTGTTTTTAAGCTAAATTTATTTGACGATCCAAATAAAGTCAAGTATTTATTTTTTTATTTATTTTAGTTGAAGGATAGAAGAGGGAGCCCGGGAGCTATTCTTCTGGCTACTATCTATATATTGTGTTTCGTTCTTCTTACTTAGTTTCTTGCCGGCTCCTCTCTGTTACTATATCTAGGATCTCGCAATAAGTCCCACCGTAAATTTGGTGACCTGATGGCGTAGCTTTTCGACCGTGTCAAAAGTTTTTACCTGTATATGCGAATTTTCGATAAATAATTCAGTACATCTAACTATACTTATTAAACTTGTTTCATTTAGAATAAGCGAGTTTTATTTTGGATGTTTTGTTCCTTACGATTTCATGACTGCAAAAAAAGAATAGTTTTTAAAATTAACTACAAAGGAATTTGGAAAATTATACACCTAGCAAGCAAAACGATATTTATGGTATGTTGTCGAGTAAACTACTCCTAAGCTAAAAGAAGTTAATTTCATGGGAATAAATTAAGTAAAAAGTTAATAAAAATGTACATTTATTAATGCTATGACAGGGTAAACTAAATGAAATTCTATATATTTCGTCAGCTAGAATTGTCATAAAATAATGGACACTTATTTTTTCTTTTGTCAATCAACCAAAAAATTAAAAAGATAAAGCGTGTCAAAGTTTGAGACGTCACTTCTAAGTTATAATTGTACCAAGACGTAACGTCATGCGATATTTCAAATCAATATAATATCTCTGTAATGTTTTGATTATTTATGTGAAAAAAATATGTGCACAATACTTTTTGATACTCTACCTGATAGGCAACGAAAAGTTAGGCATCATGCCTATTGTGGTTAGGTAACCAGTACCCTTAGTACGAGTTTGAGCTCACGAAAACTATCATAGTTTTCGTATTTGTAAATTATGTTTCTATGTCCATTATGGTGAAAAGTAACCAATATACTTAAAATTTAAGAAGACGCAAATGATTTAATGATAGAATTTAAACACTGTTTATTTGTATTCAAACGAAAACAATAAAAGCAGCTAAACTATCATAGTTTTCGTAATTGTAAAACTCGTACTAAGCGTAAAGGAGTACCTATGGGAACCGACGTATATCAAAAACCAGATTTGACTGTACTGATAGGAAGTGTTAATAGCAACACACGGGGAAGTGGCTTTAGTTATGATTATTATGTGCTGCGCAGGCGACTTAGGATGTGAATGAACCGAAAGCATTTCCCATGATTTAATTGATGAAACTGTTATACAAGTACCTACCCACTTTCACTCGTCTGTTACTTACTCACGGACAGACATTGTGTATTATTGTATTCACATATTTTTTACACGGACCCAATTATGGCAGCGCAGAGCTGACTTGCAAGATTAATGGCTTTTTATAAAACTATACCTAACTAGAGATGTGCGCGGATGTAAATTTTATTTGTACGCGATAAAACATAGTCTATGTTTATGTTACTCAGGAATAAAAGATAATATAATATTGTAATGGTGAAAGAAATTTTGAAATCGGTCCAGCAGTTTTTGAGTTTACTCGTTACAAACTTTCCTGTTTATAATATTAATAGGTACCTATAGATATATAATAATACTAGCGGCAGCCCGCTACTTTAACTTAATTTTTTGAGAATTCCTTAGGAACCTTACATTTTCCGGGATAAAAAGCATCCTATATTTCAGCCCAGATAATATATAAATATTTCCAACACTCACACATACAATTAGGCTAGCCCCAAAGTAAGCACTGTGGGCTTTAGTTATGGGATACTAGAGTAACGGATACAATACAAACTGATACATATATAAGTATATTTATATGGAAATACATATTAAACATCCACGACTGAAGTGCAATTGCTCGTATTCATCACACAAACATTTGCTCCCACCGGGATTCGAACCCAGGACCTCTCGAGTAGGCGACACCTTGGCATACAAACCACTCGGCCACAGAGATCACCAATATTAAAGTATATGTGTGTTAAATTCCATCCAAATCCTTTCATCCCCTTTTTGAGTGATTGAGTAACAAACATACAAACTTTCACATTTATAATATTACTAGCTGACCCGGCGAACTTCGTACCGCCTTAGCGTAGCTTTGATGCACTACTTTATTTTGTATAGCTGACCTATCTTATGTATGAGTACTTATTCAATTTGAACTGGAATCTATAATATCCTCCATATAAAAATGAATCCTTATTTCCCTGGTCTCGCCATACCTGAGGACTTTACTAATTTTTATTAAATAAAAAACAACATATATATTTACATAATAGTGTTTAACCCATAGGGTTCAATTTCACTCATATTTTTACAAATCGCTATTCAACAACTTTGCATTTTGAAGTAAACACTGAGCTCAACACCACGCGCGCTCTAGAAAGCAACTAATAGCCTCTATACCCTTCACTGCTTCTCTCTATTCTAATGCTTTTTGATAAACACGGTACGAAGTTCGCCGGGTCAGCTAGTCCATAACCGCGCTAACAATAATTTTATTAAGTTTTTGATAAAGTTCGTTTTGTTTTAAAGACTAAGAAGTTTTTTGTTTGCTAATAAGTGTTTGTTCCTGTCACAGATTACCACAGACTTTTTTGTTTTAAATTGAATGACGTTGACATTTGTCAGCGCGGTTATCGATGTGGTGTCACAGATTACCACAGATTTTTTGCTTTAAATTGAATGACGTTGACATTCGTTACGTTATATTTTTCAATCTTTCTGAGAGATTTTCTTTATATTTTTTTCCGTAAGAACCTTGTATAGAGTATTAGAAAACTACAAAAAAAAAATCAGCCAAATCGGTCAAGCCGTTTTCATGTTATGTCGTGACAACGGAAAACTGGTTTCATTTTTATATATATAGATAGTAGGATTAGTATGATAGTTAATTACATTTGTATGACAGTTTAGATATATGAAAGTAGGTAGATTGGCATAAGACCGAGTTAAACTTATCAGAAACAATAGTGGCAGTTTGCTCGAGCAGGTTCTTATTGTCTCCATCCATATCCATAGAGAAGGCTTGAGACCGTGTATTGTGAATTGTTATCGCGACACAATTCCGATTGCTTATTATGTATATGTATGGACACATGATGTAGCTAAGTGGATACCTATGCATTGTGGAGCGGCGGCGTCCTACTTCGACGGCTTTTTGGATAACTTACTTAAATTTTGAACCCTTTTTTCATTTCTTGAAAAGGCGTGACGCCTCCCTGAAATTTAGAGTACCATCCGCCTAACTACGGATATGGTATTTATGTTACAGGTACAGGAGAAATACAAACAGACGGCTCATCTGATGGTAAGTGATCACCATCGCCCTTAAACATCTGCAACACCAGTTGTATGACAAATGATGTCGAGTAAACTACTCCTAAGCTTAATAAATTACTCCCTGAACCACCGGTGGTAGCAAGAACAGGGTATCTGATGACTCCTCCACTACTCATTTCACCCAGCCCCAAAGGTTCGGTACAACGAAAAGGGTCCTACCCAGTAAAAACCAGAAAGTACTCCTGCACCTTTCACCTGACCAATATGCCGAGGACCAGAGGAGGAGAAGGAGGAGGAGGAGGGCGGGTAGAGTATGGCACCCTACAAGAGACTGGGCACGCATCCGCCGTTAGAACCTGACCCTAGATTTGGGGGATCATAAAGATAGCATATGACGTGATGATTTTTCAATATAACGATAACGGAGTTAACCAACCATCTCCTTTCTCCCATATAGGGTAGCCAGGTCGCCTTTTTTGTAACGGGAAGAGTACATTTATGCTACGTCCCCGGCTATTGGGCTGGCGAGCGAGGTTGTGTGGAACTCGCCCGACATAAGAGGTAGTCGGGAATACTGCGCTAAACTCCTTGGGAACTTCGCCTCGCCATAATTGAGCGGGCCACAAGCATGCGCAGAGCATCGGCTTGCGTAGGCCCAAGGTCGCCTAACCTAACAGCCAGACATACCAGCAAGTTTGGCCAGACATTTGGGTAAAAAGACCGGGCAACCCACATTATTGAGGATTTTTTGGCTCAATAATATTAGATTGGTACGACAAACAATTGTATGTAAAAGCGAATGACACTCAACTCGATTGCGCTCGGCCACGCTCGGCGCTCGCTTGTTTGCGAAATTTAAGAAACCTAACAAAAGCCGGACAAGCCTGACACTTTTTATTTTGGCCGGACAAGCCTGACACTGTTTATTTTGGCCGGACACGCAATCAAAAAGCCTAACTATGTTCAGCTTTACCCGGACTCCTGGCAACGCTACTCCCATATAAATATACATTACCATTTGATCGCGTATTGAGTACAAACAAAGAGCTATCATTAGTGGGGGTTCGCAAAAGTCCCCTATTATCCGGTATATTAAGAAAATGTGTCTATTGAGTAGGTACCTCGGTATTTGGAGGCACGGTTAGTGCTCCCGTCAAGACAAGACGAACCAAGCGAAGCGTAAGGGGTAAAATATATCTCCTGGCCGTTCCTTTGCTACAAGAACTATTGTTTAACCGAAACAAGTAATGAAAAGTGGATAATTTTTTTATTTACGCTCATGTGAATGTAGCGAAACGGCTAAGTCATATATTTCGTCTGAGGTGTAGAGTTTGTTAAGTTGGGCCTTGTAGAGTTGGAAGGTTCTGCATGATCTGATCTGGTAACTTATTGACAGATGGGGAGCTCGATGGCGCAGGTGGTAAGTGCGTTCGGCTGCGATCGTTGAAGTTAAGTAACGTTCACAGTGGTCGGTCATTGAATGGGTGACCAAAAATCTTCTATCTCGAGTTCCTCCGTGCTTCGGAAGGCACGTTAAGCCGTTGGTCTCG